GTTGGCCCTAGTGCCTGAGCCGGTGCCAGCAGCGTGCCTGTGCAGCTCACTGCCCGCCTCCCCCCTGACGGGCCCCCGGGAGCCAGTGGGACAGACCCCTCGCTCCCACAGCCAGCTGTAACATACACCAAGTGACCTGTCCATCTGCCAGATCCTTAAAATGTCCACAATTAGAAGAAACCCCGGATGCGAGGGGTGTCACTGCTGAGCTGCAGTCACGGGCCTCATCCTGCGGGCATGGGCCCCAGGCTGGGCACCACCGGCCCTGCCCACTGTCCCTTGTCCCGGCGTCTGTCAGTGACCTTCTGCTCAGCGGCTCTCCGCTGGCGCTCCCTCAGCCACAGCGTTACACTGCAGGGGGAGAGCCTTTTTTTTTTAAAAAAGATTTATTTATATTGCAAAGTCAGATATACAGAAAGGAGGAGAGACAGAGAGGAAGATCTTTCGTCTGATGATTCATTCCCCAAGTAAGCGCAACAGCCGGTGCTGCGTCGATCTGAAGCCAGGAGCCAGGGACTGCTTCCAAGTCTCCCACGCGGGTGCAGGGTCCTAAACCATTGGGCCGTCCTCCACTGCTTTCCCAGGCCACAGGCAGGGAGCTGGATGGGAAGTGGAGTAACTGGGATGTGAACCAGTGCCCATATGGGATCCCAGCAGAGGTAAGGCAAGCATTTAACCACTAGGCTATTGTGCCAGGAGCAAGTCAGAGTTTTATACTAACAAACCAGATGAAACAAATTCCCAGTAAGGGGCCCAGTGTGGTGGCTTAGTGGTTAAAGTCCTTACCTTGCACTTGCTGCAATCCCATATGGGCACTGGTTCTAATCCCAGCTGCTTCACTTCCCATCCAGCTCCCTGCCTGTGGCCTGGGAAAGCAGTCAAGGACAGCCCAAAGCCTTGGGACCCTGCACCTGCTGGGAGACCCAGAAGAAGCCCATGGCTCCTGGCTTCAGATCAGCTCAGCTCCAGCCACTGCAGTCACTTGGGGAGTAAATCAGTGGACGGATCTTTTTGCCTCAGGTCCTCTCTGTGAATCTGCCTTTCCAATTAAAAAAATTTAAAGGAAAACCATAATTAAAAAAAAAAAATCTCAGTAGTTGAAATGGTTGGAATTGACTCCAAGGCGTCTGTGCTGTGGCTGCCCCAAGCGCAGGGGGGACATCAGGCAGCAGCTGGGCAGGGTGGGGCAGGCCTGGGGAGGAACAAAGGGACAGGAGCCTGGGCACGTCAGACAGCCCTGTGGGCACAGCCAGGGCTGAGGCCACCCCACGCCCCGGCTCTGTCCCCCTCCGTCACTCCCTGCCCTCTGCTGGGCAGTGCAAGTGGGGAGAGAAAGCACCTCAGGTGCCCAGGCCCCCACAAGCAGCACTGGCACTCACAGCCACACCCCCAGAGGCCTCAGGCACCAAAAGTCCTGGCTTGCACACAAGTCGGCCACGACCCGAGGCGCCCCAACACCCCAACCTGCAACGGAGACTACATGCAGGTGGCAGCATCAACACCCATTCACCAGAACAAGGGAGACCCTGCTGAGAGCCCGCACACGGGGACGCCACACCTGGGGCGGAGCAGCACAAAGACCATTTCTAGAGATTTACTTATTTTTATTGGAAATACAGATATATAGAAAGATCTTCCAGCTGCTGGTTCACTCCCCTAGAGGCTGCAACTGTTGGAGCTGCGCTGATCCAAAGCCAGGAGCCAGGAGCCTCCTCGGGGTCTCCCGCGCAGGTGCAGGGTTCCAAGGCTTTGAGCCACGCTGGACTGCCTTCCCAGGCCACAAACGGGGAGCTGGATGAGAAGCGGGGCTGCCGGGATTAGAACCCGCGCCCATACTCTGGGATGTTGGCACTCCAGGTGGAGGGTTGGCTTGTATCACAGCACCAGCCCCAGCAAGTTAAGCCTTTGTCTGCACAGTATCAGCTGTGCACAGAGGTTCTAGCTCACATCCCTACTTGTGGCCTGGCAAAGCAGTCGAGGACAACCCAGGTAACTGCCCACTGCACCCCCGCGGCAGACCCGGAAGCAGATCAGGGCTCCGACCAGCGGATGGAAGATGTCTGCTGTCTTCTACTGTAATTGCCTTTCAAGTAACACAAAAATTTTAAAATGATCTCCATAAAATAAGGAACCTAAAGGAGCCAAGGCAGTATGAAAAATTAGAGCAAAGTTGGCAGTATCGATGCCGACTTCACAGTGTGGTGAATCAGCCATAGGGCAGGAGGGCAGGGGCGCAGCTCTCCCAGCAAGCGCTGGGAACCCCCTCCTCACCGCTCACGCGGACGCACACAGCGGCTCGCAGACCTGAGCTCAGAGCAGATGGCACTGGCCTTTCAGAGGAGGACGCAGACGAGCCGTGCCCGGGGGAACCAGAGCCGGCCAGGCACGCCAGAATCACAAGCTGGAAGACGGACTGACACAGCAGCTTCACTGAGATGCAACGCCTACAGGTGGGAGATCCGTCACTTCATTTCTCCAGGAAAAAACAAAGTATAAACGGCTTACTAGTCAATGCTTTGTCATTCTAACACTTCTAGAAAACAATGAAATTTAGGCATACAAATCCTCCGCCTGTATTGAGAACACACAAGGGGCGACACCGTGGTCTAGCAGGAGCCAGAGCTGCAGCCCCACGCTCCACTTCCGCTCCAGCTCCAGGGCTTGAGCTGCCTGCCTGGACTGGCCATTTGCGGAGTGAACCTGCAGAGACCACCTTCCGTCCAACTCTGCCATTCAAATAAACCTAAGAATAGCACGCAGAGGGCATGGCGCAGTAGCCTAGTGGCTAAAGTGCTCGCCTTGAATGTGCCGGGATCCCATATGAGTGCTGGTTCACATCCCTGCTTCCCATCCAGCTCCCTGCCTGTGGCCTGGGAAAGCAGTCAGGACGGCCCTAAGCCTCGGGACCCTGCACCTGCATGGGAGACCTGGAAGAAGCTCCTGGCTCCTGGCTCTGGATCGGCGCAGCTCCAGTCGTGCGATCACTTGGGCAGTGAACCATCAGATGGAAGATCTTCCTCTCACATCTGCCTTTCCAATAAAAATAAGTTTATCTTAAATATATATATATTAATGTATTTTTAATGAAAAACTAACATGGTGTCCCATAATCAGAATGTATCAAGCAAGAAAATGCATGTAACACCCCACAGATAAGCACGTGCAAGCCGCAGGTTTCTGCCGAAGTGCAGGGGCCAGGAGCCGGGGAGCTGACGGCAGCCAGGGCCATGCAGCCCAGGTCTGTCTCTACCACCACAAGAAGCTGACCCGAATGGCGGGTGATGCAGGCACAAGGAGCCTGTTTGCAACTCTGCACCCTCTCCCAGCTCAGAAGGGACACCACGATGGGTGGAAGCAGAGCCGCCCACCGCCACGCAGGAAGGCCAGGTGGGGGAGGGGCGCAGGGCCCTTCTGCAGGCCTCACCCCCAGCTCTTTCTCAACCCCCTGGGGATGGTGAGGGAAGTCCTGGCCACAGCCCAGCCCCCGCCCCGTCAGGGGCCTTGCTGAGGCTGCACTTTGCCATGTACCGGATGCCCAGTTGGGTGTGGACTTTCTCCTCCCGATCTATAATTCTCAGAAGAGCAGGAAGCCGGTGGCTGACCATCAGAGCCCGGCAGGGCAGGGGCCACTTCCCCACCTTCAGTGTGCGACCCTGGGGGTCCAGCCCCTCCCAGGGTGGGAATCCTGACCCCAGAGGAAGGCAGGAGCCCCAGAACTGCTGCCTTCCTGTGCGAGAACTGGGGTGACCCCCAGGTCCCTCCGTGGCCCCCGTGCAGGGAACAGGTGACCATGGGATGGCTGGGCCCTTGCTGAAGTCTTGAAGGGCAGCAAGGGACAGGTGGAGACTGCCCCCCCCCAGCCAGGCTGCCCTCGCTCAGTAAACACTGGGTGGACAGTGGCCCTGCCAGGGGTTCCTAGAAGAGGCTCTAGGGGAGGGGCAGTGGCCCGGGTCACAGGGGAGGCCAAGGCTGGGCCTGGAAGCCAGCAGGGCTGACGCCCCCCCCCCCCCCACTGTTAGGAAACCCTGGGGGCTGGGCAGATGCAGTGCTGGGAAGATGGGAGGGTGTGCAGCACCGTTGAGCCTGCCATGGCCGCTGCCTGCTGGGGGTGGGGGATTCAAGACCCCTCAGGCTGCCCAGCAGGTGGACGGGTAACTGGGGTACACAGAGCTGCCAGCTGGCTCTGGGGCCCAGGCCTCTGAGGGCCATGCCAAGGGCAGCCCTGCTCCCGCCTGCCTGCTCCAGCCGACAGACAAGGTCCAGCCTCCAACATGCCCAGCCCAGCCCGGACCCCAAGGAAAGCTTCGCACGGCTTGAGCTTCCAGGCCACTCCCCCGGGCCAGCTGCACCTGGGGCACGAGGGGGTTAACGCCCGCTGGGGGAGGGCTGGAGGGACAGGGGCTGGCCAGGCGGTGGGGAATCCAGAGGGCAGGCGCAGCCTGGCCCAGAAGCCCTCGCTTGCTGTCTGCCTTCGCCTGCTCTGCGCACAGGATGGCCCCGAAAGGTGAGAGCCGGCCTGGCCCCGCCACAGGACCCCAGGATGGAACCCTGAGCCCAAGCCGAGGCCTGGTGACATGCACCCTCCTCCCAGGCCGAGGGCCACGAACATGGGGCATATGGGGCCAGGCTGAGTCTCTGCACAAGACAGGGAGGGACAGGGGACGGGCACCTCCCCGCCATGGGCCATGCCCATCACCCTTCCTAGTGCACCCCACACTGCACCCACCCATGGGAAGCCCTCCTGATGCCTGGACCAGCTCTGATGCCCCGTGCCCCCACGCTACAGAGAGCAAGATGGGCTAGCCAGCTGGGTTGCAGTGCCCAGCAAAGGGGTGTGGGGCACCTGCTGGGGAGGTTGCTTGGCAGGGGAGAGCGGGGTTAGGGGTGGCCGGGAGCCCAGCAGCTGATGGTGCCGGGGAGCAGTGAAAAGCCCTGCAGCCTGCTCCAGAAAGTTCCAAAAGCTGGCAGCCCACGGCCAGCACCGAGCTCCGTCCCAGCCAATGTTAGGGGAGAGCGGCCGCCCAGGCCCTGGCTGTGAAATCGGGGAGCCCTCAGTGTTCCCCGGAGGCAGGGCCCGCCACCTGCTGGTCCCCTGGAGGGAAAAGTTCAGGCTGTGCCACAAGCCGGGAGTCAGCTCACCCAGGGCGGGCAGGCAAGAGCCCCCCTCACCACCTCTCCAAACCCCTCTGCGTGCAGGTGGCCTGATCCTGGCAGTGCTACTGGTCTCCTGGGCGGCACTGGCTCCCCACGGCCTACGGGGAGCAGAGCCGGGGACATCGGGGGACACCAAGGACCCACCCTGCCCGGCAGTGTGTATGTGCAGCCGAGGCGACTACGCCGACGAGCTCACGGTCTTCTGCAGCGCCAGGAACCTCAGCCAGCTGCCTGCGGGCCTCCCCAACGACACCAGGGCCCTGTGGCTGGACGGGAACAACTTCTCCTCCGTGCCGCCCGCTGCCTTCCAGAACCTGTCGAGCCTGGACTTCCTCAACCTGCAGGGCAGCCGACTGGGCAGCCTGGAGCCGCAGGCGCTGCGGGGCCTGCACAGCCTGTACCACCTGCACCTGGAGCACAACCAGCTGCGCAGCCTGGAGCCCCACACCTTCGCACACACGCCCAGCCTGGCCTCGCTCAGCCTTAACAACAACCAGCTGGGCCGGCTGGAAGACGGCCTCTTCCGGGGCCTGACCAGCCTCTGGGACCTCAATCTGGGCCGGAACAGCCTCGTGGTGCTGCCCGACGGCGCCTTTCAGGGCCTGGGGAACCTGCGCGAGCTGGTGCTGGCTGGCAACAAGCTGGCCTACCTGCAGCCGGCGCTCTTCTGCGGGCTCGGTGAGCTCCGGGAGCTGGACCTGAGCAGGAACGCGCTGCGCAGCGTCAAGGCCAACGTCTTCGTGCAGCTGCCGCGGCTGCAGAAGCTCTACCTGGAGCGCAACGCCATCAATGCCGTGGCCCCGGGCGCCTTCCTGGGCATGAAGGCGCTGCGCTGGCTCGACCTGTCCCACAACCGCATCACCGGCCTGCTCGAGGACACCTTCCCCGGCCTGCTGGGCCTGCACGTCCTGCGCCTGGCCCACAATGCCCTGGCCAGCCTGAGGCCCCACACCTTCAAGGACCTGCACTTCCTGGAGGAGCTGCAGCTGAGCCACAACCGCATCCAGCAGCTGGCGGAGAGGACTTTCGAGGGCCTGGGGCAGCTGGAAGTGCTCACCCTCAATGACAACCATATCCAGGAGATCAAGGTCGGAGCCTTCCTCGGCCTGCTCAACGTGGCCGTCATGAACCTCTCCGGGAACTGCCTGCGCACCCTGCCGGAGCAGGTATTCCAGGGCCTGGGCCACCTGCACAGCCTGCACCTGGAGCGCAGCTGCCTAGGCCGCGTGCGCCCACGCACCTTCGCGGGCCTCACGGGGCTCCGCAGGCTCTTCCTCAAGCACAGCGGCATCAACAGCATCGACGAGCAGAGCCTGAGGGGGCTGCCCGAGCTGCTGGAGCTCGACCTGGCCGGCAACCAGCTGAGCCACCTGCCCCGTCGGCTCTTCCAGGGCCTCGGCAAGCTCGAGTACCTGCAGCTGGCCCGCAACCAGCTGTCGGCGCTGTCCGCCGAGGCCCTGGGTCCGCTGCGGCAGCTCTTCTGGCTGGACCTCTCGCACAACCGCCTGGAGGCGCTGGCCGAGGGCGTGCTGGTGCCCCTGGGGCAGCTGCGCCACCTGAGCCTCAGGAACAACTCCCTGCGGAGCCTCGCGCCTCCACAGCCGGGCCTGGAGCGCCTGTGGCTGGAGGGCAACCCCTGGGACTGTGGCTGCCCGCTCAAGGCGCTGCGGGCCTGGGCCCTGCGAAGCCCGGCCATAGTGCCTCGCTTCGTGCAGGCCGTGTGTGAGGGTGATGACTGCCAGGTGCCCGTGTACGCTTACAACAACATCACCTGTGCCAGCCCCGCCGGAGTGGTGGGCCTGGACCTGCGGGACCTGCCCGAGGACCACTTTGCCCACTGCTGACACCACGGGCGCCCCTGCTGCCCCAGCTCCCATGTTCTTTCCTTGCTGGGTGTTCCGCTAGCTCTGCCAGAGCCCAAGGGCTCAACCACAAGCGGGTGGGCAGCTAGGCAGGCAGCCCCCCACAGCTGTGGCCAATTAAAACCAAACCAACACCACCCCTGACTCGACCTCGCTGCCTGGGGGCGGGGCACCCAGTGGGCCCCTCCCCAGGACACCCGTCAGGCTGGGGGGGCACTCCCTCGGGTTCTGCTGGAGTCTCTTCCGCTTGTGCCTCCCCTCTGCGACAGCGGGCTGGGGAGCGGGCGGTCAGCTGCTGTGGGGACCGACACAGCACCCCACGACCCAGCCCCGGCTGACTGCTGGCTTGGTCCCCCTGAGCTCAACTGCCCCCTCCTGGTCATCTCTGACAGTCTCTGAAGACAAGGCCCCTCGTCCAAGCCTGCAGGAGGAGCTGGCAGGGCACCCATGGGCAGAAGCCAGGTGACCACTGAGGGGCACCAGACCCAGGCTATGGCAATGGAGGTGTTTAATTAAGGGGAGAAGGCAGCTGCGTGGCTTGCCCAGTTACGCTCCCTCCAGCCAGGAGCAGGTTCCCAGACAGTACCAAAGCTCGGGCAGTGGGCCGAGCTGGGCCCAGTGCAGGCCGACACATGGCATGCAGGGCAGTCCCTGTGAGTTCTGGGTCAGGCGATGCGGGCAGGCGTCCCGTCCAGAATCTTCTGGGCTATGGAGGTGAGCACGGGGAATGCTGGGCTCTTGGGGAACTCCTGGATGAAGTCCCGGCCCTCCTCCAGGCTCTTGCCAAGCTCGGGGTCCAGGGGCACAGAGCCTGCCAGGACAGAAGGTGATGCTGCCAGCCCTGCTCCTTGGGACCTCCCTGCCCACCACTCCAGCTGCCCTGCTCAGCACCCACCTAGGAAGGGGACGCCTGCGTGTCTGGCCAGCTCCTCGCCTCCACCCCGAGAGAAGATGCTGGTGCACTCCTAGAGGCAGCGCAAGCTCATCAGACTCGGGAGGGGAGGGAAGGGAGGGAAGAAGAAGGGAAGGAAGAGGAGGGGAGGGGAAGGAAGGGGAGTGGAGGGGAGAGGGAGGGAAGGGAGGGGAGGGGAAGGAAGGGGAGTGGAGGGGAGAGGGAGGGAAGGGAGGGGAGTGGAGGGGAGAGGGAGGGAAGGGAGGGGAGGGAAGGGGAAGGAAGGGAGGGGAAGGAGGGGAGGGGAGGGGAGGGGAAGGAGGAGAGGGGAAGGAAGGGGAGTGGAGGGGAGAGGGAAGGAAGGGAGGGGCGGGGAGGGGCGCCCCCAGGCTCCACCAGTTGGGTCCCTGACTCACTGAGCAGTGCGGGCAGCAGAAGCCGCTCATGTTCTCCACGACCCCCAGCACCTGCAGCCCCGCCTTCCTACAGAAAGTCAGCTGCCGCCTCACGTCCCCCACGGACACGGCCTGAGAGAGGCGCACAGGACGCGCTGTCAGCTGCAGCCTGGCCCAGCCCGGCCCCGCGAGGGTGCGCTGCGCCCGCGGGTACCTGTGGCGTGGTGACCACGAGCGCCTGCAGGCACCTGCAGGGACGCAGGGCTTCGACGGCGGCCATGTGCTCGTCCGAGGTCCCCGGGGGCGTGTCCACTACCAGGTAGTCCAGCTCCCCCCAGGCCACGTCTGACACAAACTGCTTGATGAGCGCTGTGAGGATGGGGGCGGCTGGGGCGGAGGCCCGGGAGAGGGACCCCCGCCTCGGCCGCCCTCTCCCCGGGGCCCGCCGTTACCGGTCTTCTTGGGGCCCCTCCACACCACAGCCTCGTCGGGCTTCTCCAGCAGGAAGCCCACGGACATGAGGGCGATGCTCTGCTCCTGGTCCACGAAGACCGGCACCCAGCCGCTGTCGCACTGGTGCACGGCCCTGCCCTGCGCGCGCAGCATGCGAGGGATGCTGGGCCCGCACAGGTCCACGTCCAGGATGCCCACCTGCAAGGAGCGCGGCGGGGCTCAGGGCGGGCAGGGCTCAGGGCGGACAGGGCTCAGGGCGGGCAGGGGCTCAGGGCGGGCAGGGGCTCAGGGCGGGCAGGGCTCAGGGCGGACAGGGCTCAGGGCGGACAGGGCTCAGGGCGGGCAGGGGCTCAGGGTGGGCAGGGCTCAGGGCAGGCAGGGCTCAGGGCGGGCAGGGGCTCAGGGTGGGCAGGGCTCAGGGCGGACAGGGGCTCAGGGCGGACAGGGCTCAGGGCGGGCAGGGGCTCAGGGCGGGCAGGGGCTCAGGGCGGGCAGGGCTCAGGGCGGACAGGGCTCAGGGCGGACAGGGCTCAGGGCAGGCAGGGGCTCAGGGCGGGCAGGGGCTCAGGGCGGGCAGGGCTCAGGGCGGACAGGGGCTCAGGGTGGGCAGGGCTCAGGGCGGACAGGGGCTCAGGGCGGACAGGGCTCAGGGCAGGCAGGGGCTCAGGGCGGGCAGGGGCTCAGGGCGGACAGGGCTCAGGGCAGGCAGGGGCTCAGGGCGGGCAGGGGCTCAGGGCGGGCAGGGCTCAGGGCAGGCAGGGGCTCAGGGCGGACAGGGCTCAGGGCAGGCAGGGGCTCAGGGCGAGCAGGGGCTCAGGGCGGGCAGGGGCTCAGGGCGGACAGGGCTCAGGGCAGGCAGGGGCTCAGGGCGGGCAGGGGCTCAGGGTGGGCAGGGCTCAGGGCAGGCAGGGCTCAGGGCGGGCAGGGGCTCAGGGCGGACAGGGCTCAGGGCGGGCAGGGGCTCAGGGCGGGCAGGGGCTCAGGGCGGGCAGGGGCTCAGGGCGGGCAGGGCTCAGGGCGCCGCGCGGGCCTCACCTTCTTGCCGTGGTGGCGCAGGGCCAAAGCCAGCTCGGCCGACACGGTGCTCTTCCCGACGCCCCCCTTCCCCGACAGCACCAGCAGGACGTGCCGGACGCCGGCCAGGTTCCCGAGCTCTGGCCAGACACGGAGGGCGGCCGGTCAGGGAGGCCGCGGCGGGGCCCGCGCGGAGGGCGAGGGTTGCAGGGCGCCAGGCCGAGAGCACTCACCCGCCGCCTCCATGCCGCTGCACACCGCGCCGGCCGCTACGCACGCATCCGCCAGTTCCCGGGGCAGACTGACTGGCCGCCCAGCCAATGAGCAGTCAGAACCCGCCCCCTGCTGCCTCTTGAAAGGCCTAGTCTCGCTCTCCTCAGCCAATCATATCATCGGAGCGGCTGTCGCTCTTTGCTCGTATTTCCGGCGTAGACGCCTGCTTGCAATTGAAGCTACTTCCTGGTCGAGACCCGAACGTGGGGCCGCCCGTCTCGACCAATGGCCGTGCGAGGCCTGTCTGCGACAGCTGGAGGAACGGCCAATAGCAGCGCCGAGTCAAGACTGATAGGTCGGGCAACCTATCTGGAGCAGGCGCGTCCCCAGAGACCCGCCCCCTCCCCCAAGCGTCGAGCCGGGCGCGCCCGCCTTCAGGCCCAATGCGGCGCTGGGGCGGGCAATGTTGACGTCCCGCCGGGAGCGGACGGTGGGTCACGGCGGGGCGGGCGGCAGCCCGAGGACCCCCGCGTCCAGCCGGCCGCTCTCCGCGGAGCCCGGGCCGGTTCGCCGCCGTCATGGCCAGGCGCCCCCGGAGCAGCCGGGCGTGGCGCTTTGTCCTGAGCGCGGCCCGCCGGGATGCGGCCGAGAGCGGCTACAACTCTGACGGGCAGGTGGGTTCCCCGACGCCCTGGGAGGCCTCTGCCTGCGGCTGCACCCCAGCTGCGGCCTCACGTCGGGGCGCTGCACCCCAGCTGCGGCCTCACGTCGGGGCGCTGCACCCCAGCTGCGGCCTCACGTCGGGGCGCTGCACCCCAGCTGCGGCCTCACGTCGGGGCGCTGCACCCCAGCTGCGGCTTCGTCGCTCAGGGACGCCGGCCGTGCTGACCCACATGCCCCTCGCCGTCGGGGCACCCGCTCCTCCCAGGGAGCCTGCATGCAGGCCGCCGTGGCGTGGCAGTGGGCTGCAGCTCTGTGGATTTGCATGGGGACAGCCCACCCGGGGGTCTCCTGTTGTGTCGAGGGGAGGCGCCTTCCCGCAGAGACAGAGACGCCATGGGCAGAGTGCAGAGCTCTGGCCAGTCAGTGCGGGAGGCCCAGCTGCCATGTCGGTATTAGGGAGGAAGGCCGGCGAGCTGGGCTATGAAGGGGCCAGCTGCCAGGACCGTCCGGCTGTCCCCTAGGCTGGGTCCACAGCTGTCCCCGTCCAGGACAGGCAGGACCAGGCTGTGCTCAGTCCCCGTGCAGCGCGCCGACGCGGCTCCCCGGCCTGGTGCGCTGAAGCTGGCGGTCGGGGGGGTCGGCAGGTGGGCTGTGCTGGCCACTGGAGACCCGGACGGCCTCGGCAAACAGCCTGCGCTTCCTCCCAGCACAGCGACTCCGACTCGGACCCCGAGTACGCGTCCTTGCCGCCTGCCATCCCCAGCGCCGTGCCCGTGACCGGGGAGTCCTTCTGCGACTGTGCCGGCCAGAGCGAGGCCTCGCTGCGCAGCCTGCACGCCGCGCACCTGAGCAAGGACTGCCGCTGCGGGGAGGAGGCGGAGCGTGAGCGCCGGGGCGGGGCCTGGGGGCGGAGCGTGGGCGCCGGGGCGGGGCCTGGAGGCGGAGCGAGAGCGCCGGGGCGGGGCCTGGGGCGGAGCGTGGGCGCCGGGGCGGGGCCTGGGGGGCGGAGCGCGGGCGCCGGGACTTGGATGCGAGGGGCGGAGCGCGGGCGCCGGGGCGGGGCCTGGAGGCGGAGCGAGAGCGCCGGGGCGGGGCCTGGGGGGCGGAGCGTGGGCGCCGGGGCGGGGCCCGACTGCGGGAGGCGGTGGAAAGGGCACGGGGCGGAAGGTGGAGCCTGGTGCAGGCCTTCCTCCAGGGTGGCATGGTGGAGCTGTGGGGCCCCCAGCTCCGGCTTCTCTGTGCTGCCAGACTTCGACTGGGTCTGGGATGACCTGAACAAGTCCTCTGCCACCCTGCTGAGCTGCGACAACCGCAAGGTCAGCTTCCACACCGAGTACAGCTGTGGCACAGCGGCAATCCGGGGCACCAAGGAGCTGGGCGAGGGCCAGCACTTCTGGGAGATCAAGATGACGTCGCCCGTGTATGGTACCGACATGGTGAGTGACGCTGGTCCCGGGGGTGGCTGCTGGGAATGCCAGGGCCGGCTCTCTGCCCAGCCCTGCTGTGCCTAGATGGTGGGCATCGGGACATCAGATGTGGACCTGGACAAGTACCACCACACGTTCTGCAGCCTGCTGGGCAGAGATGAGGACAGCTGGGGCCTCTCCTACACAGGTGAGTGGCTGGAGGGGGATGGGCTGCGGCCCTGGTGGCCCTCCGCGCTCACCACCCCTCCCGACCCCAGGGCTCCTGCACCACAAGGGCGACAAGACGAGCTTCTCCTCACGGTTCGGTCAGGGCTCCATCATCGGGGTGCACCTGGACACGTGGCACGGGACTCTGACGTTCTTCAAGAACAGGAAGCGCATAGGTGAGGTGGCCCCCTGCCCGGTGCCCGTCCCTGCGGCTGCCCGGGGACGTCAGCGTCCTGTCCCTCTCCCCGCAGGAGTGGCCGCCACCAGGCTGTGGGACAGGAAGTTCTACCCGATGGTGTGCTCCACGGCCGCCAGGAGCAGCATGAAGGTGGTCCGCTGCTGTGCCAGCTCCACCTCCCTGCAGTACCTGTGCTGTCGCCGCCTGCGCCAGCTGCGGCCGCACTCTGGGGATACTCTGGAGGGCCTGCCCCTGCCGCCCGGCCTGAAGCAGCTGCTGCACGACAAGCTGGGCTGGGTGCTGGGCATGAACCGTACCCGCCACAAGCCGCCCACGCCCGCGCCTGCGCCCGCCCCAGCCGGGACCGAGAACAGGCCCTGTCAGAGGAAACGCTGCCGACGGAGCTGACCCCCGGCTGTCCTCTCCCTGGCCACGGCCCACGTAGCAGAAGAAGCTGGGCCCTGCCTCTGCGGAGGTCAGGACTGCCTTGCCGCCTGGGCTGGGCAGAGCAACAGGTGGCCAGGCCCTCTGGACCCAGTGTGGGAGCCGAGTAGGGTGGCCACCCGGCGCTGCCTGCGGTGGAGGGCCCAGCTAGCAGCTGCTGCCCACAGCTCTGCGTGTCCTTAGCCGCTGTTCCCGCAGGCTCCATGACCCCAGGGACTACAATAAACAGAGTGTCTGTCTCCTGTGACTGAGCCTACTTGGGGCTGCCAAGCCCGTGTTCTTCCTTTGTCCTCGGTGTCCTGCCAGGCCTTGGGGGCAGTGGGACTGTCCCTCCTGTTCCCATAGTGCCCGGCTGGGACACGCGGGCACCATCTCTGCTACCTCCGCAGCCCTCGGGGTCCCCAGGAGCCACAGCAGTGGTCAGGAGCCCAGATCCAGCAAGAGGTTTGGGTCCGCTGTGCTCACGAAGAGGCAGAGCCGCCGAGCGAGGTCAGGCCCCACCCTGCGGGGCCGCCCACGGGTGCTGCCCTTCACGGGCAGGTCGGCCAGCAGGTGTTGGCGCTCCAGCTCACTGGTGCAGGCTGCCAGTGCCTAGGGAAGGTGTGAGAATCAGCTGAGGGCACCTGGGCACCAGTGCCGCCTCCCTGGGGCAGGAGCCCTACCTGCTGCAAAAGGCGTGGTGCAGGGAAGGCGGCCACGATAGAGTCGGCCACAGCGGGGCTGACACGGTTGAACTGCATTATCTGACGTCTCCAGGCCTCTCGCAGCCCGTGGCCATCTCTGGTGACCCGCACGCCTGCAGCCCAGCGCCCCGTGGTACAGAAGGAGAAGGATTGGCATTCTCGGTGCCACCTGCAGCCAGGGGCACGGGAGGCCGTCAGTCGGCTCTACCACTCTCACCCTCTGCCCACACCCCGTCCTAGGCAGCTGGCACCTGATCGGTTGCTGGGCCAAGGCTCGAGTGATGGCGCACACGTGCTGACTCAGCTCCTGCCACGAGGTCACCAGGAGCACGTCCAGGTCCGCCCAGAGCTGCAGGTGGACCAGTGCCTGGCGGGGGTTGGGCACAGCAAGGGCGTGAGCCACAGGATGAGCTGCCCCCGCCTCCATCGCCGCCGGCTGCGTGGCCCTCACCTCCTGCACCTCACGCCTGCTGATGGGCACTGGATTCTGTGTGGTCTCGGTCGTCTTTGCACTGGACTGGCGACACCTGAGTAGGGGTGTCTGTGCCTCAGCTTCCTGCCCTCCCCTGGGAGTGCTGATCCCACAGGTGCCCGTCCCAGTCAAGGAGGCAAGCAATACCACAGGTAAGCGTCCAGTCCGATGACAGCCAGGTGCTGGCGGGCGGTGCTCTGGGCGGAGATCCAAGGCACGGAGCAGAGGGGGCCAGAGGCCTGGAGGGAAGCAGACATGCCTGCTCACGGGAAGGGGTGACGCAGCGCCAAGCCCGAAAGGTCCCTTGAGCAAACCCCGGGATGCCCCTGGCTTTGCTCTGCGGCTCACAAGGGCGCCTGGCAGCTGTGTCAGCTGAGCAGCCGGCAGGGGTGCTGGCTGTCACGGGGAGGGCGAGTCCCAGGCCTCCCACTCTGCCAAGAGCTGCCCAGGGACCAAGGAGGAGCTTCAGCCCAGGCGAGCGGGGAAGCAGGGGGTACGGCGGGGAGCGGGCCGCGGCCCCTTCAGCACCTGCAGCAGCCCGGCCACCCCCTGCACAAACTCCTCAGGCTCCAGCAGTAGCAGCTCCTGCTCCTCCGGAAGCTCCTGGGGGGACACGGGAGGCATTGGGGGCCCTGGGGGGTGCCTGCAGGGGTGAGGGTTCAAGGGCACCTCCACCAGCCTCCGGTGGGCACTCACGCCGCGCGGGCAGGGGTCCAGTGCCGCTCCGCTCCAGCGCAGGCTCCGCGCGCGGCGCTGCGGCTCGAGGAGGCACTGACAGCCCAGGGCGCCCAGCGCCTCCAGCAGCACGTCCGCGCCCGGGTCCTCCAGGAGAGCTGCGGCCGCGGCGGGGACCTTCAGCCGCGCCCCTCCGCGGGGACCCCTCTCCGCCCGCCCGCGCCCCGCACCCCGCACCTGGGTCGACGCCCACCGCCAGGCGCCTCAGGGCCTGCTCCGGCCGCAGCGCCCTGGCCGGCGGAGCCCGCGCCCCCGTGCTGGCCTCTGCCCCGGCGGGACCCTCGGTGTCCGAATCCGAGATCTCCCAGGTGGGCGGCCTCCGCGGGGCGCGGCGCGAGCCCCGAGCGCTCGCCATGGCCGGGCCGGCCCCTCGCCGCCGCGCTTCCGGCCGCGCCCGGGCCGCTTTGCCGGCCGCACCGGCGACTTCCGGCCGCCCCCGGGCCGCTTTGCCGGCCGCACCGGCGGCTTCCGGCGCAGCATGGCGCGGAAGAAGGTGCGGCCGCGGCTGATCGCCGAGCTGGCCCGGCGCGTGCGGGCCCTGCGGGAGCAGCGGGAGCGGCCCCGCGACGCGCAGCGCTTCGCCGTGGACTACGCGACCCTGACGCGGCCGCACACGGGCCGCCCGCTGCCCGCGCGCGCCTGGGCCGACGTGCGCCGCGAGAGCCGCCTGCTGCAGCTGCTCGGCCGCCTGCCGGGCTTCGGCCTGGGCCGCCTGGTCACGCGCAAGTCCTGGCTGTGGCGGCACGACGAGCCCTGCTGCTGGCGCCTCACGCGCGTGCGGCCCGACTACACGGCGCAGGTGCGTGCCCGCTGGGCCGGGGTGCCTGCTGGGCCGGGGTGCCCGCGCTGAGCCGGGGTGCCCGAGCTGGGCCGGGGTGTCCGCTCTGAGCCGGGGTGTCCGCTCTGAGCCGGGGTGCCCGAGCTGGGCCGGGGTGTCCGTGCTGAGCCGGGGTGCCCACTCTTAGCCGGGGTGCCCGAGCTGGGCCGGGGTGCCTGCTGGGCCGGGGTGTCCGCTCTGAGCCGGGGTGCCCGCCCTGGGCCGGGTTGCCCGTGCTGAGCCGGGGTGCCCGAGCTGGGCCAGGGTGCCCGAGCTGGGCCGGGGTGCCCGCGCTGGGCAGGGATGTCCGTGCTGAGCCGCGCGCCGCTTGCTGTTTTGCAGGACCTGGACCACGGCAAGGCCTGGGGCGTGCTGACCTTCAAGGGTGAGGGGGCGCGGGCGGGCTGGGCGCGGGCGAGGGGCGGCGGGCGGCGGACGCTGAGCCCCGCTCCCCCCCCAGGGAAGACGGAGAGCGAGGCGCGCGAGATCCCCCAGGCCATGTACCACGACTGGCGGCTGGTGCCCAAGCACGAGGAGGCGGCCTTCGCGGCGGTGGCGAGGGAGGACGCCGCGCCCGGGGCCGCGCCGCGCAAGGTGCCCTACCCGCCGCTGCTGCGCGCCATGATCCTGGCCGAGCGGCACCAGAGCGGGGACCGCAGCCTGGAGGAGCCGCTGCTCCACCTGGGGCGCGCCCGCGTGGAGCCCTGGGACTACCCGGTCCGGCTGGAGGCGAAGCCCAGGGGCACCCCCGTGTAGGGCGCCCCGCGGGCGGGGGCCGGGAATAAAGACAGACTCGACTCGCGTGGCCTGCGTGTGGTGTTTTGTCTCGGGGCTGCGGGGACGCGGCGCGGCCCGGGCGAGGGTTCCCTTTAAGTGCAGGCCCCGCCCCGGGCGCCGCCCGCTGCACCGGGCCAGGCCGCCATCATGATCTGCTTGCTGCTCGCCCTCTTCGCCCACCTCTTCCCGGCAGGTGAGCGGGGGGCCCGGGCGGGGGGCGGCCGGGGACGCGGGCCGGCCTGACGCTCCGACCCCGCAGCCGGCAGCGGCGTGCAGGAACGCACCTTCCTGGCCGTGAAGCCGGACGGCGTGCAGCGGCGGCTGGTGGGCGAGGTGGTGCGGCGGTTCGAGACCAAGGGCTTCAAGCTGGTGGCGCTCAAGCTGGTGCAGGTGGGCTGGCGGGGCTGGCGGGGCGGGGCGGCCGGCGGGGGGCCTGGCGCGAGCTGCCCGCACTGCCCCGCAGGCCTCGGAGGAGCTGCTGCGTGAGCACTACGCCGAGCTGCGCGAGCGCCCCTTCTTCAGCCGGCTGATCAAGTACATGGGCTCGGGGCCCGTGGTGGCCATGGTGAGCTTCGCGCGGGGCGGGCGGCGAGGGTGCCCCGGCTGGCGCTCGCTGACCGCCCGTCCTGTGCAGGTGTGGCAGGGCCTGGACGTGGTGCGCGTCTCGCGGGCGCTCATCGGCGCCACCGACCCAGCGGACGCACTGCCCGGCACCATCCGCGGCGACTTCTGCATTGAAGTTGGCAAGTAAGGCCGCCCAGGGTCGGCCCCGCCTCGTGCTTCGCGCCTGCCTGCACTCACGCGCCCCTCCCGCGCAGGAACGTGATCCACGGCAGCGACTCGGTGGAGAGCGCACGGCGGGAGATCGCGCTCTGGTTCCGGCCCGAGGAGCTCCTGTGCTGGGAGGACGGCGCAGAGCACTGGCTGTATGAGTAGCGTACGGAGCACTGGCCACCCTCAGCCCGCACGGCGGGAAGCCTGCACGGCGGGAAGCCCGCACGGCACCCATCCCCTTGTGCAATAAACGGGGAGACTGTGTGGACGCCGACTCGAGCGGGAGCGCGTTGTTTATTACATACAGAGCAGATACAGGGGTCACTTGCAGGGCCAAGCCTCGGGAGGGTCGTCTGTGGCCCCTTCCCCGAGCTGCATGCCGCCCCCCAACCCCAAGTCCACAGACGAGGGACTGGACAGATGTCACAGTGGAGAGGCGGCAGGGTGGCGGGAGAAGCCTGGGCGTGTGTGTGTGTGTGTGTGTGGCTGCGTCCAGGCGGGGCAGCTCCCCGAGCTCTGTGCTTCTCTGGAGGGAGGGCGTGGGCAGCAAGGTGTCCTTCTGAGCAGGAGTCCTGACAGGGCCCAGGCAGCCGCACCCCCTCTCCTGCAGCGGCAGCCCTAGGCACTTAGCAGTCTGGGAGCACACCCTCCATCACCTGAGGACTGGCCCAAGGGCCCCGCCTCCAAGGCCAAGCTATCTGCAGATGGCCCTGGGGGCGGGCAGGGGGAATGACACCAGTGGGTGAGGGGGCTGGGGGACGCTGGGCAAAGCCCAGAGAAGGCCGGTGCGTTCTAGGCACTGGGCAGCCTGGGCCCCTCGCTAGGTGAAGGCGGTGCAGGCCTGTGTCCTCACAGCCAGGCCTGGGAGGTGGGGGCCCACGCCCCCATGGGCAGCATGCAAAGGCAGATGGGCCTGGGGGCCCTGCTCCCTGATGTGGGGTGCCAGGAAGAGCCCGGGATGGGGGTCAGGCCCTTGGTACCCTTGGGACTTGAAGCTCTGGGCACTGCCCAGGACGTGTTGGGGACAGGCCCTTCTTCCTCATTGACCCGTCACCCCTTCCCTCAGCAAGGGCCCGGAGCTCAGGACAAAGCTGCGGGTTGAGAGGGTGGGCGGGCAGGCGGGGGTCCTATGTACAGGTCGGGGGCAGCGGCCTCACTCGGGGGTGTAGGACACTTGCCACACGATGATGTGGCTGCGCTCCGCCTTGGACAGCATGGGCTTCACCTGGCCCACGTCCCCGGCTCCCTCCTCTGCCTCGTCGTCCTCTCCGTCGCCTGGGGGGATGGCATGGCTGTGGGCTGCGAGGGGTCCGGCACCCAGGCCACCCCGGGCCGTGCCCACTCACCGATGCGGAAGTCGATGTAGCCCTCGCCGCCGCTCAGCACCAGGACGTTCTTCAGCCTCTGTCCCTCGGCGTCGGCCGCAGGGCCCGGGCTCTCGGACGGGCTGTCCAGCACGCTGCCGTTGAGGGTGGCCAGCACATTCCCTGCCACGGGACACGGGAGCTGTGCGTCAGCAGCTCCCGGGACGGGGTGAGGGTGCCCGCCTGCGTGCACGTCTGACTGGCCCTCACCTGGCACGGAGACAAAGAACTTGACGGCGTCGCGGTGGCCGTGGAAGCAGAGCTGGGCCTGGGCCATGGAGCAGTAGGGGATGAAGCTGCTAGTGGACTTGTCGCTGCCGCCGTCACCGTACACATGGATGACCCCTCCAGGCCGGGCCCCCTCCCCGGATGTGGGCGAGGTCTTGTTGGCTGAGTCAGAGAGAGGGGCTGAGGCCCAGAGCTGGGCGGAGGAGGGTCAGCCACACCGGCCTGGGGCAGACGCCGGACTTACCTCGGAGCCCCAGGAGCTGGCCTCGGTGCAGGACCACGGCTGGGCGGGAGGGAGGAGATGGCATTAGAGCAGGCAGGGGGGCAGCCAGGAGCCCTCACCCTGGGGAGTGCCGTGGCAGGGTTCACTCACTCTCAGTCAGGGGGATGGAGATGACCACGCCATTGCCGGTGCCCACCCAGAGGCGGTTGCCCGCGATGAGCAGGGCCGTGATACGCACGAAGGAGAAGCCCAGCTTGCCAGTGCCTGGGGCAGGCCGGGAGAGGGTCAGTGTCCCTGGCCTGGGCGCTCCTGCACCCCCGCCCCCGCACAGGCCCTCACCCAGCATCTTGCTGACGTAGGGCTCGATGTCCACGTCCTGCAGGTGCTGGTGGGTGTGGGCGTGGTACAGCCGCAGCGTCGAGTCCAGTCGGATAGATACCCACACGCCGTCGCCGATCCATGCCAGCTGCCGCACCTGGCTCTCCCGCCGCGGGTGGGCGTCAAATGACTTCTGTGGGTCAGGGACACTGTTCTCCACGTGGGGAACGGGGGCAGGGTCCTGGGCAGGGCTGTGCGCAGCTCTGGGCAGGACGGGGGCCTGCTTGGCAGCCGGCGTGGGGCACGCGGGCCTCACCTCCACCTGCATCGTCTTGGGCTGGATGACGTGCACTTTGTTCTTGTAGCCACACCACACGCGGTCGTCCACCACGGCCATGCAGCGGATCGAGTGGTGCGGGTGGCCCAGGTCCATCAGGTGGTAGTTGCTCAGGTCCCACTGGCCATCTGGGGAGAAGAGAGGCTCAGGCTCAGTGGGCACAACTCTGTCCGCGGGCAGCGCTGGAGCGGCCCCCGGGGTGCCCCCCGCCCCCGCGTCTGGGTTACCTTCGCCTCGGTGGAAGATGGCCAAGGTCCCGTCGGCCAGGGCTACCAGCACCCGGCCCTTGACGTGCCTGCAACAGGAAGGGGGCTCAGGCTGTGTGGGGGCCCCAGGTGTCCCCCAGCCCCCGCCTCGGGGCCACCTACACCAGGCTGAGCACGGAGTCCTTCAGCTTGATGGAGTGCAGACACTTCTTCCAGTTGGCCACGGCCGAATGCACGTAGAGCCTGTGGGAGCGGGCGGCTGTGGAGCAGGGACTTGGGGCCTCCCTGCCCCCACCCCACCCTTTCTACCCTACCTACCAGCCGTTCTGGGCTCCAAGCCACATGGTGGGGGCGGCGCTGCTGCCGGCCCCTGTGGGGTCCCCGCTGGGTTCGGGCTCGTGCTGAGCAACACTGCTGTCTGGTTCTGACCCGTTCTCACTGTGGGAAGGCCTGCCCTGTGAGCCCATGACCCTGTCCACCTCTGCCAGCCTTCCCACCTCTGCTGTCCCGGGAGCCCACCTGCCAGGTTGGGTGCTGGTGGGCGGGGTGGGGGCTGGGTCGGTGAAGACGTGCTCGGTGAGGGTCCCGGGCCGCACTGCGGCTGCCTCTGGCTCGCTAGGCCCGGGCTCTGGCACTTCCGTGGCTTCTGTGGCCTCCTCCGTGGACTGCGAAGGGTTGGCCTTCCCATTGGCAATGGCAGCCACTTCCCCTGTGGGAGGAGGGGTGAGCCTGGGCTGGGCAAAGACAGGGGTGCTGTGCGGGGTAACACCAAGCCCAGCACTCACCCTGGCCCTTGTCCAGCACAGGGGTGTCCCCGCGGGAGGAGCAGCTGCTGTGTGGCACGTTGCAGCGCGTGGCACAGCCCACCAGGGTGATGCCGGCCAAAACGCCGTCGGTGCTCGAGTCCTCTGGGTTCACATCACTGTCCAGGAACATCTCCCCTGGCGGGTAGTCGCTGTCGCTGGCAGCTGGGGGCACGGGCCCGTTAACGCTCAGGAACCCAGTGCATGCAAGGCCACACCTGCTGCCCAGGGCACAGCCTCCCGCCCCCTCCCAGAGCTGCCCACAGCCCTTCGGGTCGTAGGACAAGCCAGAAGGCCCCCGTTACACCCGAGCTTGCCTCTCTGCGCCCCCTTGGGCTCACCGGGGATGCTGGAGATGCACAGCACATGTGCATTGCACACGGTGAACTGGTCCACAACCGTGCCCGGCTGGTTGGCGTCGATGATGACCACCTTGCTGGTGGTCAAGGTGCTGGTGAGGACCCACACCCTGCTGGACATGGTGTCCGCTTCTGGGAGCTCCTTCGCCTGGGGGGCAGGGCGCGGGCTGGCAGGGCTGGCAGGGCTGGCACCTGCACCCCGAGCAGCAGAACCCAGATTCTGGGCTCTAATGTCCCTTGTGCCCGGGATGGCCTTACTGCCCAAGGGGAGACTGTGCCCTGCACACCCTTGGGCATCTGGGAGCCCCCACAGCTCAGGGCAGCGGAGGGCAGCAGCCTGCTCCCCGAGACCACCCCCAGCTGCACGCTGAGCTGACCTTTTTCTCGGGAGAGGTGTGGTTGCTCCTGGACTCGCTGTCTGTCTCCCGGTCGCAGGTCAAGGGGTCGCGGCCTGGCGTGGGCTGTGCACCATTTCCAGGGCCGTCCTCGCTGGGCTTCCACCCGGTCAGGTTGACACCCGCGGCACACCACAGCTGCAAGGACGAGGCGCTGGGTGCCACGCCGGCCTGCAGACCCAGCTCTCCCGCCTGGCCCGCCCTCTGGCCTCACCTTCATGGTGGGGTCCTTCTCCACCAGGGGCCGGCAGTACACCGGCACGGGCACGTTCCTCATCCGCGTGTCCTCCTGGCCGCCGCTGGGGCTCAGCTGCAAGGAGGGCAGGCGGCGTGGCTCCTCCCCTGCCCAGCCGCCCTGCTCTCCGCCCACCCCGCGGGAGCCCCCCGGCCACACCTGCTTGTACTTGGCGGGCAGACTCCAGCCGCAGGCCTGCAGCCGCCCGTCGTCGTTGCGCACGTGCTCACGCACTTGGCGGTACTGCTCCCGCTTCTGCTCCCGCCGCGCCGACGACGTGCAGTCACTGGCAGAAGAGACAGCCCGAGTGTGTGTCCGGGGGGCCAGGGAGGCCCGAGCCCGTCCTGCCCGCCACCTCCCTGGTCTTCAGGCTTCACTGGCAGGACCCGGTGTGGGGAGCGGTGAGGCTCTTTGGGGTGAGCACAGGAGGGGAGTGGGATGGGTCCCGTGACTCGCATGGCACCTTAGGTCTGAGAGCAGCCTGGGTGTGGGTATGGGGGCAGCCTCTACCCAGGACAGCACTCAGCCTGGTGGCCGCTGTGGCCTGATGCCCTGGCCAGCAGCCGTGGCCAGGAGCGGTGAGGCGGGGCCCAGGACACATCAGAGGGCCACTCACTCATCAGGGAAGAACTCCAGGGGCCGGCTGCCAGCAGAGATGGGGCACATGGCGTGGCTGCGGCGCTGGCTGAAGCCGGCCGTGGTGGGAGACTTGTAGTGAATGTTCACCGAGGGGTAGGCCCTCTTGGCAGGCGGGGGGCTGGACGAGGAGCTGAAGAGGCGGCTGAAGCTGTGGCAGAGGCGCAGGAGGTGAGCGTGGGCCGCTCCTCGGCCAGGGGACCCCGACGCCCCCTTCCTTGCCCCTAACTCACAACTGCCAGATGGTGGACTTCTTCTTCTCCTGCACGGATGGGTGCTCCCGGGATGCCCTGTGGGGAGGGCACGTGGAGGCTCACTGGGGCCCCGAAGGCTCCCCGAGGTGAGGACCCCACGCCCTCCCCCGTGCAGACAGGCAGCACAACCCTGCGTGGGCAGAGCCGTGTGCAAGCCCACCTGATCATCTCGGTCCACCTCACAGCCTCCTGAAGCTCCATCAGCCGCTCCTTGTACTGGTTCCGCTCCATGAGCACGCGGGCCATCTCTACCCGTGTGAATCGGCGCCGCTGGGCCATGGGGATTTTGTCCTTACGGGAACAGGTGCTACACGTCAGCCATGACAGATAGGCCAGCGGGTTGCAGTAGCTTCCCTGGGCACCCACTAGCACCTGCGGTCTCTTGCCTGCGATGGGGCAGGTACCCCCGGACACTGCAGGCAAGGCCAGGGTGAAACCAGAGAGGTGCTGGGGGGTGCCGCCGGAAGGGCGCCCTCCCAGGATAGGGAAGTCTCCAGCAGCACCACACGCCCTCGGGGCTGTCAGTGTGGGAGGCTTCAGGCCGCCATAGTTCCCCCTTGCCTTCCCCTGGCTGCATGGGGTGGGCGCTGTGGCCCAGCACTCACCATCCCGCCTCCCGACCCCCTTGGAGCCCAGGCAGGAGCCGAGTCCTGGGGTGAGCCTGCCTCAAGGGGGTGGCTGTTGTTGGGTGCTCCGGAGGGTCCCCATGGGGAGGGGCTTCCCAGGACCAGCCCAGCTCCTCAGGGTCACGGGGGTTGCAGAGCGCAGGATCCTGGAGCCTGCTGACACAGCCACCCACCAGGACTGGGCAGCCAGAGTGCTGACATGCCCCTGGCTCCAGGAGGTTAGGGGGAGCGGTGAGGATCAGCAAGGCCCTGGGTCCCAGACACTCCCCCGGCTCTGTGCTCTGTGCCCTCTCTGTTGGCAGATCGGGGGCCTTTGGAGAAGCAATGGTGGAACATCCCAGCCTTCTACCCCTGGTAAAGGAGCGCCCCCTCTCTGCCGTCCCCGCCCTGTAGCGGCAGGGGAAGGTGGCGGTACCAGCTCTGCACAGAGGTAGCTCCCCACATCCTCCACCTCCTCTTTGGGCTCGCGGCGGGCAGTGATGGCCTCTGACTTCACTCTGTGTGATGAAGGGAGCAGGCAGCGGTGAGCGCCTCCAGGCTCCTGGCAACCCCCAAGCTGTGCAGGCTGCAGGCAAGACGTTGCCTCCAGGCCTCTGCCCCCCGCACCACGACCCGTGGCAGCCACTTTCCTGGGGACACATGACTGCACACCAGCCTCCCCGCTGTCCCAATGCACAGGCTTCCATCCCACTGCTCTAGGAATGGGGGGTTTCAAGGCTGACAGGGGGTGCTGGAACCAGAGCGGGCGGAGCAAAGCAAAGGAAAGGGGTGGGAGCAGTGAGCAGGGGTGTGTGGAAGGGTGGCATGGGCGGCAGGACCCCCCAGATGTGGCAGGCAGCCCCACAGTGGGGTGATGTAGAGGTGGGGCTGGGGCACAGAGCAGACTCCCCCCCCCACACACACACGTGGCAGGCTCCTGTGGGCCAGTGGCCCGCTGGGCACACAGGAGGGCCCACAGCTGAACCGAGCAGCAGGTACAGTGCTGGGGAAGGAGCGTGCCCTTGGGAGCCAGGCAGGGCGAGGCCAGGGCCGGCCCAGGCTCACCTCTTCAGCTCCTCCTCCAGCTCCTTGATGCGGCTCTCCAGCTTAGCTTTGGCCTGTTTTGCAGCCTCCAGCTCCCCCCTCAGCACCTCCTGCTCCCCAGACAGCTGGTCAACCTTGGCAATGAGGTCATTCTTCACTACGTTTAGGGCGTTTCTTGGAAAAGGAAGAGAAAGGTGTTCTGTGAGCCAGGTGAGGTGGGCATGGGGCATCTGCCCACTTTGCTGCCAGACTGAGGGCCCTTGGAGAAGCTGCAGGCAGGGCTGCCCACAGACATTGAGTACTCCTAGTACTCAGTCCGAGCTGCCTCCCCTCCCAGCCGGGCAGCCTCAACCACGTGTGCTCGGGATGGAGCAGGGCATGCTTACTTGGTTTCCAGAAGTTGGGAGTTTTCCAGCAGCAGATTCCCCACTTCTTTGCCCATTCCTGAAAGAAAAGGTGCAAGAGTTTCAGTGCTGCCCCACAAGGCAGACCCTGGGAGTGCGGTGTGGGCTCTGGGACTGCAGCCTGAGGTGGAGGCCAGGCTGGACAGAATGGAGAGAGGCAGAGCCAGGGCTGCCACTGTGGCCAGAGGCTCTGGTTGTGGCTCCCTGGCCAGCAGCACAGCCCACATCCGTGCACCCAGGTGGGGTTGCATCGTGGACCACAGGGCTGGGCTCCAGGTGGCTGCTCTGTCCTGCCCACTGTCACACATCCAGCAGAGGTTTCAGGGCCCTTCACCTCCGGGGCCACCCGCAGACCAAGGTGAAGGGGCGTCCCGAGGCGGGGCCTGGCTGTGGCTGTGGGGCACGAGGCTGGTTCCTGCTGCTTCTGTGGGTACACCTTTCCAAGGCCCCCAAAGCATGAGCCTCGTCCTTTGGGATGCCCCAAAAGCAGGACAGCTTAGGGTTGTGTTGCCTCCCTCTGACCTCCCTGATGGTGGTGCACAGGACCCTGACACGTGTCAGCACTTGGTGGGGACCCCGGCTGACCCTCCGTGTCAGGGTTGGTCATCTCAGAGGGAGCTTGGAGCCTGCACCCTGCTGACCCCACCGCCGCCCCACCATGCAGAATGGAGCAAGCGGCTCGTGAAGTGCGAAAGATGTCAGGTTGCAGGGATGCCAGAGTGAGGGAAAACACGGAGATGGGCTGCGGCCTTACCAAAAAAATCATCGCGCACTATAGCGTCACAGTCCCACGGGAGATGGGCAACGGGGCGGGCAGAGAGGGAGAGAAAAGAAGCGCATTACGGCGGGGTGGAGCGCAGGGCACGGGGCTTCAAGGCGGCTGCTGGCTGGGAGGCGACAGCAGGGGCAGCAGGGCAAATGGGTGGGGAGAGAGGCAGTGACCCCTCTGGCAGCCAGAGGCACTGGGCTGGGAGGGGCCCAAGGGCCTATGCTAAGAAGCAAGAAGGGGCGTCTCTTGGGGCACACACAGCTGGGGCAGGGTGGGGCAGGGGTGCAGCAGGGCCCTGGACGGGTGGGTCTCCTGGCAGGCCAAGAGAGAGGCTGTGAACTCAGCCCCATCCACTCAGCTTCCTATGTGCCCAGTGGGTCCGAAGAACCTTCAGAAATGGCCCCAAATGGGGTGAGGGGCTGTCAGGCTGAGCTGAGGGGTAGGACCCCAGGGATAGCCAGGTCTGGTAGAGCGGAAGCTGGCCAGTGAGCGGAGCAAGGGGTTCCCAGGGCTGCTGTCCACCTGCACACAGACTGGGGCAGGGACACGGAGACATACGCACCTGAGAACTCCCCTGGGCCGAGTCCAGTGAGGCGGACAGGGAAAGGAAGGACAGAGTCAGTTGGTGACTGGAACCAGCAGAAACAAAGACAGCTTCATTGAAGAGCGGGCTGCGGCAGAGGCGAGCCGGGAGCAGGGCTCACCGGGAGCAGGGATGGCAAGGAGGTCGGGGCAGCAGACCTGGGAAGCCAGCCCCGGGGTCTGCCCCATGGCGGGCAGGGACGTGAGCGCCCACTGTCTCGCAGGGCGCACAGCAGCAGGAAGTGGGGGTCGGGAACACGGCTGGCTCTCAGTAGGGGATGGAGACCTGGTTGTGCCAACCCTCACAGCCCTGGTCTCACGGGCACGGCTGCCTTCGGGAGAGCAGCATGCGGACCACAGTGAGTAGAAGAGTCCTCAGGAATGTTCTAGAAACCATGGGAGAATGGGCAGGCAGTGCCAGTGGCTCCTGCGACAGTAAGATTCCTAACGGCAAATCGCAGAGTTAGAGCGGAAGCCGAGCAACTCACAGCACATAGAAAGTTAGGGGGCTGTTTGGAGGGGGGTCGGTCAAGAAGCTGGGCTGCAAGGGTCCCGCCATGGCACAAGCGCCCAACCCGTGCTTCCTGGATTTGTCTGCACACCTCCCCAGTCATCCGTGGGCCACGAGGCAGGTCGCACGCTGCCCGAGCAATGGAGAGAACAGGCTGTGCACATGCGGCAAGTGACTGGCCACTTGAAGGATGATTTTTCTGAATACTAGCGCCTTTTGTACTTATAATACACATTTTTATAATGCATAGAAAAAAATTTTCAAGGGGGTCCAGTTGAGCCTAATAGCAAAAGTCCTCGCCTTGCATGCGCCAGGATCCCATATGAGTGCCGGGTCTAATCCCAGAGGTGCCATTTCCCAGCTCCCTGCCTGTGGCCTGGGGAAGCAGCAGAGGACGGCCCAAAGCCTTGGGCCCTGCACCCGCGTGGGCGACCTGGAAGAGCTCCTGGCCTTGGGTCGGCTCAGCTCCGACCGCTGTGGCCATCTGCGGAGTGAATCAGTGAGCAAAAGTTCTTCCTCTCTGTCTCTCATTCTTTTTGTAAAAGCTGACTGCAATAAAAAATAAATAAATCTTTAAGAAGAAGGAGAAAAAAAAAGAACATTTCCAGGGGTCAGCATTATGGTAGAGCACTTAAAGCCACTGACTGCAATGCCAGCGTCCCGGCTGCTCCAGAAGGTGGTCTAAGTGCTTGGACCCCTGGCACCATGTGGGAGACCTGGGTGAACGCCTGGTTCCTGGAGCCATTAAAGATGCCACGTGCCCACGGCATTCCATGTCCTTTCGGTCTGACCGGGAACACACCTGGTGCTCACCGTCTAGCACACAGTGAACATCTCCAGGGTGGGGGGTCCTCTGCTACAACCCAGACACCCCCAAGCCTTGGTCACGCACAGCCACACACACACACACACACACACAGACACACACACACACACATGGCCACACACATGCAGTCACACACACACCGTCGTACACAGTCACACACACACACATGCAGTCACACACACACGCACACAGTCATACACAGACACACACACAGTCACACACACACGCACACCATCGTACACAGTCACACACACACATGCAGTCACACACACACGCACAAACACACAGTCGTGCACACATGCACACACACACTGCCTCTCTTGGGTGCGCCTGGCTGTGGCTTGGCTGACGAGAACTCCCTCTGCCCAGCAGGTGGCAGTGCGAATCCCATGTTGGTTCTGCTCCCTGGAGGACACCCCGATCACCGGCCATCATTGTCTGATGCAAGCATCAGGGGTGGATCTGAGAGCTAGGGAAGTGAGTGCCAGATGGAAAGGTCCTTATGCCCCCTCCCTGTGCTGGCTGGCAGAGCTGGGTGGGCACACGCTGACCAGGCTAAGGTGGCACAAGAGCATGGCACCCATCAGCAGAGACTGTCAGGGAAATAGCCTGGCCTAGGCAGGGACAGCAACGCACCCACCGTGATGTCCAGAGTCCCAGGACGCCACACTGGCCCAGGGCACCCGCACTACCCTGGCTGTGGCCTCTCCCTCCAGTGCCGGGAGAGGGGAAATGAGACCCACGCAACGGCTGTCTTCCCAGCAGTACTGCCGGGGCTGCAGCGGGAATGGGGCCACAGCCCTGGGACCTGTGGCCTTTTCTCCCAGGGCTGAGCCATGCAAACAACAAGGGGCCTGCATTGACCTGCCATGGACATACGGGCACCTGCCATGTCTGGACACTGCGACCCACGGGCTGGAGGGTTCCTCGTGGAGCAGTCTGCTACCTACACCGCCCTGCCCTCTCCCACCAGCTCACCAAGGCCTCTGGAGAGCAGGTGGCTGGGAGAGGGGCAGAAACACAACCCCACCAGCCCAGCAGAGGCTCTGGAGCTGACAGCGCCAAGCTCTGCAATCAATAAACCTGTGTAAAGAAGCTCCCGGAGTGGACACAGAATCCCGAGGGAAATAGGCAGACAGCACCTCTGAGCGTGGCTCACACGCCGTTACCTAGGAGGTCGGCGCCTTCGTCCACGTCCCCGATGACCTCGGAGCCCGCCGTCGACAGCTCGTGGTAGAGGGAGTCAGTGTTGATGCCGAAAGCTTTGTTGACGATCCCCTGGGTGGGGCTGTCGGGACACACCGGTCAGGAGGGCAGCCAGGGGCATTGCAGCCAGAGGCCGACTTAGAGCACACGCGGCACCAGACCCGGAGTGTGTACCTGTTCCCTGGGCGGTCCAGGCGGGTCTCGGGACACATGTCCAGCTCAGGAGTGGAGTCGATGATGTCCTGGACATCGGACCACTCGTCACTGCTGCCCATGCCTGGGGAGGACACAGCCATCAGGCCTGCACAGCTGCTCTGGGTGTGGGCTGGGGACGCGGTGCTAGGCCCCACTGGACAGCAATCAGCAGGACAGCTGACCAAGAGCTGGGCAGAGGCCACAGGGCTCAGTGGCCAGGCGCCACCTCCTGCCCAGGGCCATCTCTGTCCAGACCGAGTGTCCTCTTGCCTTTCTCCAGACAGCAGCTGCTAGCCACGGTGGTCTGCCAGGCTGTGCACACTGTGTGCCAACCTACGTGCCAGTGCCCTACCTGGGGAGGGGAGAGCAGGGCGTATGGTGGGCCCTCACTCTGTGTGACCAGGGTCCTAGCAACCAAGCTCATGCCACACAGATGGGGGGCAGTGTGAGGGAGGCATGGAGGTACCACTGTACCACACAGACAGGGGCAAGTGTGGACACCCACGGGCGGAGGGCCGTTCTCTGACGTGTGTGCGCATGCCCAGGGCAGTCCTGTGGCAGTGGCCACCATACCTATGCTGACATTGCGCATCTCCTGCGTGACCTGGACCTCCATGTTGCGGCTGTTGCGTTTCTCCCGGGACCGGGCGCTGTTCTTGCTGCCACCGCCGAAGTCTCCCCCCAGGGGCTGCATGTTCTCGGTGAGGGGCGTCACTGCAGCCGAGGGCACGGAAGAGGTGGGCGTGTTGGACTTGGTCCCCGTGGTGCTGGGCGTGGCAGCTGCTGAGGACTGGCCAGACTCGGACATCTCATCAGGAGGACACTAGGGCCAAACACAGGGAGGGAACGTGTCACCACATCCCTGACACCTGAAGCCGCCGGGTGGCCGCGGGGCCCATGGCCTTGCTCCTCCAGGAGCTCATCCTGCTCCGTGGCTGCTGCCTGTGGCTCCGGGAACCAGCTTGGTTCTCCCAGCACCGCCCAGCATGACAGGCGTGGTGTTGTGTGGAGCACCTGTGCAGCTAGGCAGGGTGGGGAGGGCGGAGAAGAGGGAGCTGATAAGACGTATATTGCTGGTCCCACCCGCTCCTGCCTCCAGGAGACACCTGCTCAGCCCTGGCTGGCCCCGCAGGCAGCTAGAGAGGGGCATGGCCCTACAGGTGCATGGCACATGACCCCAGACTCCTTCAGACCAGAGACCTGAGCGTTAACGCAAAGGGACTGTAGATCCCCCTCACGGTGGTCTGCTGCCAGGAGAAGCAGCAGCTGCCACGGTGTGGGGGACTCCCTGTCTCCTCAGCACTAGACGAAGTAAGCTCATGACAGGTGGCCCCACACACTGTCCTAACATCGGGAGCGTCCCCACGTGGCCGTGGGCAGCTGCCAGTGCGGTTGGCCCTCGCCTCAGCCCTCACTGGCGAGAGGGGTGCCTGCAGCAGTGTGAATGCTGGGACCCGGGATGGGGATGGACAGACAAGGCTCCTGGAAGCCCAAGCCCACTATTTGGGGATGTCACTGCTGGTCATGGGGCAGGGAACGCAGCGCTGGGCACAGCTGCCATCCGGCTCCCTGCTGTTGCTTGGGAAAGCATTGGAGGATAACCCAAAGCCTTGGGACCCTGCACCAGCATGGGGAACCCGGAAGAGGCTCCTTCCCAGCTCCTGGCTTTGGATCGGCTCAGCTCCGGCCATTGCAGCCACTTGGGGAGTGAATCAGCGGACCAAAGATCTTCCTCTCTGTCTCTCTTCTCTGTCTATCTGACTTTCCAATAAAAATAAGTAAATCTTAAAAAACCCCGACAATTTCTGGGCCTGGTAAAATAGCCTAGTGATGGAAGTTCTCGTCTTATGGTGTGGCAGGTGGAACTGGCCCAGGGGCCAGCAGTGTGCCCATGCCAATCCTGGAAGGGCTGCCCGTGCACCCCTCATGGCTGCTAGCCAATCTGAGAAAAGGAAACCTTCTCTCTCCACACCTCCAGAGACAGCTTCACGGGCTCTGAGACACGCTCTTCATGAAGCTGTGCCCACCCGAGGCGGGGTCCTCTGCTGCCACTCACAAGGGGATAAACAGGAAACCCCGTTCAGGCCGGGAGGGGGTCAGGGTCCCTGGACCACCTCTCCCAACTGGCTGTGTGTGGTCATTGTGGGTTCTGCCATCCAACCGTGCCCTCCCAGGCCAGGGCCCCTGGCTGTCACCCTACAGGGCCACCACTTACCCAGGGACACTCCCCCTGGCCACAACTTACCTATAGGCCAACCTGCCAACCTCCTAAACATCACGTGGGACAGGGGCCTCCGAACGCAGAGAGCACAGACCCTCTGCTGTCTTCCCTCACCATGAGTAGCCACAACTGTTTGGTTAAAACACTGAAAACACAGCACGTAAACACAAAAACAAAACAAAACAACAACAAAAAATTAAGAAATTAGAAAAACTTTAAAACCTAGGGAATGAAATAAAAAGAACTTAAATGTAACTACAAAAAAAAAATCAAATAAAACACACCTATGAGCTTACACACAAAACACTGAGATTCAAGGAGAGAAAGACTGTTTTGGACAAAGCAGGAAGAGAACAGACGCCACAAGGAGAGCGGCCCAGGCCCAGCAGCCCGCGAGTGGAGGCCCCACACCAGACACAGGGCTGTGCCCAGCCGCGGGCCTTGCCTTCTCCCTCCCAGGGCAGAGAGAGTGGGGCGGGTGTCCCATGCGGCAGAGGAGTCACTTTCCCACAGTCTCCCCGAGGCTGGACAGGAAAGGACAGTCGGCAGAGCGCAGGAGGCAGGCTCCCTGGAGGCCCCGGCCCCCACCTCCTGCAGCCAGCTTTGCCTCCCTCTGCGGCCTCCACAGTCTCTGTTCACCCCTGGAGAGAGGTGACTTACCTGGCGACGCGGCCAGAGCTGGCAGTGTGGGGCCAGGACCTGGGTGAGTGCCTGGGCAGGCGCACTGGCTGGCTGTGCGTGCCTTGAGGGAAGGGGCGCTCACAGACTGAGCAGGGGAGCCCAGGCACACTTGCTGCTGCTCAGGGCTTGCTCCCAGCTGAGCTGTGTCCATGGAAGTGCGGAGGCACGGGCCTTGGGGATGGGGCACTGGCCAGAGCCCCGTCTGAGGCTCAAACCCTGGGTCTATCTGAGGGACAGAGGGGTCTGGCCGGGACCAACAGGTGCAGGGCCAGGGTCCACAGGGTGGCTGTGCAGCCTGTGTCTCTACCATTCCAGGGGCAGCCACAGGGTGATACAAAGACTGGGTCTCGGCCTGTATGGGCATGGGGCCGCCAGGGGTGGGGAACAGACCCTCACTCCACGGCATGGCTACCAAACCTGGTAGCTGGAGCTGGACTGGAGCTGGCTGAGGTCACTCAGGTGCCAGTGGTCCCCCGCAGGCCCGAACTTGCCCCCCCTCAGCGCACGTACCATGCCGTCGGCCAGGGGGAAGACACTCAGAGAGGTGGGGCGCTCCTTCCTGTTGGGAGGGACACAGGGAAAGAAAGTGGCAGTCAGATGCCAGCTCCGACAAAGCGCTCCGTGTCTAGGGACCATCGCCCACAAGCAGGCACTGGGCTGTGGGTCTGCCCCAGCACTGCCTAGCAGCCAAGCGTCCACATGGCCATGCCTCAACCCTGCCCCTGGCCTTCCTCCTGTCATCTTGGGTGACTTCCCTCAGGCTCCAGCTCTGAAAAGCTGCAGGGGAGAGCTCCCATCAGGTCGGCTGGTCCCAAAGGCCCCGCTTTCCTCCCCCAGGCAACCCTCCCGGTTGTCACGGGGCAGCCATGCCCGACAGAGACCTTGGGAAGCTCTGCTAAGAAACTGGGAGCCCCTTGGAGGCAGGCTCAGGGTCACCCACCGTGGGCCGAGTCCCTGGGAAGATACCCATGGCTGCAGCGACTCAGCCCACGTCCTCCTGTCAGAGCCTTCCAAGGGGGTCAGCTGGAAACTGCCCGCTCTGCAGCCCAGGCCAGGGGGCCTGGCAGCTGTCTGGAGGATGCTCCGCTCTTGCTGGGGGTCCTACAGTTCTGAGGCCCGACTGGTGGGTCTGTCCAGAGGAGCAGGCAGCATGCAGTGGGATGAGAGCGGGGTGCTTAACAGGCCTGGTCCCTCTGCTGCACATGGTGGGGAATGCCTGCTGTGCCCAAGCCAGGCCTCACCACAGTGACCACCCCCTCACGACTGCACACTGTCCGGACTCAAGCCTCTGTTTTCACCCGGGGCTTTGGTGTGACAATTGCCTGCAGAACCCAGTCCCACAGGATTGGGTGCTCTCCTGGCCCGTGTCCAGGGAAGCTGACAGGACCAGGAGGTCAGGTGCTCTTTCTAGAACTTTTGCTTAGAAATCCCAAGGGCCTGACCCTGAACCTCTGGGGCAGGGGGCGGCAGGGGGCAGCATGGCCGACTCAAGCTGTCGTGTTCTCTCGTGCATCCCCACAGCTGCTGTGAGACACGAGTCCTCATCTACTCAGGTCACCCCCTCAGGGTGACACTAAAGCGCCAGGCTTGGGTGCAGAGCTGGGTGTGGCCACAGCACGAGCCACCCACCCCCCAGCTGTGAGAGGCCAGCCACCACCTCAGCATGACTGGCACTGGCAGCAGAGCACATCCTGAGCTGGTGGGAGAACCAAGCACAGACACAGCACAGCTGCAGACAGAAACGGCTGCCTGAGCTCCCCTAGGCAGCCCTGCCCCCGCTGTGAGGGCCAGCAGTGTGGACGGATACCCCACCCACTGTTACCTTTTCCTCCACGACTGGCGAGGGCTGTGGGCAGCAACAGACACAGTGGCCAGCACGGAGGGCAGACAAGACAGAAAGACAGCCATCAGAGTGTGAGCTCACACAGACAAAGGGACTCCCAGGTACCCCCCGCCCCGCACTCTCCGCCATGTGACAGGCTCCACACGCAGAAGCTGCGAGGCACAGGCATGGACACAGTGCAGCAGGGTGGCAGGTGAGTGCCCTTGCACAGGCAGGTGGGCACACGTGCGCACAGGCAAATAGGTACTGGCACACATGGCCACGCAGACACAGGCCGCTGCTCAGGCCCTCGGCTGCTGTCAGCACAGCCCCAGTGTCCTAGCAGCGTCGGCCTTGCACTGAGTTCGTGTCAAAGACCCACACGAGGGCGTCAGGAAAATGCCGCCTGTGGTCAAAGTGGCCAGCAGCTCCGACCTGGAACCAGCTCGTACAGCGGGCTCCGAGTCCGTACGCAAGGTCTCCCTGGGATGGCGAGCTGAGCAGGGCAGGCACTCTCCATCAGGCACCAAGGCCATGAGCTGTGCAGAGCGGGTAGCTGCTCCGGGCTTAGCCCTCGTGAGGTGCCGAGGGCAGAGGGAAACCCCACACAGTCCTCTGTGGGAGCCGCCATGGCAAGGGAGGCCCAGGCGTTTCCAGGAGCAGAGGGGTGGCCGCTTCCCACAGCTTCCGTGAGCCCGTTCTGAGCTGCAGTCCCTGGCATAGCCTGGGCCATTCAGGGACACTCTAGGGCCTGTCAGCAGCAGATTCCTCATGACGGGACCCACAGTGTGTGCCCTCTGCCTTGGTCGCAGGGCCTGGTCTACCCAGAGACCCGGTCGGCCCACGGCAGCAGCTGGGGTCAAGCACCCACAGCCTCGGCTAGGTCCACAGGAGCTGGGCCAGTGGTGCCTATGGGAGACGCGTGGGGCACCCACAGGCATCCTGCACCCAGCTCTCTCAGGCTCCCAGGGTAGGCTGACACAGGCCGTACCGCCCGTCTGGGACCCTGTCCCATATAGGCTGCAGCCTGTCTCCTACCTGCCAGTCCCCATGCCTTGGGTACTGCCATGCCTTCCCGTGGCGCTGGCCAAACCCAGAGCCAACGGCTCTGCCCACAGACAGGGAAACCTAGGGCTGGGCAAGTGCCCAGCTTCCCACTTGCAGATAGAACCCACAGGCCAGGGAGCAGGGTACAATCCGGAAACAGCCAAGCATGGCTGCTACACCTTGGCTTGACAGCTGCCCCTCCTCAGCCGGCAGGGCTGTGGGGTCCGAGGGAGACAAGAGCCTCCCAGACCTAGGGAGTCATCTCTCGTCCCCTCTGGGCCAACCCCGTGGCGTCCTTTGGCACTCTGCAGCCCAGCTTAACCTCCTCCAGCCAGGTCACAGAGGAGCATCAGCAATCCTCTTGGCTCCTCCAGTCAAACCAGCTCTGGCGCCTGGACTCGGGCCAAGCGCAGGCTCAGGCTGCTGGCATCACCCTACCCCGACACACAGGCCCAGGGACCGTCTATTGAGTCGGTGTGTTCTAACAAAGCCACCTGGCGCGGTGCACTGGCCAATACCACAGGTGTCCAAGGCATAACCTGAAAATGTGGACAAAGTGTGATCTTCAACCCCATGACAACTCATCCTGATCCAGCCCATCCACTTTACAAAAGAGCAGGGCCAACGATCCGGGTGACTGACCAGTGCTGGATGGGCTCCGAGCTGGGCTGTGTGCAGGGCCCTGCCCAGGGCTCCCAGCTGCCTCCTCCGAGCTCGGCCTGAGGCCCATGGCCGGGAGCCTGCATGCGGGCTAGGGCTCCTCTCTGCTCAGGGAACACCCACGAATGGACCCACGAATGGACCCACGTACTGGTTCTGATCACGAGACACACACCGAGGAACCAGCAAAGTCGGAATCCATGAACAAGGAGTGCTGTCTACGCCGCTGTCCCTGGGCCCATGTGTTGGGGGAGGCGGGGACAGCAGACTCATGCCAGCTCCATACGCCCCTCGGAGTCTCAGGCTGCTGGCTCTGCTTGTGCTGCCCAGATGCCCTGGCTGCGGGCCGTCCCGTGCTGCCTACCTCCGCCCTGGCAGGCTGCTCTCGGTCTGGCTGTTCCCCCCGGCCTGCTGCTGCATCTTGGACCTCTCAATGTGCTCCACATAGGTCTGGATCATCTGTCAGAAGGGAAGGCCGTCAGTGCCAGCCTTGCCCTGCCCTCTCACGCCGCGGAGCCAGGTCAGGGAAGGCGCCCGCCCTCCTGCTGGCGGCCTGTGGTCTCGGGCGCCCGTGGCCGTGAGCCGGGCTGTCGCAGCCGCGGGGACCCACCTCCGTGTGCCGCTGGTGCAGGGCATTGTACTCCTTCTTCATCTCCGACTCCCGCTCCTCCAGCCGGGAAACTGCAACACACACAGCACCAGGTCTGTCCCCTGCACAGGCCTCACGTGGACAGGCTGCGAGGCCGCTGCAGATGGGGGCTGGGGGGTGACACTCCATCCAGAGGCCATCACGGAGCAGACAGCATGAGCTGTGGCACCTGAGAATGCCTGGACGGAGGAAGCACCTGCAGCAGCCTCCTCCACAGTTAGGCGGGGGCTCCCAAGGCACGGGCAGAGCCAGGACAGGGGCTGAGGACAGAAAAAGTGAGCGTGTTGGGGAGTGATGCAAGAGGGGCCGATGAGAAGTATGTGACCAAACAAGCAACCTGTTCCCACCTCCGCTGGGATCGGAGAGAAGTGACGACCACCCCCTCCCCTCTGGGCTGACAACCCCTTCACCAAACGACAGCTCCCGCCGCCTCAGGACAGTCCCCTCTGCTCAGCTCTGTCCAGGGAGACTGGGGGCCACTGCAGGGCCCAGGGGGTCACGGGGAGAGGTGCATCCCGGGACAGACACAGACAACAGGAGCCTTCATCGGCTCAGGCCCCGTTCCCAGGGTGAGACCCACTTGCCCTGGTTTTGTGGGCAATCCATCTGCTCTGTGCCCCGGGCAGCGTGCCTGCTGTGGCCATGCAGGCTCTCACCTCCCAGGGCTCTGGGGGGTCCTGACCCCACCTGGAGGGCCAGAAGTACCACAGACATGCAGGCAGCCACCACAGAGCGGGGCTCCCAAGGCAGAGGCAGTGGGGACCTGCCCGGGGGCCAGCCGGGCAGCCTGCACTGTCCCTGCTGTGAGGGTGGGGGCTCGGGCGTCCTGGGTCTCCCCTCTCCAGCCCTCTCTCCCGGGGCTGACCAAACAAGTAATTTCAGCTTGTAATCTGAGTCTACTTCCTTCTAAGAAACCGACTAGAAGGTCTCACCTATGAAATACACTCTCGCCGGAGGAAAAAGTAGGCTGCACCATCACCATGGTGGGTTCCTGTCTGCGCCTGCAGCTGACGCAGCACTGACGCAGCACTGACGCAGGGTCGCGACCCTGGAAGCTGCCGGAAGCCTGGCAGACGCGCGAGCCTGTCACAGCCCGCAATGGCCGCTTTGCGTCCTGGTCTGGGTAGGGCTAGGCCAAACCAGCTCTCCTTCCCTGACCTGATCCCAACTTTTCGGAGGAATGAAGGCACCTGCCCTCACAGGCAACTGGGCAAAACATGTGAATTAACTCTTAACAGTAAAGATAATGATAATAAAATAAGAATAAACAAAACTTCTGGCTTTGGGGAGTGGCCCTGAAAGGCCTCTTAAAAAAAACAAAGGGAAGGGGCAAGACTGTGACTCAGAGGCCAACCCTTCGCCTTCAAGCACCACATCCAGCATGGGCGCAGGTTCAAGTCCCAGCTGCTCCACTGCTGACCCAGCTTCCTGCTTGTGGCCTGGGATGCCCACGGGCTCGGACCCCTGTACCCACGTGGGAGAACTGCAAGAGGCTTCTGGCTCCTGGCTTCAGTGCCAGGCAACCTGACCATTTGGGGAGGGAGTCAGCGAACGGCTCATCTTTTCCTCTCTTCTCTTTCCTTCTCTCTATAAATCTGCCATTTCCAATAAAAATAAGTAAATTTTAAATAAACAGAAAAACCATTCCGTGCAAAGCTGGAGAAGGAAATGAAAGTCTTTCTTTTGCTTTATTTTTTACTATTGATTTATTTACTTAAGAGTCAGAGTATCAGAGAGAGCAAAAGCTCTTCCATCCTTTGGTTTACTCTGTGAATCGCTAGCCCAGCTGGTGCCGGGCTGGATGAAAGCCAGGAGTGTCCCACACGGGTGCGGGGCCAGTGACCTGGGCCACTGCTTTCTCACACCATTAGCAAGGAGTAATGGGAAGTGCAGCAGCCGGGACTTGAACCGGCGTCCATAAGCGGCGCAGCTTTGCAAGTTTTTCACCCTAGAGCCAGCTCCCTGAGGATGCAGCCATCGGCTCAGCAGAGACCAAGGGCTCCGCAGCCCTGAGCAGGGAGACGCCAGGGCACCAGGCAGCTCTGCTCTACGACAGCAGGCCTGGGGGACCGCAGCAGGGTCAGAGCATAAGATGTTCCAACACTGAGTGCCTGCCTATGATGAAAGACGCCCCAGGCACCTGGCCTGCTGCCGCACAGATAGGAGACCCTGATGGAGTTCCAGGCTCCTGGCTTCTGCCTGGGCCAGCCCTGGCTATGGGCACTTCCTGCCTCGCGGCCCCTTACTCTGATCCGCATAGTTCTTGGCTTTCAGCTCCAGCTGCCGGGTCTGGAGTTCGTAGTGCTCCACCTGTGCCCGCAGCTCCTTCTTGTCTTGCTCCAAGGCGTCCTCGAACTCGATGAATTTCTGGGCGGAGGAGACAGAGAAGCACAGGTGTGGTCAGCGCGCACTGCTGAGGCCCTGAGCTGGCCAGGGGCGAGCCTGGAGAGCAACCCCACTTTCCACCCTTCTCCAGTGCGAGCCATCCTCTGTGGACACGCCCCAGCGCACACTGGCCTGGAGAGCAGCCGGGCAGGTGCACAGCGCCCCACTCTGTGGGGACCCACACCTGCCCAGTGCTCCGGTAGTCACTCACATCCCTTCCTCCTGCCTTGCCAGGGACCCAGGGACAGCCCAAGATGTGTTTATAAGGCCATGCACTCAGGGCTCCTGGTCCCTAAGAGAAGGCAAAGGACTTGTGTGTTTCCATGACCTCACATGGTATCTTTCTGGACAGCATGCTCAAGTCAGATGGGATTAAAACAAACAAGCAAAAAACAAAAAAACCTGAACCCGGATAGCACAGTGGGATTCCTGAAGCAGCCTGGGCTGTCGGCGCCCCACTGCACCAACAGGGAGACCAGGAAGAGCACCAAAAAGCAGAGAGATGAGGCAGGCTCTGGATGCAGGCAGGAACGCAGCCCCCAGCGGCGGACCCCCGGCTCGGGGGGCTGCGGGAGCCAGGCTGGGATGCAGACAACCCGAAGCTGCCGGCAATCAGGAGCAGGTTCACTGTGCTGGCCACGGCTGGGTCTGCCCTCCCGCAGGGATGCCTTGGTGCAGCCACTTTTCAGGGGCTTAGTGCTGAAAACCACGAGGGACCGTCCACGCTGGGGACTGCGGGTGGGGAAGCCGGAGGAGGGAGGGCCAGGCAGCAGGGAGCAGCTCAGGGCGTCATGAAGGCTGCTGCTGCACGACCTCACCCAAGAAAATGAAGGGACATGCACAAACAACATAAGGTTCTGTGGAAACCTAGGAGGATATTAAGTACAAAAACATTTGTTAAAGAATCTCCCCTCACTCCACGAGTGGGTCTAATTCCAGGTAAAACAGAATTTGGAGCAAAAGAGGGTTTTCCTTTAAATTTAGAGCTGAACTGAGGAGAGAGGGCACCCATGTGGTGTCTTCTCTCCATCTCTTTTTTTTACTTTTAAATAAAATTTCACTTTCAAATGTACGACAGACTGCCTGGAAGCCTGCCCTCCGTCCCTCTCTGCAACGCGCTTCAGGCCTTCTCATGGCCACCTTCCTGGTCCAGCAGGACGCCTGCTGCCTGCCCTACGGACTGCCTCTCCCGGGCTGCTGGCTGCAGGGCCCAGGCACGCGGCCATCTCCTGCGGCTTCCTCAGGTGCAACAGCGGAAGTGGAAGAGTCAGGCCTCCGACGCCGACCACACGGGGTGCTGTGTTGTGGGTGCGGGCTTTACTTGCTATGCCACAAAGTCAGCCTCAGAAAAGTGACTTTCAGAAACCATAATCGTATCATCTAGAGAAGCTAGTGGAATTGCTATAACCTCGCGGCTTTGTGTGTGACAGGCAGGCAGGTGGGAAGCCACAGTGTATGTCAAGTTTTAGAATTTTCGAGTTCAAAGAATGCAAGGCAACAAAACAAAAAACAACACCACGAGGCAGCAGCTAGTTAGAAAAGACATTATTGCAGAACGGAGGGTCGAGAGAGAGGGCTGGGGGCCTGAAACCAGGCTTCAGCTGCTGGGGCAGCAGGCACCGACTGCAGGGGCAGCTGGCCGTGGTGGGCGGGACAGAGTCTCTTCCGGGATTCCCACGCGGGTGCAGGATCCCAAGGCTTTGGGTCATCCTCCACTGCTTTCCCAGGCCACAGGCAGGGAGCTGGATGGGAAGCAGGGCTGCCGGGATTAGAAGCTCCGCCCATATGGGATCCCAGGGCGTGCAAGCCAAGGACTAGCTACTAGGCTACAGTGCCAGGTCCAGTTGTCACTTTTTCAATTTTATGATACAATTCCATAGGCAGAAAGTGTCACATTAAATTTTTTTACTTTCTTTTTGAAATAACATACGGAAGAGCTGAAAAATAATACTCCTCACCCAGATTCCTGAATGGAAGCGTTCTTCCGGACCGCTTCTCGCTTCCTCGCTCTGTCTGCCCCGTTGTCATCGTGGTCTTGTTGTGACCTTGACTTGGGAGCTTCTAATCCCGGCAGCTCTGCTTCCCATCAAGCTCCCTACTGTAACTTGGGATCCTGCACCAGCATCAGAATCCCGGAAGAGGCTCCTTCCTGGCTCCTGGCTTCGGATTGGCTCAACTCTGGCTGTTGCAACCACTTGGGGAGTGAATCATCGGACCAAAGATCTTCCTTTCCGTCTCTTTTGTATATCTGACTTTTCAATAAAAATAAGTAAATCTTAAAAAAAAAATTACTATTTCTGGGCCTGGCACAATAGCCTAGTGACTGACGTTCTCGTCTTGCACACGCCAGGATCCCATATGGGCACTGGTTTCTGTCCCGGCAGCTCCACTTCCCATCCAGCCCCTGCTTGTGGCCCGAGAAAGCAGTGGAGGATGGCCTACAGCCTTGGGACCCTGCCCCTGTGTGGGAGACCCAGAGGAAGTTCCTGGCTCCTGGCTCCGGATCGGCACAGCTCTAGCTGTTACCAACACTTGGGGAGTGAACCAGTGGATGGAAGATTTGTTTCTCCTTTTCTCTGTAAAAGCTGACTTTGCAATAAAAATAAATAAAGCTTTAAAAAAGTGACAATTTCAAGTCCTCAGTATGGGAAAAAATGCTTTGTTCTGCCATATGAGCACAGGCAGGGCCTCTATGCCCACGGGAAGGGGCAGAGTGGCTGGCTTTGGTCCCGGGGGGGCTTCCTAACCTCCTGCCTCCTGCTATGTCCACGCTGGTGAAGACGCCTTCTGCTCCTGGGCTCCCACCTTCCAGGACTCCTGTGCTGGAGTTCCTGGGACTGTGGCCAGCGAGGCTGGACTGCCACCGTGTGCCTGTCGAAGACGGCCCAAAGCCTTGGGACCCTGCACTTGCATGGGAGACCCGGAGGAGGCTCCTGGCTCCTGACTTTGGATCGGCTCAGCTCTGGCCATTGACCACTTGGGGAGTGAACCAGTGGGCAGAAGACCTTCTCTCGGTAGATATGACTTTACAATAAAAATAAACAAAATTTTTTTTAAATTTTAAAAATATATTTTCCCTCCTCCTCCAGCTGAAGAGTATTTAAATGTTTTTCCATGAAAATGGACACTCCTGTTTCATTAGGAAAAAAGTGTTTTGGATAAAGCTTTTTTCAGATACAACACTGAATGCCGAGTCATCAGCACACACGCAGAGAAGCTGTGTGGCCTGGGCAGCACGCTGAGCTACAAGCAGTGTCCACCGAGGTTAGGATGATGTCTGGCCCGTCACGGTCATCTCGTACAGAACCTAAGCCCAGCGTGAGTCCCCAGGACAGGGCACACGCTTCCGCCGGCCACCAGCCCCTCTCCAGGCTCTGCACTGTCGCCCAGGCCACTGCCCTTTTCCAACCTCTCCTGCTACAAGAGAAAAAGCCCTCAAGGCATTCACCAGGCTCGTGTCAGAACCTGGACAAAAGATGCTGTGACATCCTGAAGGTGGCCATGCCCAGTGCCAGCTGGGCAGGGCTGTCTACGGAGCCCCCGGGGCCCTGCCCCAATCACCACACCAGCTCCCCACAGCTGTCACAGCCTGCAGCTGGCCACTTGATCTGCCACATCTCTGATGGCTTCCCAGAGTGGCCAGGGCGGCCCCGACAGGGGGAGAGGCTGTATGCAGGGGCCTCTGTTGTAGGGCCCCACTGTAGGACCAGCCAGCTGGCACGCCCAGAACCTCTCACTGGAGCAGGGAGCAGGGATGCACGTCCAGCGTGAGGCCACCTGCTCCCAGCTCAGGTTCCCCAGCTCTGACTAAGCCCTCTCAGCTGGGCGGCTGGGCAGGGTCTCGGGTCTTGGCTGGGCAGCTCTGCACCACTCTCATGCCCAGCACACACCTACACGGTCACGAGTCCTGCCTGGTGTCAGTAGCTTTGCCCTCAAACCGGAGATCAGAGGGAAAGACTGCTGGTCCATCAAGGAGCTAGGAGGCCCGTGTCGGCGGGAGGGGCCCTTGCCTTGCTCCGTCACCCAGGGCTGGCGCAGGCGCCTCTGTGAGCACTTCTTCCTGGCTGGCCTGCCGCTGTACCCCTCCCAAACTCCATGCAGCTTCTTCAATCAGCTGGCGCAAGGGTGGGGCGAGACGTTGTAAACCACATGCACCCACAGGCTGTCGGTGAGCTGCAACTGGGGTCCCAGCTAACCAGAGGATAGCAGAGGCCAAGGGCCCGCGGGGCTCAGCTCGAAGCTGCCAGGTGGCCGTGCTTAGCTGGGAGGCTGTCCCTTCCAACTTTCTCCTCCCTCCTCCACCATTCTGGCTGCCTAGGGACCAGGACAAGCCCAGTGAGGTGTCCAGGGGAGCAGCAGAGGGTGGAGCCCAGCACCTGGGCGGGGGTGGCAGCCTCAGACTTCCTGGGAGCTGCCCTGGGACCTGCAGCAACTGCGGGACAGGGAGGGCGCCCAGGTTGGTGCCAGGGTTCCGTTTGTGTCCTGGCCCGGTGCCCCCAGGGACATGCGTGTCACCTTGCTCCAGTCCCTCCACTGTGCACGGCCAGTTCCTTCCCCTGCAGCACAGCCAGGCTCACTCTGAACTCTTAACAGCCCTTACACTGACTGCTGCAAGCCCATCAGATGCCACCCCAACACAGACAGACTACAGAGGTGGCGATGGTGTCAGGTAACGGATATATATATACACACGCATATATATATCATATATCTATATAAAAGCATGGTTTAAACCAAACTAGGCATACAACACGGTGTCCTTAACAAAAAACCAGACGCCAAAATATCCAAAGTCCTCAGAGTCGGACACTCCAGCCAAACGCGCGGAGACAAACTCCTTTGCCACCAGCTCCTGTCCTGGGCCCCCACCGGGCCAAGGTCATGGGGAAGACCAGAGAGGGGCCCCCAGCAGCGGCCAGGCGGTGAGCACACGGCGCCCCGCGGGCGCGATGCCCGCCGCCCCCGCCCCGCAGCCGTCCCCCGCGCCGGGCGCACGCACCTCCTCGGCCTGCTTGCGCAGCGCCTTCTCGCGCTCGTACTGCGTGAGCAGCTGCTCGTTGTCCTCGCGCAGCAGCTCCAGCTCCACCTCGTGCTCCTGGTTCTCGCTGAGCACCGAGTCCAGGTTCTCCAGCACGTTCACCACCAGCGGCATCAGCTCCTTGACCACCTCCTCGTCGTAGCAGTGGATGAGCCGCTCGAACTCGCGGTAGATGGAGCCGGCCAGGCCCGACACACGCTCCGACATCACCGAGCCCGAGCAGTAGTCGTCCTGGTACACCACCACCCCGCCGCCCTCGTCCATCGGGATCTCCATCATCGCGGCCACCGCCGCCAGCGCGGCCCGCTGCCCGGCCGGCGCGCCCGGCCCGCTGTCCGGCTGCCCGGGGATCCGCAGGCCGCGGCCGCCCGATCCGCAGGCCCCGCCGCCCGATCCGCAGGCCCCGCCGCCCGTTCCGCAGGCCCCGCCGCCCGATCCGCAGGCCCCGCGGATGCAGCTGCCCAGGGAGGATGAGGCTGCTGCTGAGGCTGTGCCCGTCACTCACCCGCCGGAAGGCCCGCCCACCCAGGGCCGTGACGTCAGGCCGGAAGCACACGGGCAGGTCCACCAGTAAGGGTGCTGGAGGTGCTGAGGGTGCTTGGGGTGCTGAGGGTGCTGAGGGTGCTGGAGGTGCTGGGGGTGCTTGGGGTGCTGAGGGTGCTGGTGCTGAGGGTGCTGGAGGTGCTGGGGGTGCTGAGGGTGCTTGGGGTGCTGAGGGTGCTGGTGCTGAGGGTGCTGGAGGTGCTGGGGGTGCTGAGGGATTTTGGTGTCACTGGAGCGCCCTCTGAGAGGGCCCGGTGCCCCACCATGTGCTCTCAGGCCTCAGGGGTCCTGGAGCCCGCGGTGTGGAAGCCGCCCAATGGCGTTTTCATTATCTTGCTGTTCTCTTCCAGCAGGCTGCTTCAAAAGGTACTTGCAAAATAGAACCAGGGTCCGGCACCTTGGCCTAGCAGCTAAAGTCCTCGGATTGAATGCACCAGGATCCCATATGGGCAGAGCTTGTAATCCTGGCAGCCCTGCTCCCCATCCAGCTCCCTGCCTGTGGCCTGGGAAAGCAGTCAAGGACAGCCCAAAGCCTTGGGACCCTGCACCTACGTGGGAGACCCAGAAGAAGCTCTCGGCTCCTGGCTCTGGATTGGCGCAGCTCTGGCTGCTGTGGACGTTTGAGGAGTGAATCATCAGACAGATGTTCCTCTGTCTCTCCTCCTCTCTGTATATCTGACTTTGTAGTAAAAATAAATAAACCTTAAATAACAAAAAAGTAGAATCAAAGGGTGGGGTCTCACTTTGGTGCGAGAGCATGGAAACCGCGCCTGGGAGCACAAACTGGGGTGTGTTTCCGCTGCTGGGCCTGGGTCCAGCTCACAGCCAGTGTGCTCAGGAGACATATTTTAATTATCTTTTTCTTTTTAGATTTATTCATTTGAAGGCCCAACGTGGCAGCCTAGCGACTAAAGTTGTTGCCTTGCACACTCTGGGGTCCCATATGGGCACTGGTTCTGATCCTTGCAGGTCCACTTCCCATCCAACTTCCTGCCAGGAACTTCCTCTGGGTGCAGGGTCCAAGGCTTTGGGCCGTCCTTGACTGCTTTTCCAGGCCACAAGCAGGGAGCTGGATGGGAAGTGCGGCTGCCGGGATTAGAACCAGTGCCCATATGGGATCCTGGCACATGTAAGGTGAGGACTTCAGCCATTAAGCCACTACGCTGCGCCCCCTCCCCTGCAAAAAAAAATCTTAAAGATTTGAGTTTTCGAGGAGACATCGTCTATATATTAGTTCACTCCCCAAGAAGCTGCAAGGTCTAGGGCTGAGTCACACTCGGGCAGGTGCAGGGCCTCAACTCCTGAGGCCAGGGTGCCCTCTGCCGCTTTTCAAAGCCCAGCACAAGCGGGATGGATGGGAGGTGGAGCACCTGGGACATGGCATGGCATGGCAGCCTTGTCAGCTGTGTGCCAGCACCAGCACGTGTTTTCCGAGCTGCCTTCATATTCTACCACTTCCAATAGGTGCTCATTTCTTGCATTTTTCAATTATGCTTTAAAAATTTAAAAATGTGTATGTTTATTTGAAAGGCAGAATTACAGAGTGGGGAAGATCTTCCACCTGCTGGTTCTCTCATGGCTGGAGTTGGGCTGGTCTGAGGCCCTGCATGACGCCTTTCCTAGGTCGTGAGTGCCTGGGACACCCGTGTCACAGCTGGCGGCTGTTTCTGAGTGCCGTCCTGTCCACAGGCGAGGAGTACTTCTCGGGGCGGTGCTTGGAACTCAGTGCCTCCTGCAGTTTCAGTGGACACGTAAACATGATTTGCAGACTTCACAAGTCCTCCGGATCAAAGATGTGGGAACGCCTCAGTGACCACCTAGGGTTTCTTCCCATTGCTTCTTACTTGAAAAGCAGTTAGGGTCCCGGCAGCGTGGCCTAGTAGCTAAAGTCCTCGCCTTGAACGTGCTGGGATCCCATATGGGGTGCCGGTTCTAATCCTGGCAGCTCCACTTCCCACCCAGCTCCCTGCTTGTGGCCTGGGAAAGCAGTCGAGGACGGCCCAAAGCTTTGGGACCCTGCACCGGCATAGCATCAGCCGTTGAGCTCACTTGGGGAGTGAATTCCTCTCTGTATATCTGACTTCCCAATAAATAAATAAATCTTTTTTTCTTAAAAAGAGAAAAAAAAGCAGTTAGATCTCTTCCATCTGTTGACTCCAGAAGTGGCTACTAATTCTGGCTAAAAATTCCTCAAGTGGCTACAACAGTGAGGCTGAGCAGGCTGAAGCTTGGAGCTTCGTCTGCGTCTCCCACAGGAACGCGGGGGCCAAGCATGCGGGCCATCTGCTGCTTTCCCAGATGAGGAATGCAGAAGCTGGGACTTGAACCAGCATCCCTGAGGGAAGACGGCACATGGTAGCTTAGTCTCATCTACAGCATCAGCTCCAGAACTTTCCCATCAGATCCAGCCTTCTGTTCAGGTGTGAGACTGAGACCCAGCACAGCCCTCCACGGCTCTCCTCCAACCTCCGCCGGCCCCCTGGGGATGCCCCTCTCATTTCCCCGAGAGGGGGATTTCAATCATCTTCAGACAGGGATGGCTTGGTCCAAGTCCAGCAGACGCCATCCAGTGCGCACAGGCGACACCTGCAGTTAGCTGTCTGCCCTCACTACCGATCCACAGGACCAGTGACAGATGTACGTGCTGAGACGCAGAGGGGCTCTGGGGTCACTGGTCCCAGGTAGAAGCAGGCCAGCGTTGTTCTGACGGGTCGTCTGAGCACAGCCACAGTCCCTTGGGCTGTGAGGGGTGATATACATGCTGAGTGCCCGGTTCACACTGACACTGGGAGTTCCAGGGAGGGGTGGGGGTAGGTCACATGCTTCCTGCAGGCCTGGGTTAGTCCTGGAAGCTCCTGGCTTGGGATCAGCTCAGCTCTGGCCATCTGGAGAGGATACTGGCAGGTGGAAAGTCTTTCTCTGTACCTCTGCCCTTCCAAGGCGGCTGCATTTTTGAATTTCTCTGGCCTCTATACACACAAAGGCTAGTTTCTGACTTTCTAACAATTCTGACAAAGAAACCAGTGGAACTGGTCTGCCTCCCAGCCTGTCTGCGAGCAGCACCTGGCCCCCTACCTCTTGCATCATTGTGTACAGAATCCTGCCTGTGGGAGTTGTTCGGACAGGGGAAGGCAACTTTGGGTGATGCAAAAAGAACCGAATGGAGATGGATGCCTGTTCCAGCTGCTGACTGAGCATTAAACAACCCCGAGTCTGCCTCCCTCAGGGGGCTCAGGGGGCTCGCTTTGCACAGCTACTGTTGCAGGCACTTTAGCATGGATGCACCTGGGGTCTCCTCCAGCAGCCACAGAAGTGCCTATGAGAGGACACTCTGCACTAACACGTTGGCTCTCTGCAGCCATGTCATTTCTCTTTAGTCTTGGTTTTGTTTTGCCTTAAAGACTTGACATTATTGCAGATGGAGGCTTTGCGAAGAACAGGGCCGGGGCAGACTGAAGCCAGGAGCCTCACCTGAATCTCCCATTAAGGTTGCAGTGGCCAAAGCATTTGGGCCACCTGCTGCTTTGTTTTTGTCAGCTCAGCAGCTCGCTTGCCCATCACAGGGCTCTCCTGCTTTGCCCAGACTGACCTATTTTATGGAAAGGCAGATTTACAGACACAGATCTTGCAGCCACTGACTCACTCCCCAAGTGACCACAATAGCCGGAACTGATCTAATCCGAAACTAGGATTCATCCGGGTCTCCCACATGGGAGCAGGGTTCCCAGGCCACAAGCAGGGTGCTGGATGGGAGGTGGAGAAGCTGGGACATGAATGGGCACCCATACAGGAGAATGGTACAAGCAAAGAGAAAGTTAGCCAATAGGCTATCTTACCAGGCCCACAGGTCAAATTTCAAGGCCAAGTGAGAAGAATCATTAACTAAAAGCCGCAGAACTGGCACATTCTGTCTCAATGCCAAAACCAAACCACCAACAGCAAAATGGCAGAGGTCTTCACCAGTGGGAGCCGGCCAGAACTCACGGCAGTTCAGTCACCAGACAGACCAAGGACAGGATCGCTAGGTTTAATTCAACTGCTACACCCAATTACGAATTGTAAAAATAACAAAACATTCCTATCAAATTATACCGTGATGTTAAGTATTCTTTTTGTTTTGATACAGCTCTAGAAATGTCTTGGCACCAAATGCACTTATGAAGTTTTAAGGCTTAATAAACACAGACTAGTAATTTCCTAATGCACCTTAGACTAACAGGATGCTCGCAGCATTTCAGCCTCCAATACCAGCGCAGACACAACTCGCAGGTTCCTCCAGGGCTCAGCCTTGAGGCCACTGCCGTGGCTCCTCCTTTCGCAGCCAACCTTGCTGGCAGACAGAACTAGAGCCCTCCACCAGCTGCCTGACGGTGGGGGCGTGGGGCAGCCACGGGGTAAGCCAACTGGGAATTCTCCAATTCTTTCCATCTCTTCATTACAGCTACCCACGTCAGTTTGCCCTGGAGCTCAGCAGCATTTCAAACGCCCCCTCACCCCACCAGGACGCTCTCTTAGACACCCGAGCACCTGCAGCCCTCCCAGGGCGACTGAAAGCTGGACCTTTGGTGTGCCAGAACAGGACGTGGAACGGGGATCAGGCACTTAGGTTAGAGTGAAGGGAGCGAGGCTGAACACAGCTGAGGTTCTTCAGTAACGATGCAAGGGTGTCTAGCTCCTGGTGTTAGCGTGTAGGCACCGCCCGGACACCCCAGGCATGGGGCAAGGCCTGGCGCGGAGGCAGCCCTCGGGGTGACCGGGAGGACGTCTGCCCGAGCTGGCTCAGGGTCTGTGCTGGACATCTACTCGTTTCTGGTCCCTTGTGCGTACGATGTGTCAGGTTGTGCCAAGCTCTGCCAAGGCCACCCTAAGGCTCTCTCTGGAAAGGTGTTGGACATCGACCAGAGGCTATGGTCATTATGTGAGGCCGCTATTCAGAGAGCTTTTCAGAGTAAAGCATCCTCGGTCCTCCAGCTTCTCTGCTTCCCACAACCAGCTAGAGGACCAGCTGTGGGTGAAGGCTGTGGCGTCACGTTCCCACAACCAGCTAGAGGACCAGCTGTGGGCGGGGGCGGGGGCTGCTGGGGCATCACACAGGGAAGTATGGGGGAACTGTTTAGATCAGTGGCGAGAGACAAGGGCCCAGACTTAAGGCTAATGAGAACAGGCTCAACTCACAAGGAAACTGATGGGGCAGAGAGCACGCATGAGCAGTGCCCGTGGGAAACGAGGTTCCTACACCACAGCCCCGAGACCTCCACAAAACGTGCTGGGTCTGCTGAGAGCTGGTGAGGAGCAGGCTGCAGGAGGCGCGGCGGGCGGAGCCCAGGCACAGGCCTCTCCGGGGTGGACAGCGCTTGGCTGGCAGAGAGGTGGCCGCATCCGGTGGGGTGTCTCACCTGGGACCCTGCCCGGGCCAGCCCGATTTCCTGTCATTCTTAGATGTCCTCCAGGGGAAGGACCTGCCTTGTCAAGCTGCCCTGCAGCGAGCACCATGGAGCTCTGTGAGCAGCCAGTCTCACAGCTGCGCCAATTCATTTGGGCTAAAAGTGACCATGTCTTGCCCTAGCTCTGGAGTTTCCTGCCTGGCTACAGAGGGGTCGGGGCGTCTCTCAGTAGAAGGAGATACTGGATTTGCCCCCTGGTGGGTTCAGGACCTTGTTGTGTGAGCGAGGCCGTGGCCCCAGCCTGGGCTCGTGGCTGTCGACCGTGGGTGCGGGCTCGGGCTCCTTGGCACGGCTTGCTTCCCGCGAGCCTCCTTTCTCATCCTTGGGTGCGGTTCCTGCTGCAGCTGTGGGACAAAAACAGCACGGACAGCACGTCACAGCTGGAAAGCCCATCCCCTGCTAACTCCGCTCAAGGAAAGTCACTGGGCGAGTGCTGACACTGCGGGCTGCACTGACATCTGTGACAGCTCTGCCCCAGTCCGGCCTTTCTGCTAATGTGTCCAGGAGGCCGTGCAAGATGGCCCGCACAGCCGACCCCGCCACCCGCGGAGGACGCAGACGGAGGTCCAGGCTCTGGCTTTGCCTCGTCCAGCCAAGCTTGCTGCGGCTTTGTGGGGGCAGATCAGTGAACAGGTCTCTCGGCTCCCTCAGCCACTCTACCTTTCAAAAACTCCTCAAAAACAAACAAAATAAAAAACAAAAGAAGCTGCTGACAAAACAGCTTGCGAGAAGTTCACTGCATTAACTCTCAACAAGAAACCATGCTCGGGACTCTGAGACCCCGCTCTGGGCGCAGGGGCAGCGGGCGCTCTGGGCGCAGGGGCAGCGGGCGCTCTGGGCGCAGGGGCAGGGGTCACTTCCACATCCCGTGCCGTTGTCCAGCTGTCTCGGGCACAGAAAGCAGACGGTGCCAGGGCTAAGGGGAGGGGCTCGAGGCCAGCTGTGCCTGACGCCTTGGGGGTCTCTTGTGGCCTGGTCGCAGCTGAAGTGGACTTGGTGCAGGCCAGGGTGAGTGAGCGCAGGTGCAGCTCTGCCAGCGCCACCTCACCTCCTGTAGGCCACAGGCTCACAGCTCTGCCTTCACCGCTCAGTCACCAAGCTGCCTCGTGGTGACAAGGGAAGGCAATCAAATGGCTGGTCCCAGAACCGTGTGCCAAAGCCTGGCTTGTGTACTCAGCAGCCTGGCGGGGAAGGGAACTGTTCCCTTTCATCTTTGTGGGTCTGGCCCATCAACTCTGTCACAGGCAAGCCAGGCAGAAAAACGACAGAAAGCAGAGCTCACCCTGTGGGTCCGATCTTGGGTCCTCTCCTTCGCGTAAGAGAACGTGATCCTGCAGGAAGCAGACGTTGGTCAGTGCTTGGATCGGCACCTGCACTGGGGCACTGCCCCCCGCCCATGGCACAACGATGGTGCTTCCCTAGCCCCCCTCCCCTCAGTCAGTTAGGAAACTTGATCTGAAGTAAATTCCAGATGTTCACTCATCCATAAAGGGCACACATGTATGCCCAAGTGTTGTTTAAACAAGTGCGACAGAGAAAACAAACAGTAACACAGCCTGCACGGCAGCAGGAATCTCGGCGGCCTTCTGAGTACTGCGCTGGCCCGCTGTGCAAGTCACTCCTCCTCCAATGCCAACCTGACTCTGACTGCTGCCCCGTGATCCAACTCCTTGCTGGCACATGCCGTGGCACCTGCCACTTGCACCGAGAGGCTGATGCAGTCCGGGTCCACCTGGCGGCTGTGGCCATTTGCGGAGCGAACAGGCAGACGAAGATTTCTCTCTGCCTCCATCAGCCTGCTTCTCTTTCCTTTTTCAAAAGGTTTATTTATTTTTATTTGAAAGATAGATTTACAGAGGAGACAAAAGATGTTACAACCAGTGCTTTACTCCCCAAATGGCTGCTACGGCTGGAGCTGAGCCCATCCAAAGCCAGGAGCTCTTCTGGGTCTCCCACGCGGGTGCAGGGTCCCACAGCTTGGGGCTGTCCTCCACTGCTTTCCCAGGCCACAGGCAGGGAGCTGGGTGGGAAGTGGGGCAGCGGGACATGAACTAGCATCCATATGTGTCCCTGCATTTGAAGCTGGAGGATCAGCCTGCTGAGCTATGGCATGAGGCAAAACAAAACAAAACAAACCATCCAACACACATCTTCCAAAAAAAATGAAAGAAACCCACAATGCTGCTGCAAACAAGTGTAAGTCTGTCTCAGTCAGTTTTCAAATCCAGGTCAGATGGCAATCCTGTGTCCATAGCCAGCAGTACAGAGCGCGCTCTCGTGCCTTTGTTCACCGTGTGTTGTCTCTCGAGCCTTGCCTTTTCTGAACGTCAGGAGACCTGTCTTCTGAGTTCTCTGTGGGAACTGGACACTAGGCCGCTAGCATGGTGACTTAATGGCTAAAGTCCTCACCTTGAACGCACCGGGATCCCGTATGGGCGCCGGTTCTAATCCCGGCAGCTCCACTTCCCATCTAGCTCCCTGCTTGTGGCCTGGGAAAGCAGTCAGGGGTGGCCTAAAACTTGGGACTCTGCACCCGTGTGGGAGACCCGGAGGGAGTTCCTGGCTCCTGGCTTCAGATCGGTGCAGTACCGGCCACTGTGGTCACTTTGGGAGTGAATCATCGGATGGAAGATCTTCCTCTCTGTCTCTCCTCCTCTCTGTATATCTGACTTTGCAATAAAAATAAGTCTTGAAATAAAAAGTTTTCTCCCTTTCTAGGTTGTATTTTCATTCAGGTTTTTACGTACTTTTACTTGAAAGGCAGCGAGCTCCCAGGGCATCGGGGGCACTCCCAAGGCAAGAGCTTGCCCTGCGCCCTGGCAGGCCATGCTCACTAACAGAGAAGCTGAGAGAGCAGGCCCTGTGCAGCAGGCCTCACCGAGGGCAGCCATGCTCAGGCGGGGACGCCCCAGTCCTGAGGCCTCCAGGAAGTCAGCAAGAAACGCGCTCTCGGCCTCCGTGCCCACTGCCCCGGCACGGCCCACCTCACGGCGGCCACTGGTGTTCCCAGGATCTTGGGCCACGTGTGCTGAGCCGGTCACCCCCAGGCCGCGACTGCTGCCACCACCACCACGGTGATGCGCCGTGCACACCGTGACACAAGTTAGCACAGTGCTGCGTCCTCAGCTTCTCACTCCCCTTGTTGGCTGGCAGGAGCACCTCGCGTCCCCCGGCACCTCACGCTCGTCCTCGCGGCCCGGTCTGGCAGGGCTCTTTCTCAAGGGAAGTCTTGCCCTTTTTAGTGTGGCAAGTGTGCATGTGTTTGACTGCCACACCACAGAGGAGGCCAACCTTGGTAGCTGATGAGCTCTGGCGACAACAAACCCATAAACCTTGCTACCACTGCAACTGGCAACACTCGAGCTAGGCCCTGTGGGTGTGAGTCTGGCCCAAGGCCACAGCACCGACATCCTGCCTCCACTGCCCGGCCGCTCCCCGACGCCCGCCAGGCACCACAGCACGGCTCAGGGCAGGGATCACCAGCATTTCCTTCCCCAAGGAACAGTGGACAACGAGCTAGGCAAGTTCCTCTGCCATTCTATGAGGGAAAAACGCCTCTGCTGTCGATCAGCTCCCTGAATATTCTAAGCAACCCCGGGCCCATGGAGGGCAGCACCAGGTGACCGAGGAGAGCTGACCACACCCAGGAAGACAGCAGCGCCCACCTTGTCCCCCATGTCTCGCTCAGGAGCACTGGGCTCAGCCTGATTCCCCATATCCACTCCCCGAGCGCATGCATACCTTGGGCTTGTTTGGGTGTGCTAAGGGCGAAGTGGCAGTGACCGGAGACCCAAAAATATCACTGGTCTTGCCGCCGGGCGGGTTCAGACGCTGTCGGGCTTGCACAGGGGAGGGCTCCTCAAAGATGCCACTTGCTTTGCCCCCTGCAGAAACAATCAGACACTGAGTGTCCCGAGCCCACACCGGGCCTGCCTCCTGCCCCGGGACGCCCCGGTGTGTCCGCAGTCCCCGGACAGCCGCGCCCGAGCGGGGGCCTGCTGCAGCTGCCTCCTGTCGGAACCTGCTGGCCACTGGAGGGGTGCAAAACAAGCCAGTTCACCCCTCCAGCACCTCCTTAACCCCAACATTCCGGGAAGAGGGCTTTCTGGGAAACCTAGGAAAAGCTCTTAGATTGAAGGTCCCAGGGTCCCAGGTTTAATGTGAAGCCCGATGGTGACAAACCTGCAAATGGAAAATGATTCATTTGTCGTTTCCTGACCTCATTCTGGCTGCACTCCCAGCCAGGGGATCAGACACGTCACACGACTGGGGCCACGCCTGAACGTGCTGGCAAAGCCATGAGGAAAACGTGCCCTGGAGCTTCCTAGGAGCTGAGGGCAGGCCTCTCCACAGGCACGCACATGTCCTCCCAGCAAGGCCCTCTGGAGTGACTTCACCAGTCTCGGCCCTGAAGGACGTCAAAGGTCCCAGAACCAGACAGGAGGTGACTAGGCCCTATGTGTGCAGAGTTCCTCAAGCACAGAGCTAAGTCACAAAAGTACCTCCCCTGTGGGCTGCAGCTCATAGCCTTTAGGCTGAGTGAGGAAAAATACACAAATGGGACCCATACAGTATGCACTGTTTCAACGTTAAAAACAGGGAGGCCTGGTGCCATAGCCTGGTGGCCAAAGTCCTCGATGTGCCAGGATCCCATATGGGCATTGGTTTGTGTCCCCAGTGCACCCACTTCCCATCCAGCTCGCTGCCTGTGGCCTGGGAAAGCAGTCGAGGACGGCCCAAGGCCTTGGGACCCTGTCCCTATGTGGGAGACCCCGAAGAAGCTCCTGGATTTGGATTGGCTCAGCTCCGGCCGTCATGGCCATTTGGGGAGTGAACCATTGGATGGAAGATCTTCTCTCTGTAGATCTTTCCAAAGGAGCAGGGTCATCTCTTGTACACGAATAAAGGAAGCACTGGCCTCGCCATGGCCCTCAACGTCACCCAGAGCTCAAGGCTGACTCCAGCCAGCCCCCTTGGGCACAGTCTCAGACTGACAAGCTGAAAAAAAGCACTCCCTTAAGAAAACGCTTCGAGACACAGTGGCCTCAGGGCTCGGAGCCAACCCGTGCCAGTGCCGCAGCAGGCAGGCTCGAGCCCCTGCAGGAGAGGACCTGTCATTTCAGAAGCACTCGGACAGAGGACACGGGCCACTAACTGCAGGTAAGGGTCATGGTGCAGGGACAGAGTTACAGCCTCCGTGCATGCCTGGGGGATTGGTCCTCCTGGGCAGGTGCTGAGGTTCTTCCGTCGGTCCAAAAATATTAGACGCCATCCTGTTGGGTCTGCTCGAGGGCGCAGCTTCTTCAGCACTTCCAAAGAGATTGCTGGATTCTCCTCCGGGGGGCTTCATGGCTCTGCAAGCACAAAGCACACCGTCACAAGGGCCAGCCTGGACCGGGGAACCCCACCAGTGCCCAGCCCGGGTACCATGACCTGTGGGGCTCCGGGGAACCCCGCCAGTGCCCAGCCAGGGTACCGTGACCTGCGGGGCTCCGGGGAACCCCACCAGTGCCCAGCCCGGGTACCGTGACCTGCGGGGCTCCAGGGAACCCCACCAGTGCCCTAGCCCGGGTACTGTGACCTGTGGGGCCTAATGCTGCCTGGAACATGGAGGATGACTTTTTCTGACCCCAAGCTCCCTGGAAAGCACACTCTATTTAATATGGAAAGAAAAGCTTGAGAAAAGAGACTTATCTGTTTTGAAAGTTAAAGTTAGAGAATGCGAGACACACAGAATTATTTCATCCGCTGCTTGACTCCCCAGCTGTCCTCCGGGACTGAGCCACGCGAGGGGCCAGAACTGGAGCTGCCTGGCTATGTACGGATACCCACTAGGAGTGGGAGACGCTGCAGGTGGTGACTGCGTCTGCCATGCCACAGTGGCTTACCCGTGACTCAACTCCTCTGGCCTCACACTGCCACACTGGGTGGAGTTCAGTACGTGCCCAGCCTGTCTGGGTCACGTGCACACTGCTGCTGGCAGCACACAGCCCGTTCCACTGCCCAAGCCCACAGCAATCCTGAGGCAAGCACTGTGCCACACAGGATGGATGAGAGGCAGCCACAGGGCCTCAACTCCGCCCTAGCTGCCTCAGGAAGGGGTCGAGCGAGCTGGGGTGGGGAATCTGAAGGTGCCGGGTTAGGCAGAAGCTGGGAGCTTCCCCTGGGTCCTCGGTATGGGCTGGCCAGCGCCCGGGCGCTCAAGCTGTCTCCACTACTTTCCCCAGGAAGGACGTGGACTGGAAGTGGAGCAGCTGAGCCGTGGCCTGGGAAAGCAGCGGAGGACGGCCCAGATCCTCGGAACCCTCCACCCACATGGGAGACGTGCAGGAGCTTCCGGCTTGAGCTCAACTCAGCTGCGGCCATTGTGGCCACTTGGGGAGTGAACTAGTGGATGGATGATCTTCTTGCCTCTCTGGATCTGCCTTTTTAGGAAAAATAAGTAAGTCTTTAAGAAAAAATTGGCGCAGCTGGGACACAAACCAGGGCTCATGAAGGATGCCCCGGCCACCTCCATCTGCTTTGGCAAGAAGCCCCTGAGATGGTGTGTGTGTGTGGCGACTACTGGGCCAGATGCTGGCTGCTGAAGACAAGGCACCGTGTGGATCCCCCCTACATCGGGGCAGGGAACCTTTGGCCTGGTCCTGGCAAGGCAACGCAGGCAGGAGGGACGCAGACAATGCGACTTGATCAGGCTTAGGATTCTGTGTGGCTCACGGGCGATGTTAATTACACAACGGCTCCCACGCCCGTGGATCCTGACAGTCCTGAGCCCCAGGAGGGCCTCCCTGCAAAGCTGCCCGCTGACCCTGACGCCTAGTGCCCTGCTGGGGGGACCATGTGCCAGGCACCGCCCTCACAGCCTCTTAGCTGCCGCCAGTCCCTGCCTACTCGCGGGACGGGAGACGGACGTGCCAAACCTGCCTGCTCAACACTTCCTGAAGGATTTCATTTAGAAAAAATGTACTTCCAAGTGACTAGGCACGCTTCCGCCAGGAGGGGCACTGGCTCCCTACAGCAGACTAACGGCCCTCAGCATTTTCACTCCTGACTCCAGGTCCAGCCTCTCCGACCCTGCACACCCCTGGCCTCGGCCACATCTTCCCTCCCGCTGCTCTGCCTTGGTGGCTTGGGGCGGGAGGGGCTCTGGCAGTGACACGACAGAGGCACCAAGTGTTTCCAAAATCCAAGGAGTCCTGGAGGAGGGGAGCCCCCACCCCCTGCCCCGTCCACCCCGGGCAGGAAGCGCAGCACCCGTCAGGCTGCTGCACCGGGGCCAGAGCAGGGGCTGCGCCTCTCCCCCAACCGCAAGGCAGTGGGGGCAGGAACAGCCATAACAACACAACAGCAAGGCAAATCCCAGGGCTGCCCCAGCAGGGTCTCAGATAAAGGGAGCTGAGTTCAAAAGACCTTTCAATAAAAAGGCCCCAACAATAGGGCAGTGTGGCCTGCCGCTCCAAGCACCACTGGCCCGGGGGGGGGGGGGGGGGGGGGAGTGGCTGGGATGTTTTTCGTTCTTTCCTAGTATCTCTTCCAGGTAACTCTGAAAGAGGAACCAGGGTCCTAGCCAATTAGAAAAGACAGGGCGCAGATGGACACCGAAAACAAAAGCCACTGCCCCCTGCAGGGTCCCAAGACCCGAGACGCAGAGGTGCACCAAACGCTACCGACGCTAAGCTCTGCAACTCCCAGACTCGGGAGGAGGAACCCTCGGCAGGGCGGGGAAGGCAGATGCAGACCCAGGATGGTTAAAGCCCCGCGGGTCCCAGGTCTGCCCCACCTGCCCGCCAGCTCCCGCGGCGTGAAGGCGAAGGGGAGAGTGGGGGGCCCACGCACGCATGGTGCTCCAGCAGCGACCCGGGGCCACCCGGTGCGCCCAACCACGCCCGCCGCGCCCAGGCCTGCACTCGCGGGACTTCCGCGGCCCACGGAGCGCCGAGAGCTGAGGCCAGCCAGGCCCCGGGGGCGGCCAGCGCTCCCGGCGAGGGCCCGCCGCGCGCGAGCTCCCCCGGCCCGCACCCAGCCCGGCCCGGCCCCGGCCCGCGCCCAGCCCAGCCCGGCCCGGCCCGCGCGCTCTCCCCTCACGCGGCCGCGTCCCTCACCGCACCTGGAGCCGGGCCGCCCGCCCTCGCCCTCCGCGCCCTGGAACATGTCGGCCGCGGCGCCGCGCTTCCCGCCGGCCCGCCTCAGGGGGCCTCGGCCCGCCCACCCGCGCCCAGTGGCCTCGGCCCGCGCCCGTCACGGCTGCGCAGCCAATCCCGGCACGGCGCCCGCCCCTCCCGCGCTCGCACCCATTGGCCGGAGCAGCCGCCGCTCCGGCGCCGGGCACGCCCACCGGCCCGCTGGACAAAGGGCACGGACGAAGCAGAGCTGGTCAAGGGTTAGTATGTATTTATGCACAATAAAAACATTTACAAGTTGAACTGGAAATTTAAACAGAAGTTTAACAGCTTTTATTAAATAACCAAAACACCTTTTATTCCCAAAATTGGTAAAGAATAAATAATATTTTACAGTATGGTACAAAAAATAATCAAGAGGGGCGGGCATTCTGCTTTATACATACACTGTATACTTAGAATCTATAAAACAAATTCACATCTCCAACAAGCCAAAAACCTTAGATGATATGGCTTAGCGACTATAGGACAGTGATGTTCTGCCTGCTGCCCAGGTACCTGGGAGGCGGCTGGCAAGGGCCAACTGTGGCCCTTCCCAAGCAGAGTGCTGTCTCCTGCGGTGGGGCTGAGAACCCGAGGAGCTCAGCTCGGCCGAACCCCACACCCCCAGCCCCGAGCACACCCTCCCCGTGGCTCACACAGGTGTCAGTGCTGCACACCCACCATGAACTAGGGCCAAGCACCAGCTCCGACTCCAGTGCCTGGAGGATGCTGGGAAGCAATCCCTGTGCAAGGGGCACCAGGGACTGGTACTGTGAGCCCCACCTCCTGGTCAGTGCTCGGGCTCCCAGGGAGACCAGCACCTCCTCCGGCAGGCAACGCATCTCCCACGGGCACACCTGTTGGCTCACTCCTCAGCCTGGTGCCCTTCCCATCTTGAGCTGCAAGTGCCATGCAAAGACCGTGCACTGGGTGACACACAGACCCTCATGTCCTGCCTTCCTCCCAGCCTGGGACCCAAGCACAGGAAGCCAGCTGACCAGCGAGGGCACCGAGACAAGGTGGGAGCCCTGTGCTGGGGACATCAGCACCGCACAGGCCCCTACGGTCACATAGGCGTCCTTTGTGGCAGCTGGGCAGCCAAGTGAGGAGATGGGGAGCAGAGGCAGTGCAGTCCCGGGGTGCAGTGGGAGGTGAGACGGCAGCCCTGGCGCTGCATTGGTGGCTCACGGCAACCTCTGTGCAGGGACCCCTGAGGCCCAGGAGGCCAGGGAGCCTTAGCCTCTCAGGAAAGCCTGAACCCGACATCACTGCCACCAGATGGGGCCGGGGGAGGCAAACGCCCAGACCTTGCCTGGGGGGCCTCAGGACCGAGGCACACAGCAGGCCTCCCCAACACCAGGGCGGTGCAGCACAGGCTCCTGCCTCAGTGCTCAGGGCCGACCCGACAGAGCAGCGCCATCTCGGGAGACCCAAGCCGCACCTGCAGGTGGGAGGAAGCAGCGAACAAGCTGCACACTGCGACAGCCTGACCAGCCCTGCCGCAGTTAGGGTAGATCAAAGCATCCAGACCAAGAGGCAAAAGACAGAACACTGGCAGGATGGTTCCGCTGCCCTCTGAACAGCACGTCCCTTGAACCACTGTGGTCCTGAGGAACAGACTGGCCTCACCCCCTGTATCCCAATGTCACTTTGCAAGAAGGCAGCCGAGCTGTGGCCCAGGTTTGGCAGAAAGCAAGCAGCAGCATCCGGACCACCCCTCCTCAGGCAGCAATATTCCTGCCAAGGCACGCACCCTTCTTAGGAAGAAAACCCCAATGGAGGGGACAGTGTAGGCCGGACTGGGCATCCTGCTATCTGAACAAATCAGGCTCCCGAGGGCACACCGGTGGCTCCTGACCCCCTCTGGGGGACAGACGGGCCTCTGTCCATCCCATCCTCTGGGACTGGGGACCGAGGTCTTCTCAAGGGTGAAGAGGGCCTCATCTCTCTCCTCGAGCCTCCAGAAGGCCCTTGCCACGAGGTCCGCTCACTGCGAGAGGTCACCAACAGGGGGACCTCCGCTCCCGTCAAACAGAGCCTCTCGGCGGCCAGGCTCGGTGATGGCCAGCTCCTGGGCCAGGTCGTTGAAGCGAGAGATGTAGTCAATACTGTTCTCGTTCATCATGCACACCAGCTGAGAGTCGACCACCTGGACGATGGAGGGGACAGACAGGAGCAGGTCAGGGGCAGCTGGCCACCAGGACAGGCACTCCTGGGGAAGGTGGCTCCCACTGGCATGCCCTGGAAGGTGGCCGGTATGCTGGGCTACAAGGAATGCCAGGGCAGCTCCTTCCATGGTGGAAGCACGCTGGTGGCTTCCTCCCCATGACTTGTGTTCACTGGGAAGGCAGATCCAACAGTGCCAGCCTTGCCCTGTCCAGCCTCAGCTTCTACCACGGTCAGCTCCACTGAAACCCCCTCAGTCACCCTGTCCACACTGCCTCACAGACAACATGTGTGGGCGTTGGGTGCTCAGGAAGGTCTTTCTGCAGCGAGCCGTTCAAGCTGCTCACAACAGATGGGTCCCTCCGGAGTATCAGCAGTGTCTGCTTGGTCCTGCCCGCCCACATGTGCAACACTTCACCTGGGATCTTGCTGAGGATGTAAATTCTGACTAGGGGCCAAAGGGTGGGCCCCTTCCAACTGCAATGTGCTTCTGCACATGGCCTACTGGTCACCCAGAGTAGGAGGTCCTGACTTTCTGTGCTACCAGCATCCAAACATGTCGGAGGCAAAGCCACCAGCCTCCGGTGGGTGGACCCAGGGTTCACCACGTCACTGCTGATGTCATGTCCCGGGCAGGCCGAGTTCCCCAGGCCTTCTCTGAGGCATCCTGGACCTGTTTGGTCCAGGTTCTCCTCAACTATGTGATGGCAGTGTCCTTAAGGACACCTAGCAAGGCCTGAGAGCCAGCCCTGGGAAGTGCAGCTCCAGGAAGTTAGCAGCTGGTTACAGGCCCTTGTGTCTTCTTACAGCACCTGCTGCTTTCCATCTTGGGTGACCAATGGATATGCCCCGTCTCTACCTTCCTCAAGGCCTGGCTGACCCACAGGAGCATCCAGCCTGTTAGCAAAAAGAGACCGCACTGGTTTAAAGAAGGGTTATGACAACACAAAGCCTCTGTATGGACCATTGCCACATGGGACTCCAACTGCCTGGGGCAAGGGAGGCGTACATCTGTACTGCCCAGACTTCGTCAGCTTCCTTGGCCAGGTACAGCACAATGAGGGGGTGCTACAGCTAGCCTGGGGGCCAGATGGCGTCACATCTACCACCCACCCCGAACCCCGCCTCAGGTCACCCAGGCAGTCTGCAGCCTCACAGCTAGAGAAGCACTCAACAAGACCCGATTCAGCACTGTCTGCCTTCACAGGCTTACCTCCACCAACCCAGCGCTCCCCAGCTCTGACGCCTACCTCCACCAACCCAGCGCCTCCCAGCTCTGGTGCCATTATAGCTGGACTGTCATCTTAGGGTCTGCCACTGGCCCAGGTTTCCAGATCTTTCCATTCTCTAGTCAGAGACCTGGATATGAATGTGTTGCCTCCTAAATACTTAACATCTTGGTGGAGAACCACTTGCCAAGTAGCAGGAGGAATCCAGGATCCTCGCAAAGGAAGGCTTGGCGGTCAGGTTCCACTCACCTCTGTGACATCTGCCAGGGACCTGGACACAAATGAGTCCCGTGAGTTCCCGTCCAACAGAGTGGGGCCAAGCAAGCAAGTGCTGCTGTTGCCCCCAGCAGTGGCCGGCAGCGTCTTTCGGCTCTTCTCGGGGGAGATGAAGCTCGCTGCAGAGAGAAGGCCAGGGAGGGGCACTGTGACATCTGCCTCAGCGAGAAGGGTCCTGTGGGCAGGGTGGATAGTCTGGCCAGGGCCTCGCAAGCACCCAGCATCAGGAACTCTTGTGCAGTGTTCTAACTGCTCTCCCACAGCCTGGGAGCGTGCAGGTCTACCCCCATTCTTCAGGACCCCCCCCCCCTTCTCTGATCAGATGGGCACCAAGGCTGTTCCAACTTTTCCCCGAGTTAGCTTTACCTCTGACATGTCTCTACTATGAATGACAATAGTAACAGCTCACAGTGCTGGTTCTCCCCACAGTCCCAAGCCCCAAGCCCCAGTTCCTCTGATGAATTTGCCATCTGTTTACCACGCCTGTCCCAGGGCTGCCTTGTCACCCCCAGCAGTCGCCCCTGATGACCTCATGGAAGCTTTTCCTGTAGAGGCAGCTAGTAGCCCATGTGTCCCTAGCGGCCCTTCCTTCCACACCAACACCTGGCACTCCTGAGCACAGGCAGTGGGCGTGCCATGTGTGCCCTCAACTCCGACCTGTGAGAATATGCCACAGAGCACTGCACTGCCCTCACAGAGGAGCCAACAGAGTCCAAACGGCCACCTGGGTATTAACCCATCAGCAGAGCCCCTGGTTCAAGTCTTGGCTACTCTAATACAGCTTCCTGCTAATGCAACTGGGAGGAAGTGATAATGGCCCGAATACTTGAGCCCCTGCCATGTGGGAGATGTGATGGGATTCCAGGCTCCTGGTTTCAGCCCAGCCCAGGCGCTTGAGGAGCGAACCATGGAGGGAACACTGATTTTTCTCTCTCCCTTTCCCTGCTACTCTTCGAAACACAGAGAATCTGCATCTCCCCCGCCCACTCCACACCGTGTGAAAACTCAAGACCTCCCCGCATCTCCCCAAAAGAAAGAAACCAAAAGACACACAGCCCCCGTGGGAGTGCAGCCACCAACACGAGATTGGAGTCCCGTGGACTCTGGCCCCTGGCAGGTCCTACGGGAGAGCCACACTCACCAAACAGGCTGCTGAGTGAGGAGTCTGTGGAGTCACTGGGGTACCACTGGGGGTCATGGGTGGGGGAGGCAATCCAGTTGGGCTGGGGGCTGCTGGGTGGAGAGTGAGGACTCTTGGAGCTGTCACTGCCGTTCAGTTTGGCTGGAGAGAGAGGGACTCCTTCCCCTGTCAACCAGAGTCTCAGGTCAGTGCAGCCACATGCAGGGAAATAGCACCCGTTTCCCGCCCCTCAGAAGGCAGCTGGTGGCACAGGCACAGCTGGATGGTGGAGACCTAAGGTGCCAAAGGGGCACAAACAAGGATGGCAACAGGTCTGGGGCAGAGGGTCCAGGACACCACGGGCTCCAAAGGACGGAGCAGGCCTGGGGCAGAGGGTCATGGAGGCATCAGGGGGGCTTCTAGCTACAGGACAATGTGATGCAGAGTGCTGGCAGGAAGTGGCATGGAGGAGCCAAGCCTTGTGCTAAGAGCAGCCCTGTGCAGGGCTGATTATCCCCAACTTGCTCCTGAGAAGATGTAGGCCAGAGGCTGACAGGCTACCAACTGCGTGTTCCTGAATCTGTAGTCTGAGACAGCGCCAGCAAGGCCAGAGCCTGGCAGCACCTTTTAGAGGCCAACGTCCAGTTCTCAAAAGCAAAAGCCCAAGTGGCACAGCCCCAGCAAGGGCAGCAGGACATCTGAGCAGGAAGTCCGAGTCCCCTTGCTGATGGCCAACCCTGCTTCCAGCTGGAGAGGTTACCACGTTCCTACCGAACTGTCCGGAGCTGATGGCGATCTCAATGATGGAGTCACTGATCTGTGTGGCGGGCTCGCCCTGCGACAGCACATCCTCGGGGGGGCCGGGCAGGGAAATGTCCAGCAGGGCGGAGACATTGGGTGGAGACAGCCGAGTGCTGGAGCCTTCCGAGGAGGGCACAGGTGCGGAGAGGCCGTTCTGGAGGTGAGCCTTGGGCAGCTCAGACAGGGAGAGAACAGGTGAGCCCTGCTGGAGACAGGTGTGCTCAGACGTGCGGCAGGCAGAGTGACCTGGTGGCTGCAGAGCTCTCACCCTTCCAAGGGAAAGCACTGGGGATCCACATCTCCCCAAACAGGAGCGGCAGTGGTCAGGAGCCAGGGCGACCACTGCCCATGACACACAGCGGCAGCAGTCACAGGACCCAGGGCGTGCACTGCCCGTGACACACTGCAGCAGCAGTCACAGGACCCAGGGTGACCACTGCCCGTGGGATAGCTGGGAGCACACAGCTACAGCAAGTTCTGAGGAAGGCACCAATTGAAAGCTTCCTCCACTCGGCAAACTCTGAGTGAGCCAGTCTTGCGGGGCGGGGGGAGGGAAGGAGATCTGAGTTAAACACACATCCATCACGAACAAGAAAAGGGGTGATGGGCAGCAAGCCAAGTACCAAGGCCTGTGTGCCAGGACTCAGCACTGGCTCGGGCAGGCAGAGTCCTTAGGTATGGACCTTGTCCAGCATCCCCAAAGCACACTCTACCTGGAAACTGTCTGCCACGGGCTCCTCAGGCCTCGAGCGGATGCTGATGAACGAGCTGCCTGAACCCTAGGGAACACCAGGAATGTGGGTGAGCAGCCATAGGGAGTGAGAACAAGGGCCCAGAGGAAACGCAAACGGAGCGAACTCAGGGTTTGAAATAGTGTGAGCCACAGGCAAGACCCCAAGAACCAGCCCACCCCTCCCCACTGTCTGGCAGTTTCAAGCAGGCTGTGGGCGGCCAGGAGCAACAAGACAGCTAGAGACCATGCAGGGTGACAGCCGGGAACTCTCCCTGACGCTCCCAGAGGAGGCTGTGGTCACGCAGGCCAGCTACCTCACACACTTCCCAGCCCAGGTTCGTGGTGTCACAAGCCACCCAAGCACGGTCCTGGCTGTCCCTCCCACTGGGCCCCCCGGCCCCTACGACTGCCTACCCTCCAGTCCCACTTCCCCCCAAGCAGAACCTAGGTCCAGCATGACCTTAGCCCGTGGACTTGTCCCCTCCGCGGGAAGCGGTGGTCACATTGGAGAGCCCTTCCAAACAAACTCACCTCCACTGAACGGACGGGGTCTTCATGTCGGTGGGTTCCAGTGGAGTCCTGCGCTGAGGCAGCAGCTGCCACCTTGTCTGAAGCCAGTGGCGAGATGCCCGACAAGCCCTCGGCGTCCAGCACGGGGAGGGGACTCCCAGGGAGGATGCCGGCGCTTTTTGCAGCCAGGTCTATAGCACCTGCCGTGGGAACGACACCTCGAGGCTCTGCTCACCTGCCAGGACACTCCCCACCCAGAGGGCTCAAGGACAGCTTCTCAGGACCCAGGTCAGTGTGAGAGCACAGAGTAACCACACGCTATAGGCTGTGACTCACGCAGAGTACAAGTTTCATAGTGTCACTCAGACCCTTGTGACAGGCATTACCACAGACTTACTGGCCAGGGAACTCGTGGCCTGGGGGGGAAGGGCCTTGGGCACAATCGGTCGGGACACAGCCACTTTGCTCAGAGAAGACTGGATGGGACGGAAGGAGCCTCTCCCTGCGAGAGCAAGGACACCGCCAGTGGTCAGTCTGCACAGCAGTAACGCTCCCTGCCTGACGGGACTGCTCAGGGCCACCTTCACTGGCTGAGCCACGCTCACACTGCTGGCCCAACACTGGCCCGTGACATGCGCAGGTGTTTCAGTGGCCCCCGATGTCTCCCAGGAGCTGCCGAGACTGTGGCCACCACCGTGGTCTTGCGGGATGGCCCTCTAAGATGCTGCAGACCTCTCTGAGGTGACTGCTGTGTCAGCTCCCACGCCAGGGTCTAACCCTGCCACGCTCCAGGAGGTCACGCTCCAGCAGGACCAGTACAAAAGGCCGAGGGCAGAGTGCCTCCCCACGAGCTGTCCTACGCAGCAGCCCCTGCAGAGCCAGGTCCCACTGGACCTGCACGCTGAGCCTCAGTCATTCCTCCATCCAAGATCACACCTGCTCCACAAAGTGCCTGCCCAGACGCTGCGGGCGGCAGCTGCACACAGACGCCCCGAGCACGTGAGGCCATTCAACGTCTGTCCTGCAGGCCACGCCAGCCCAGTAAGAGGACACAGACACCACTGTTGGCCACACGCAGGCAGCAGGAAGGGGAATCAGCTGGAGAAGCCCATCTTTACCTGTGAGTGAGGAGTTGGACAGGATGGAGAAGGAGCAGACGTTATGGGACTGGCCTTCAGATGGCCTAGGAAGCAGCATTCTCTGCAGAGGAAAACCATAGTCAGGGCGGGGAGAAGACGCCGGCACCCAAACTGCAAAAGCTGGTTTGAACCAACAGGCCATGAGGAGGAAGTGGACTAGAACGTTCTGAAGCCGATGACATGAGGGCAGCCAGGGAACCTAAGCGCCCAAATTCCGGGTCTCCTCTGAAATGAATCCAGGGTGAACCTCTGCCAGGGTCCACTGGAGGCTTAGCAGAACAGCCCGCCTTCACCCGGCTGACTGCAGGACTCAGCTGGAATGACCCAGTTTGTTATCTTTCACACCACCAGGGGCGACAGTGAGCAGCATCCTCATACAGGATCCCTGTCACATAGAAGGAAGTAGGCATGGAGGGCACCAGGAGGGCACCGGGGACAGCAGGTGGCCCCAGAGAAGAGGAAGCTGGACAGGTCACTGAGACTGCAGGACATCAAGACAAAACACTAGCGAAGGAGGGCCTGTCACCAAACACGCGGCTGTTGCTCTCACCCCTGTACAAAGGATTTGGGGCTCACCATGACCCAGCTTGGGCCCCCAAGAAGCCCATGCTGTGAGTGCCGGGAGAAACCAGAGAAACCAGTGAGGCAAGCCACTGGAGACAACAGCAGCAGCCACACGGAGACACATGACACGCGGCCAGAAGCACCCAGGCTTGAGTCACCCCAGGCTTGCCTTGATGGGGGGAGCGGCCAGACGGCTCGATGAGAGCTACCACCACATGGAACCTTCACGCCCGGAAGAACACTACAGAGCAGCAAGGCCATGAAGTCGGGAGTAGTGGCTGCCAGAGCTGAAGGAGGTGCAGGGGGGCCAAGACTGCAGCGCTCCCCCAGAGGGAGGAAGCAACCATCACCCCACATTGCGGCAGGCAGCTGGACGTGGCCCTGGCCACGAGGCTCGCACTGCCCGCTGCTAAGGGCAGACCGAGAATGTACAGGCGCACAGCCGGGACGAACAGCACCCAAGACGCACAGTGTCCTCCTTCTCAAGAGCCCTGCGCAATCGCTCATGCCGCAATGCATCAATCTCAAGGGAAAAGAGGCCCTCAGACTAACCCAAAAATTTCTCATTGATCCACAAAAACACACAGTCCGCGCCTTCCCGGACCAGCTCCCTTCACCTCACGCCCCTTACCCTACCCCTTCACAGTGCGTCTTCGGCGCCGCTTCTGCCTGTAGACCCCCCATTCAGTTTTCGGGTTTAGAAGAGGTCTGGCCTCTGGCCAACCACTTCTGGGTCCAACGTGGGACCCTCCTGGACCCGCAGCCTGCTTTGACGCTCCCCTTTCCTCACAGGTACCAAGTCGTTCGCACTGCTAACACTTACACTTCCGTCCTAGTCCAAGGGTGGAGGCCTGTTTCTCCTTGTTTGACCCCATGAAAACCAGTGTGTCCTGGCTAGTCCCGCCCCTGCGGGAGCCCAAGCAGCACTGACCTGTACCACCAGGGGCTTGCGCAGGTGGCGTTTCCGCAACTTCCTGGGCTTGGGGAGAAAGAAATCCGACTGCATCTGCAAGGCAAACAGCGGCGGCCTCGAAGGGCTGGTCCCTGCTGGCGGGGCGAGGGTACGGGCAGGGGCACTCACGCTGATAGAGTTCAGATGCTGTCGGAAGCTCAGCTCTGCGTCCTTACTCGGGGAGAAGAGCTTCCCGTGCCGGCTGTTGGGGGGCAAGGTTGTAGGGACAGCAAAGAGGCCGCCGTCTGAGTCCCTGCTGCCCGCGCTGGAGGGACCGGCCACTAGGAGGGGTCGCGGAGGATTCCTCACATCTGGAAGGGAGAAGGGACGTGAGCCAAGGCTGCAGGTGCAGCACGCCCAGGGCACGCAGCCTGCTGGAGGCCACGAGGTCCGGATGAGCCGCTCAGCTGCCTCAGAAATAAGTGCCAAATAAGGCACCTTCAAAAAGGGCACAAAAATGTGATTTATGAAAAAAACGACACAGACACATTATCTACACTGATTTTTATGCCTGAAACACACTCTAATCCCACCTTCCAGTGTGTCTCAGCCCCGTCAAAGGCAGCTTTCCCACCTTGCCCTTGAAATTCTCGTTCCCATTCTGACTGGGTGCAGCGCTCCTGCGGAGGGCCAAAGCGCATCACCACTGGTGCGACAGCCAGCTGGCAGGTCAGACCGTCCACGGGGTTTCAGAGGCGGACATGCCTTCAGGGTGACCTGGTAGAGGCTTCTCCAGGGAGGGGGAAGTCTCCTTCGGAAGGAACACAGCCAGGGGCATTCTCCAAACACAAGTCACCGTGGAAAACAAGGAAAAGCAGGACAGGACACTGAGCTCCTGACACAGACACCGCTTCTTGTAGGATGCGCAGCGGAGACCTGGGCCTGGGGCTGAAGCACCGGGCACCAGTGGTCAGCAGCTTCAGGGAGCGTGTGGCGATACTTGAGATGCAGAGCGCGCTCCAGTCACAGTCACCCCCAGCCCCTCTGCGTCTGCTGGGCCTTGGAAGGACACCAGCAGGACGGTCCAGGACAGGTCTGCCTACTGGGGCACACACCTCTGTGGTGGCCAGAAGTGCTCAGGGGCCACAGTGAGGGGGACAGGGAAGGAATTATCCAAGCTTTTTACTCTTCTAAAATTCACACAGAAGTCAGCATTTTAGCCACAACCATCTGTTTTGCTACAAACAGGCATGTGCACCCTGCTCCCTTCGTGGTGTCAGGCCCTGGGCACAGACTTAACCTGAACACAGTTGGTCAGGGTGCACAGTGCTGGCAGATTCCTGCTGTTTTCTTCCAGGACTTACATTAGCTTCTAGAGCACGCCGTAACCGCAGGTGTTTCACACCAAAAACAAGTGGGGATCAATTCAGACAGAATCTGCCATTCTGAGGTGCTAGGAGCCTCTTCTGGCCTCTGGAGGCAAAACCCCCAAAGTGACCAGGCTGGCAAAGGATCCATCCCCTGGCTTCTTGCTGACTCCAGCAACACCCTGTGCCCAGCCCTCATCCTCCGCAGCTACCGGTCAGTGCTGACCAGGCAGCAGGGAGGCCTGCAGGAGCCTCACCTGAGGCACAGGGTGTGGAGCCCGCTGCGAAGGTCTTGCTGCCGCGGAGGGCAGACTGGTTTCGAGGGCAGCGGGGGCTTCGAGAGCTGATGGTGGCCATCTTCCCTGGGGGCGTCGCCGACTGCTCCTCCGGGGCAGGCCTCACGGGGGCTGTGGACACGGCACCTCCTTCGGAAGCCTGGACATAAATGGGCCAAATGACACCCACACTTGCAATGTGGGAATCCTCCGGAACGGACACAACCAGAGGCAAAAGGAGTGACAAGAACTCAGAAACAAAGGGCTGACACTGAGGTACAGTGACAGAGTAGCACATGTGACAGCACAATCCCATATGGGGGCCAACTGTGTCCCATCTGCCCCACTTCCTATCCAATTCCCTGCTAACGGCCCAAGTCCTTGGGACCCTATACCATGTGGGACACCTAGAAGCAGCTCCGGGGTTTGGCCTAGTCCAGTGGTGGCTGTTGTGGCCATCTGAGAAGTGAACAAGCAGATGAAAGAACTGTCTCCCCTTCTAACTCTAAATAGAGAATTAATAAAGTTTTTACGGGCAGGTATGGTAGCTCAACAAGCTAATTCTCTGCATACAGCACTGGCCTCCTGCGTGGGCGCAGTGTGAGTCCCAGCTACTGCATTTCCAATCCAGCTCTCTGCCTCCTGTGGCCTGGGAACGCAGAGAATGGCTCCAGCCTGTGGGTCCTTGCACCCGTGTGGGAGACCCATAAATTCATGGCTCCTGGCTTCGGATCGGCTCAGCTCTGGCTCTCACAGCCGTTGGGGATAAACCAGCAGACGGAGGATCTCTTTCTCCTTGGTAAATCTTTTTTAGAGGAGAGACAGATCCATCCAGCTGGACCTGAGCCAATCGGAAGCTTGGAGCCTGAAGCTTCCCGAATCCCACGCGGCTGCAGGGTCCTAAGGACTTAAGTCGTCTTCCACTGCTTTCCGAGGCCACAGACAAGGAGCTGGGTAGAAAAACGTAGCAGCTTGGACTCGAAATGGTGCCCATACGGGATGCTGGTGCCACAGGTAGAAGCTTCACTCACTATGCCACCGCACCAGCCAAGCCTATGGGAACAACAGTGGCCCCGTCAGCTTCTAAGTCAAGGAAGAAAACTCGCGTCCAACCCTGGAGGCCCCTGGCATGGGCTCAGCATGCCCATTTTGCCTCCACCTTTCTGCTCAACACCCTGCAGCCCCCAGAAATACCTGGCCAGGAGTCTTAGCTTCTCGGCTCTCCTGCTCACCTGCTCACTCCCACACCCAAGGCCTTGCGGGGAGCCCCGCTCCTACAGTCCCTGCAGCTCATTCCCACCTTTCTCCCCAGTTGCTCTCACAGGCGAGGCCGCGGGCTCAACCTCCATCCCGCTCTAGACCACCTGCTGATTCCTGCCGCCCCCCCGGCCCACTTGGTTGCCGGGTCTTACAGAGAAGCAGGGAAGGGGCACTGCTCTGCTCCATGGCCACAGGACCAAGAGTGGAAACAAGCAGTTCCTGCAGCCCAGCTGACAGCCCCACAGGATGGGGCAGACCTACTTACCAGCCTGGGGCTGACCTCGGTGGAGATGAGCCTCAGCAGGCAGCTGAGGAGCCGCTGCCTGTGCACGGCGGGCGGGGAGCCAGGGCGGCCCTCGGGGCCCAGCACCGCCAGCCAGTCGTACTCCAGCTGCAGCTTACTGGGCTTGCCCATCATGAGGTAGACTTCGGCCAGCGTAAGGCTTTCGGAGGTCTGCAGGTTCCAGCCCTCCTCCCGGAGCTGCTGGGCCAGCCGGCTGGCAGGAAGCTCCTTTGGGGGCCTGGCAGGAGGCGGCTGTCCCTGAGGCTGTGGGGGCTCCTCCACGGGAATGTCCGCAGAGTCCTTAGTGCAAGTATCCGGGGGCGTCCCAGGGCCTGGCAGAGGCTCCGAGCCGGGTGGGCTGGGGGCAGTGACCTCCTCACCGCCCCTACCAGGAGCATGAGTCTCTGGGGAGGGTGCCCTCCTGGGAGGAGGGGGCTCCCTGCCAGGCTGAGAGTCCATGCAGCGGCACTGCTCAGGGACAATGAGGTCCTGACAGGACTTCAGGTAGCGGGGCAGGGGGTCAAGGAGCGAGAGTTCATCATTCAGGTCCGGGAGTTGGCCGCAGGAACACGGCAAAGGCTCTGGCTCTCGCGTGGGGCCCTCGCCCACGTCTGTCGGAGCCCCAGAGGTCTTCTCAAGGTGTGGCTCGTCTTGGTGTCCAGGGGAAGGCCTGTCAGCAGCATTCGGGCTGCTGAGGCAGGGGGCAGGCCCCTCCCCAGGACCACTTTCGGGTGAGCTATCCCCTGAGCTCTGTAAAGCATCTGTGGGGAGAGGCCGCCCCCCAGCCCTTCCCTCAGCACCACTGCGCGGGCACTTCACCTGGCCCCGGGCTGTGCCCTGCCCACCTGGGATGCCCAGGATCTGGGCAGGGGGCAGTGAGTGAGTGTCCTTGGAACTCTGCTTGCACCGGCCGCCCTCCTGCCAGTGCACTGTGCAGAAGGCCTTGGAGTGCACCACGCGGGCCACACCCGGCAGCGGGGTCAGCGTGCAATTTTCACCTGGGAACAGGTGCAGGGCCACCCTCTCCTGTGCTGGTGGGCTGCGTGGGCCCTGCACCTGGTGCTCCTCCAGTGTCTTGCGCTGAATGCACCGTCAAGGAACCACGCCCTACAGTGTCCACCCCGCTGGCCACCAGCCACAGGGCCCAGAAAGCCCACCTCACTCACCTCACCAGAGCTGATCATGCTCCCCAGACTCTCCCTCAGGCACCTGCACACCTTCACACACCTTGTGGACCCACGAGCAATGTGCAGCAGCACGGACACACGGCTCAGCCTTTTGGCAGGTTTGCCTGCCGAGGCCCGGGGGGCTCTGAGCTTTAATTCTAACTTGACATTGCAGTTTGACCTCATCAGAAAAAGATACAATCCGAACCTCATGCAGGGCCCATTTCTGCTTTAAGAACTCGATGAGGCTGGAGACCTTCCGGTGCAGCTCCACGATCATCCTGCAGACGACAGGGAGTGAGGCTCGCAGAGCGGCCCAGGTACCACGCTGGCATGCTGCACAGCATTCAAGGACTATGTCAACACTTATAAATCCAGGGTGGTGCTCTGTGCACAAATCCGAGCTCCAAGGAGCTGGGGAGAGGGGACAGGAGGGCTTTGTGCAAAAAGAGAACTTGGAGCAGCCCACTCTTCTCCCATGTTCTGCCTAGTCCTCCACAGGGCCCTGGCCGTGGAGTTGAGGCTCCGTGTCCCCACGATCTTAGAGTCTTCAGGACACCAGTGGTTATGTATCCAGGACCCCACCCTGGCTACCCGATCCTCATCTGAGACACAAGAAGGTCCCTGAGGGATACTGACATGTTCCCTGAAGTCCTGTGCAGGCAGCTGGGCCTGGGTACCTGAGGCGCGGATTCTGAGCGAGGCTCTGCACGCGGGCCCAGGCGTGGTTGTTCCGTGGCTGGAGCTCCACAGGAACTTTCAGGGGGAGGCGAACGGGCTTTTGGTCCTCTTCATCACTCAAGCCTGTGACGGAGAACACACATAACCTGAGGCAGAAGGCAAAGTGCACTGCAAGAAAACAGCTGTGGGCATGCTGCCTTGCAGAGTGAGCGAGAAATGGCCAGTGCCACCCAGGCTCATGCCAAGGCAGGGCACAGACCAGGCACCAGCTTCATTCTTCACAGCGGCTCAGGGGCTGGCCACTCTCTCAATGGGATGACACGGAGTGACACGCACCATCGGGGTCACAGAGCTTCTTCAGGGCTCGACACATGGGCGCTTTGATCCTCAGGTTTCTCCCCTTGTAGCGCACGGTCGTCGCCCTGGGAACAAAATTGAGGAAATGATGAGATCCTAGGCTGACAAAAGGAAGGGCGGGCCAGTCTGTCCGAGATGTGCCAAGCCGATGCAGGGGGATCCCCGAATCCCCACTGTGGCCTCCACAGCTGTCCCATCATCCCCACTGCTTCCCCAGGATGGCAGCGATGCATGGTCTGCTCCCAGGGAGAGGGCAGCCATGCCGTGAACACCAATCTTCCCTCCTCCGCCAAGGGGCCTCTGCCCAGCTACGTCAGCACTGCCCCTCAGAACCCAGGGACGCACAGACAGTCTGGGGTGTCACAAGGGCACACTCCCTCTAAATGACCAACAACTCGGCCAGATTCTGTAGATCTGCTTGCAATCTGCTTACTACAACTGGAGGTGGACTGAAACCACAAAGAAAAATTCCAAAACAAACCGAATGAGCATGAAACCAAGAACGTACTCAAGCCTTGCTGCTACCGTCAAGGCTCTTGGCTGGTTTGGAAATGCAATTTTAAAGGATGTATCTTTGCTGGAGTTTGATTGGCAAGAACATCCAAGCGGAATTCCCAGGAGTGTCCTAGTGGGAGCAGCATCCATCCCCCCAGCTGGTGAGTGGACGTGGCTCTCCAGGTCCTACAGAACGCGCAGAGCACACACGCAGTGCTCCGTGGCCTCCTGCTTTAGTCAGGTGAGATGGAAAGGGCTGGGTCTGTCCTAACTGTTGAGAAACAGCAGTGGGAGTGACAGGCAGAAGGGGAAAGGCGATTTACACACGTTTGTACTGGCCCCTGTGCATGTGTGTTCCCAAGGAAGAAAGTGGAGAAGGGCTCGAGCCAAATGACCACTGCGGTTATCTTTAGTGAGAGGAGGGGACAGAGTGGTTGGGACGGTCACATTTGACTGTATATATAGAAGTGTATATATACTTCCATAATTTTGAAGAACACAATTCTAGTATTATCTTTACTACCTTATAGTATAAAGTGTTGCTTAATTCTAGAATTGCAATAAAACAAATTGTGGTCTTCAAGGAAAGGCAGCTTTTCCTCAGTGATGTTGCCTGGAACATGAGTGTAATCCCCCACAGGCGCCTGCTCAGCTCCCAACAGGCTTCCACAAGGAACCCGCATCACTACCATTCCCATATCGCAGGAAACACAGCTGGGATCCCATTCTAAGAAGAAACAGCTTTGGGCCCAGCGATGTGGCCTAGCGGCTAAAGTCCTTGCCTTAAACACCCCAAACACCCCGGGATCCCATATGGGCGCCGGTTCTAATCCCGGCAGCCGCACTTCCCATCCAGCTCCCTGCTTGTGGCCTGGGAAAGCAGTCAAGGACGGCCCAAAGCCTTGGGACCCTGCACCCGTGTGGGAGACCTGGAGGAGGTTCCTGGCTCCTGATCGGCACAGCAACGTGGGGAATGAACCACTGGACGGAAGATCTTCCTCTCTCTGTCTCCTCCTCTCTGTGTATCTGACTTTGTAATAAAAATAAATCCAAAAAGAAGAAACAGCTTTGGGGCAGTGGTCAGGATACCAGCACCCCATAACACAGTTCCTGATCCAGTTTACTGCTGGCACCTTGGGGAGTCCACAAACGTGGATCCTTGCCGTCCGTGTGGGAGACCTGGACTGAGCTCCAGGGTCCTGGCTCTGGCCTGGGCCCTGCTGTGGCTGCTGCAGGCTTCAGGAGTGGACTGCTGGACAGAAGACTCCTGCGTTGAGGCCAGTGTAATGGCCCAACCGGCTAATCCTCTACGTGCAAGTGCCAGCATCCAATACCGCTGCTGGTTCGTGTCCTAGGAAAGCAGTGAAGAACGGCTCAACCTTGGGACCCTGCACCCACGTAGGACATCTATCCCCTGGAACAGAACCTGGGATCTGCTGAGCTGCAGCCATTACAACCATGTCAGGGTGAACCAGAGGACGAAGATCTTTCTGTCACTCACTCTGTACATATGCACTCCCCTAAATAAATACATTAATAAAAAATGTTTCTGTGTTTACCTTTTAAATAATTTTTTTAAAGGAATGGCTCTAATTTTGGCATTACGGTGTCAACAGAATCAGACTGCCCTGTAGTTTATATTGTTCTCTACAACCATTCCTTTCCTTTTCTGCTCAACTAACAGTCCGGGATCTGGGGTGGTGATTGGTCTGGCAATGTCTAGATACCCATGTCCCATCCTGCAGTGACTGGGCTCAATGCCTAGCCCAACTCCCAAGGTCAGCTTCCTGCCTGCGACGGCTGCAGGACTTGAGCCCTCGGCACTCTTGTGGGATAACCAGAGAGCACGCTCACTTCCACGCTTCAACCTGACCCAGCCTCGGCTGATGCAGGCATCTGGGGAGCGAAATGCTGCACAGGAATCTTCCATATTCTTCTGAGTACAAAGATAAAAAATCCCACAGCACAGTTGCTGTGTCAGTGTGAACCAAGCCCCGGCCTGGCGGCCAGCCCACAGCCTGCTGCTGCAGACTCCTCGTCCGACAGCCTCCACCTGGACCCCAGACCCACTACGGGAAGTTCTACTGCATTCAGAAGACAGCAAGTGCCCTCCCGCGGGGACCTGGTCAGCAATCCTGGCTCCTTCCTAAGCAGCAAACCATATGACTTAGCTGTATGGGGTCTGGCTCAGCTACAGCTTCAGGAACCTCCGAAAGACGCTCATGATGGAAACAGGAAAAAGCACACAGCAGCGCTGGGCAGGTGTCCACCAAGAGTTCCCAAGGTTTGACCTCGGGTCTCTGGAGGAGAGAAGGAAAGCCAAGTGACAGAGAGGAGGTGACAACATCCTGCAGACAGAGGAGACCAGGAAGGCTGTCCTGGGGGCAGAGGGTCAGGAGCGGCTTTTAGGAGAGGGCACGCGAGGGGTCTGAGTAAGGCAGGTCAAACGCGCAGGGCTCAGCGAGCAGGAGTTTGCTGCTGCTGCAAAAGCTAAGGGCCAGTGCAGCCACCGGGGAGGGGCCAGGCTTTAGTGGGATTTAGAAAGCAACATGCAGGTGAAGCACAGGACTAACACCTGCAGTGTTACCCAGAAGAACTGAAACAGGCAGGGCATGGGGCTGAGCAGCACCGGGGAGCTTGGCAGAAAGGTGGCAAACAGCAAGAACTGGGGACCAGTTTAGGGTCCAAGCAACAGGGTGGAGAGGATCCAGACACTGCCCAGGCCAGGTGCCCTGGCAGCTGGTGTTACTGGCTGCTGAGGCCTGGCAGAAGTGCGATGAGGAGGAGCAGGGGTGGGGGGCTGGAGACTGGACCAGCAGGAGGACAGGCCTCGTGGATGCCAGGGGGTGGAGGATGTGAAGCGCACAGTCTGGGGTCTTTTCAGAATGTCAAGGTCACAGTCACAGGTCAGCGCCCCCGGCAGAAGATAGCCTGAGTGGACTCCGGCAGCGTGCAGCTCCATCAGGCTGACAGCTCCTGCAGGACTGACCGACTACTGAGCGGACACCGAGGTCCAGCTCGGAGGGTCTTCATGGAGAAAGGCGCACCCACGTCAGCGTCTATGCTTCCAGCTGCAGCAGGCCAAGAGCCAGCAGCGCTCAGTGCAGGCGTCTGTCCTAGCGGTCAGGCCGGCCACAGGCCATGGCCGCTGCGCTCCTGCCAGGGCAGAGGCTGGCAGGCAGCGATGGCAGCTCAAGGAGCTGGGGCCCTGCATCAGCTCCTACTCCCACTTCATCAACTCCAGCTGTCACGGGCACTTTTTATAAACGTTCTTTATTTTGTTTTATGATATAGTTGCACAGGTTGTGGGGTTGTGTCATGGGCATTTGTAGAGTGAACCAGCAGATAAAAGCATGCACACACTTGTTCACTTGCCGTTTCTTTAATAAATAACATTTTACAAACAAAGCCTGGCAAACTCACTTACCCGACCTGAATGAGTTCATTCAACTTTGTTGCATTCTTGTCATCCATACCTTCAGACAGAAAACAAACACGTGAGACTAGGCTCCGCCAGCAGCGCCGTCCTACCCAGCGGATCACATACACCGAGGATGGCTGCTAAGGGATCAAGCTGACCCAGAGGGAAACCTCCACAGGTGCAGCGAGTCCCTCACCAGCAATCAGGCCAGCAGCCTACCCACGTGCACGCCCCAGCTCCCCACACAGAACCCTGGCCTGTGTGCCTCAGGGGCCTGGCTGTGGACCCAGCACCCCGGAATGACAGCCAGACACTGTCACGCCGTCCAGCTCCCTGCCGTTCTCACTGCTGATGGAGATGCTGAGCTGCAGGAGGGTCATGGACAACCGACAGTCAGGAAGACAACAGAGGGATGGGTGTCTGGGCACTCATTCCAAATTTCTCAAAGTTTGGAAAAAAAAAAAAAAAGAAAAAGAAAAAAACTTTGAAGGAAACAAAACCAAGCAGCAAGCACACAGGCCGGAGACAGACACTGCAACTCGCATGCAGGGGCAGGGACTAACTAGCCACTAGGAGCGTAGCACAGGCCACGAACGCTGCTGAAACCTGCCAAACCTGGGCTGGACATTCAGCAAAGATGCAAAGATGACATTACAGAATAAAACAGGGCCTGGTGCAGCAGCCTGGTGACTAAATCCTCAACTTATATCTGCCGGGATCCCATATGGGAACCTATTCATATCCTGGTAGCTCCGCTTCCCACCCAGCTCCCTGCCTGAGGCCTGGGAAAGCAGACGAGGACGGCCCAAAGCCTTGGGACCCTGCACCCGTGTGGGAGACCCGGAGGGGGCTCCTGGCTTCAGAACAGCTCAGCTCTGGCCGTTGCGGCCACTTGGGGAGTGAACCAGTGGATGGAAAATGTTTGTCTCTGTCTCTCCTCTCAGTATATCTGCCTTTCCAATGAAAAATAAACTAAATCTTAAGAAAAGAAACATAACAAGAATCCATAGCTAGTGCAACTGGAAGATGGAAAGGGATTTCAGCAAAGAACCAGACAATGATAGTGGACGTGGAGCCGCTCACAGGAAGGGGCAGAGCCCCGCCTAGCGGGGATGGGGGAATCTGCCACGCTCACCCCGGGATCTGAGGGAGGGATGGCAGGGACAGCGGCGCCTGGAAGGGTGCACAGAGGGAGGCCTGTGGGCACATCACATCGTGCAAGCCTTGCGTGACACATGGCCCTTTCTGCCTTCATCTCAGGAGCGATGGGAAACCAGCGGTGTGTGGGAAAGGCATGGAGGGCGGCACGAGGGGCAGCTGCCTGGGACGTCCTGGCCGAGGGCAGCAGGCACACCACCGCAGCAGGCTGCGCCTGGAGCTCAAGGCTAGCTTCTGCACCAGCAAGGAAGGACAGGCAGCGAGCACTGGGGAGAGCCATGTAAAACTGGCCCTGCACTAGCACCCCACTGCTGCTGTGCCCCAGTGGCACGGGCAGAGGCCAAGTGCACGGCAAGCCAGTCACATGCCCAGCAAAGAGCCCTGAGCACATCTTTTCCATCAAACTGGAGGAGCCTCAAACGCTTTTGCTAGCAGGAATGACATCACCCCGCAGAAAAGCTGACGGTGTCTGACACAGGCAGCCCACGTGCAAGGGCAAGAGCAGACCTCGTCCACGACTCGGGAGACTTCACTGCCACAGTTGCCAGGCAGTTCAGTGCCCTCCTCTCAGTCACAGTTGCCAGGTAGTTCAGTGCCCCCCACACAGGCACAGCAGCCAGGCAGTTCAGTGCCCCCCCCACAGGCACAGCGGCCAGGCAGAGCAGAGATGCACACCCACAGGCACACAGCAAGACACGGGCGACAAGCGAACAAGGCACATGACTGACATAGCTGTGGCTTCAGGTGCCAAGAGCTGCACATGTGGCACACGCAGCAATGCCAAAGGACAGAAGCAGGCAACACTGAGAGAGCGGGGCGCGACCAGAAAGGCGGAGCTCTAGGACCTCGGGAGGCTAGTGGCATTCTGGGGTGAGTCACCCAACGTCACGGAGCAGGGATCACAGGAGCCCAGACACTAATGTGGGCTTGGAGACATTGGAGGCAGACCCAGCACTGTGCCATGGGAAGCAGGCACCCCACAGACTGCCAAGACCAGAAGCCACTGCGAGAGATCAGCATTGTGGTGTAACGGGAACAGCCACAGCCTACAGAGTCAGCATCCCATACGGCAACCTATTCAAGTCCTGGATGCTCCATTCCACACCAGGTTCCTACTCATGGCCTGTGAGAAACAGCAGAGGCTGCCGTAAGTGCCTGGGACCTTGCACCCACGTGGGAGACCAGAATGCAGTACCTGGCCCAAAGCAGCCACTGCAGCCATCTGGGGAGTTAACCAGCAGACGGCAGGACCTCTCTCTGGTGTTCCCTCTAACTTTTTCAAAACAAATACATGAATCTTAAAAAGCAAACAAACAAATATCAACTCAAGCCCCCCCGAGGGAAGGCCATAGCAGGGGAAGGCCAGGCAGCCAGGGAAGAAGCCCTGGCTCCCAGGACAGCCTGAGCAGCGGGGTGACACCAGCTGCTTACTCCTGTCCAAGGAGAGTGGCCATGAGATGGATTGGGGGAGGCATGGAGGCTGACAGCTGACACCACAGGGCAGTCACAGGGTCACAGGGACTAGAGGGAGCAACCAACACCCACGCGGCACCTGAAGCTGTAGGGATGGCACAGCCAAGCAGGGAGACTCAGGAGGAGGGCAGCATCCAGCACCCGCCCCAGAGGTGGGGATGCTGGGCAGGGCGGAGGTGTGTCTCAGGGTGTGATAGTCACAGTGTCAGGTTGACAGCGGCCTGCCTTCATCCGGGCGGCATGAAGGGCAGACGCAGAGGGAGAGCGAGTGGTCAGCCAACCAGCCGTGGCCCCTGGGCCACACAGGATGCCCTGGCACAGGCCCCAGGGCGGGGGTGTCCCCACCCAGTGCTGGCAAGGGAGGGGCCAGATGCTTCCAAAGACAGTGCCCTGCTCTGGGTCTGTGAGCCCAGGAGCCCATGGTCACACACAGGTCCCATCCTCAGCTGGTGAGGTATTACAGCCACGCAAGGGACAGCTTCAAGGTCATGTGAAGAACCAAAGGGTGCAGCTAAAGGCTAGAGTGGGAAAGCAGCAGGTACATGGGTGTGGACGTGTGTGCGTCCTGCGGGAGGGAAGGGCAGAGAGCACACAGATGGTGGCCAGCGGTGACTGAGCTGGAAGTGCATGGTGGTCACTGGCTCATCACCTCCAGGGTCAGAGGGGAAAGAGCAGCCACCCCAAGTCACAGGGCCGGGAGGGACACTCACAGCCGCCGATCTTCTTCCGCAGCTCGCCGTAGCAGATGAGGCCGTACAGCTCCTGGGACGACTTCTTCAGGCCTCGGGAGAACACTGCAGCACAGAGGGAGACGGCCTCAAGCAGAGCACCTACACAGCCCTGGCCACAGCGCAGTGCCCAGGTGCTCACCCAGCAGGCCTGGGTAAGCTGCCTGGTGTTGGCTTAGGCCCTCCCCAGTTTCACTGAGGCCTCGGACAAACCTGGCCTGGGAGTACAGAAGAATGGGCGATTCTCAAAGTCAAAGAGAAATGGGGTGTGTGTGCATAAGGCAAGCAGATGCCTCCGGACACATGCGTCCCAGCAAGGAGCAGGAGGGCACCATGCCCACTTGAGCTTGCCAGGCACGGGTGCAGCTAGCATCCTGGAACTAGGGAGGCTTCCCTTCCCAGCCCACCTGTGTCTTCCCAGACTGACAAGGAAGACCCCCACCATGGAACTCAGGGCCCAGTAGCAGGGTCCCTCCCAGGCATGCCTGCCTCCCCTAGCAGCCTCAGCTTTACTTGGGAACAAACCAGCCGAGACACCCGGAGTGGCTGCTGTGGGCGACAGGCTGTGCAGACACAGCAGGGCCCATCAGGGGCCATCCTGGGCACTGCAATGAGCCCCGGGACACAGCAGACGACCTTGGGGCCTCGTGTGCTGACAGTACTACTGCTGTCATCTGATCCCATGAGGCAGACTGCAGCCTCAAAGAGCAGAGCCCAGGCGCCACGGAGTAGACAGGGTCACCTGTGTCCTAGCAGCCCTCTCAGGCCCAGGTTCCCCCCACCTCTCCACTGCTAGTTTATAAGAATGAGAGCAGGGAGCGTGCGCCCATCCGCAGAGGAGCAGGTGCTGCATGTGACCCAAGGTGAGGGCTCCAGGGGTGCGAGGACCGCTCCCAGGGCCAAACAGCCTACATGGCTTCCATCCACGTGACCGACACCACTCAGCTGTGAGACTCCAGGACTGGCAGACGGCCCTGCGCTCCGCTAGGCATGCTCCCATGCATCCATACCCACGCAAGTTCCTAAAACAACACTTAGGACAACAGCAGACACCAGAAGAGGTGACCGTGGATCTACACCCAGGGTCAGAGTGGATCTATCACCCACTGCCAGATGGAAACAGACACCATGCCTCCTCAGGATCGATGGGCAGAGACAAGGCGGGACTGGCCCCAGGGTCCTCGCCGGCAGCTAGCCCACACTCTGCTCCTATTCATCAATGACACAACTACAGATGGGACAGCACAGCACACAGCGTGCCACCATGCCACAGCAGGGAGCAGCCCGAGGCACTCCAGGGGTCCTGGGGACAGAGAGAGACCAGCCACACTGGATGACCTGCTGTCACAGCATACTTTCTCAAATCACAACAAGAAAATGGGAAAGATGCCAGAGCCCAGACCCTGCCCTGATGCGTGGGGGCATGCTCGCTACAGCCTGACACTGACAGTGAACTCCAGCCTGTGCTGAAGAGGAGCCGCTCAACGAATGTAAGGTCAGCTACCTTGGGGCAGAGTGAGGCTGATGTGCAGCAGGAAGTTCACATCACTTGGGGTTCAGACACCAAACGCCAACGACCCAAGGAGCTTTGGACCAATCCCCAAGCAGAGAATGACAGCCCATTTCTAAGGCATCCTTGAGACGGGTACTTCTGCTTCTGTAGGGGAGGGGAGGGTGTGTGGCAGGATTCACTCTGATGGTCAATGTGGAGGATATGGCGAGAACAGCAGGGACAAGGAGGCAGCCACGGGCACGGGACCCACAGTGAGACAGCTGCAGGTGTCCCAGGCAGAATAGCCTGATCTGAAGAGAAGGTGGGTTTGAAAGAGGAGAGACACAAGTGCCTCCTTGGTGGTGGCTCCGCACATGAGGCTCAGGACAGCAAAACTTCCCGAGTTCAGACGCTGGCTCGAGGGCGCCCTTTGCAGGAGTGCACCTGGAGGTGCCTCGATCACAGGTCTCAAGATAGACCATGCAAAGACGGACTCCAGCACGGGTGCTAGTCAAAGCCCCTGGGGGAACAGCCACCACTCTAGCACCAGGCTCTGCAGCGGTCGCTCTGTGTCCCTAACTGGGCCAGCATTTCAGTTCTAGCATCTGCAGCTGGACTCGCACTCACGGTGGCCACAGGCTGGGGGCCAGAGCAGGGAGCTGGAGCCATGCACGCCCGGAACCACTGGGGTTACAGCAGACACGCCTCAGGGGAGCAGGGACAGGAAAGCTGCAGCACAGCACGCTCCCGTCTCCAGGCAAACCACTGAACGGCTGCAGGTGGGACAGGCTCCGCTGGGCGTTCGGGCGGAAGCCTGCCCCTCCGCTGCCCGCCCCGAGCAGCAGGCCCCTCCGCTGCCCGCCCCGAGCAGGCCTCACCGTTGCCGAAGTCGATGTACTTGGTGATCTTGTGCCACGTGCGGTAGTAGAAGTGCCGGACCTGCTCCTTGTTCTTCACCATGCTGGCGGGCTTGCCCTTCTTCTTGTACTTCAGGGCGATGTTGTTCTGAATCGCCTCGAAGTCCTTCCCGTGCTGGAAGTGAATGAGCACATTAGCAGGGTGGGTGTCAGCACAGCGTGGCTCTCCCTGCAATGTCCACCCACCTACAGAGCAGAAAGGGAGCCTGTGACACGCCAGCAAACTTCCTCCCGACCCCACATCGCCAAAGAAGCTGCACAGACCCGGCTAGACACTGACGCTACACTACGTAACCCGTGGGGTCCAGGATGCAGCAGAGGTGGGCCCTCGGGGGTCACACGCCACAGTCCCAGGTGATCAGGCAAACGAGGCCCTGTGTCTGCAGCAGGATCCAGGCCCTCAGCCTCAAGGCCTTGCCAGCAGCACTGAGCCACAAGGACACACCTGTGTGGGGACACACAGGAACCAGGCTTGCCTGGGAAGCAGGAAGTTGCACCTGCTGGAGCCCAGTCCTCGACTTCCCAGCCTCCAGACCGTGGGAACCAAACGCTATCCTTAAGGTCCACTTATCTGGGGCCCGGTGCAGCAGCCTAGTGGCTACAGACTTGACCTTGCATGCAGTGGGATCCCATATGGGAGCCAGTTCTAATCCCGGCCAACCCACTTCCCATCCAGCTCCCTGGGAAAGTAGTCAAGGACGGTCAAAGCCTTGGGACCCTGCACCCGCATGGGAAACACAGGAAGAGGTTCATGGCTCCTGGCTTTGGATCAGCTCAGCTCTGGCCATCGTGGCTGCTTGGTGAGTGATCCAGTGGATGGAAGATCTTTCTCTGTAAATCTGACTTCCCAATAAAAATAAATAAATCTAAAATTTTTTATTATTTTTTTTTTATTGGAAAGGCGGATATACAGAGAGGAGAGACAGAGAGGAAGATCTTCCGTCCGATGATTCACTCCCCAAGTAAGCGCAACGGCCGATACTATGCCGATCCGAAGCCAGGAGCCTCTTCCGGGTCTCCCACGCAGGTGCAGGGTCCCAAAGCTTTGGGCCGTCCTCAACTGCTTTCCCAGGCCACAGGCAGGGAGCTGGAAGGGAAGCGGGGCTGCCGGGATTAGAGCCGGCGCCCATATGGGATCCCGGGCGTGCAAGGCGAGGACCTTAACCACTGCGCCACCGCGCCGGGCCCAAAAATAAATCAATCTTAAAGAAAAAAGGCCAACAATGCCACAACCCCATTAAAAGCTGGCTGGAAACGGGGTCCCTCACATGTTCTGTCAATGGTACCAGGAGGTGGACCCTGTGGGAGGTGATTAGGGTGGGACAACGCCCTAAGGGTGAACCCTAAACTCCACATAGCCCCTCCACAACTGTTACGATACAAAAAGGTCCTTCGCAAGTGCTGGCAATCTACTCTTGGCTCCTCCACAACTTTGAGGAATTAATCACTTTTTCCTGGAGCGGGAGTTACAAGGCTGCGAGGGCAGCATCAGGGACACAGTGGAGAGTAGGCACCCAGCACAGGCTCCTGCCCACAGGGCCGGAGGTGAGACAGCGGAACTGTATATTGAAAACGGACAAGACAGCGGACACCTCTAAGGACGCCAGCATCCAGGCTAGTGGTTGGCTTTGTTCAGAAGCAACACTGAAACGGAAGACGATTACAACGCTGGGGAGTCAGGTTAGGGATGCAGGTGCTGTAGCCTAGCACCTTAACCGTCTTTACAGCGCTGTTTTAAGCCAGTTGCTTCACCTCCAATTCAGCTCCTGCCAAAGCGCCTGCAACAGCAGCAAGACGGCCCACATGGGAGCTCTACAAACAAACCTCTGCGCCCAGCCTCTGCCGCCGGCCCAGCCTCTGCCGCCGGCCCGGCCTCTGCCGCCCGGCCTCTGCCACCGGCCCAGTCTTGACCACCAAAGCTCTTTTAGGAGTGAGCCAGCAGACACAAGATTTTTCTATGTAACTCTGCCTTTCAAACAAATAAATAAACCTTGTGGGGGAAAAAAAAACAAAAACCAACAAGGAAGGAGGGTGTGGTGTGAGTTAAGCCACTGCCTGTGGGGTGCACATTCCAGAGGGGAGCCAGTGCCTGCACTGTGTTCAAGTAAATGTGTAAATCTTTCCTGTTAATTTGTTTTCTAAAAAGAATTTACTTCTTAAAAAAAAGGCCCTGAGCTATGGCCTAGTGACCAAATCCTAGCCTATGCGCTGAGATCCCATATGGGTGCCAGTTCATGTCCTGGTGCCCCCCCCCCCCCCCCCGCCCCATCCAGCTCCCTGCCTGTGGCCTGGGAAAGCAGACGAGGACGGCCCAAAGCCTTGGGACCCTGCACCCGCGTGAGAGACCCGGAAGAGTTCCTGGCTCCTGGCTTCAAATTGGCTCAGCTCCAGCCATTGTGGTGCGGGCCCTGTGGGCCGCTCAGCTATGCTGCCATTCCCAATCCGCCACAAACGAAGGAGCAGGCCTGGGTTCCACTAACACCATTCCTCAAAACAGGAAGCAGACACACAGGCCAGAAGTTGCCTACATCTCAAGAACAATTATTATTAGGCTTCAAAATCAACTAACGCGCTAGAGGCTCGTGAAACACCAGGGAACTGCACTGAAGTGCATTAAAGCCTGCTCACCGGGCCAGACTTGCAGCATAGCTAACTAAGGCACCACCTGTGACAGCACGGGCCCACATGGATACCGGTTCAAATCCCAGCTCCACTCCCCATCCAGCTCCTAGTTAACGCAGCTAGGAAAGCTCTGAACGACGGCTCAAGTGTCTGGGCCCGGCGCCCACGTGGGAGACCAGGAAGCAGCTCCTGGTTCGTGCCTTTGGTCTGGCCCAGCCCCAAGCCACAGCAGCCACTCGGGGAGTAAAGGAGCAGAAGATGGAAGATATCTCTCTTTCTCACTCTAACTCCGCCCACCCTTCAAATAAATAAAATAAATAGTTAAGAGGGGGGTGGTGAAGCCCGTCCAGCCATCTCAAAGCTGACAGCAGAAAAGGCCGGCATGGACCTGTCCTCTTCCAGCGCAGCGTGCCTGCACCCCCACACTGTTTCGTTACTGCTCGGCAGGAATTCTTGGGTTTAGCTGGCGCTGATGGACACGGGAAGCCCCTGACCACTCTCGGTGTGGGCACACATACCTCCAAAAGGTGAGCAGAGGCCAGACCTCAGTGAGGAAAAGGCCTTGGAAGACAACACAAACATCCCCATAAGCCCTCAGCAGCAGCCTGAGGGTCACCAGGTGGACAGAGATCAAAGTCAGGGGTGAGGCCCCCACCACCAAGGCTCCAGGCTGAACCTGCTCATCTCAGAGCCACGCGGCCAGGACCAACAGACACAGAGTGAGCAGCTCACCTCCTACAGCCCCCCAGGAGCCGCCCCTCACCCTCCCAGCTCACCTCCTACAGCCCCCCAGGAGCCGCCCCTCACCCTCACCTCCAACAGCCCCCCAGGAGCCGCCCCTCACCCTCACCTCCAACAGCCCCCCAGGAGCCGCCCCTCACCCTCCCAGCTCACCTCCAACAGCCCCCCAGGAGCCGCCCTGTCTCCCTCACCTCCTACAGCCCCCCAGGAGCCGCCCCGTCACCCTCACCTCCAACAGCCCCCCAGGAGCCGCCCCGTCACCCTCACCTCCTACAGCCCCCCAGGAGCCGCCCCGTCACCCTCACCTCGTACAGCCCCCCAGGAGCCGCCCCTCACCCTCCCAGCTCACCTCGTACAGCCCCTCAAAGAAGGTGTTCTTGTCCTCTGTGCTCCACGACTCCCACTGTCGCCGCACCTTTTTGCCTTCTTCCTTCTCGGCACCTGACGATCCCAAGTTCCGGGAGGAGGAGCGTGAGCCCCCAGCAGGGGCACTGGGGGCAACCCCAGCCACATTTCCAGATGCCGACCCGCCACCTTCGGCTCCTTGGAGAGAAAGGACCACACAGTGAGCTGTTTTTGCAAGCTAGGGTGTCAGGCGAGGCAGAACGGGGCAGGGAGATGGAAAAGGGCTCAGTGTCCAAGACCACGTGCCAGTGACACTTCCAGGAGGACCACACAAGGAACCCAGCACCTCACGCACTATCCCTGCCGGGCTGAGATCCTATCCCCTCCACGCACGCTGCTCACCAGGCCTTCGCCCCAGGATTTGAAGGAAACAGTCTCTTTTTGAATAAGCAAGCTGAACGTTAAAAAGTCGTGACGACGTCACATGCGCATGAAGCAGGTCAGAACACGCACAGCCTCATCGGAGAGCTGAGCCCTCGTTTCTCACTCCTACCAGATCCCCTCACGCTTCTCCCACTTCAGGCAGAGTCCTTCCTGGGACACACGGGCTGACGACAACCCTATGGAAGCCCAGCGATGCCCAGCGTGGCAGCTGTGGACAGAGCACTGGGCACAGCACAGGAACCAAAGGGGGAGGGGCAAAGGCCCCTCCTGCTCCCCTGCCATGCCCAGCACCTCTGTTGTCACCACCATCTTTCACGGTGCTGCAGGGCCACACAACCCGGACACCTCCCAATTCTGGAACACTCTACAGGGAGCTAAGACCACAGAAGCAAACCAAAGAAAAGCAAATGTGCATTACTGTTAAAATGCTTCCCTAACGAGCTAGCCAAGGGCTTTTCCATCCAGACACACTTCCTGGTGGCCCCTGGACAGAGGTCTGTCACCACAGGCCCTGCAGGCCAGTACGGTCGGTTGACGATGACAGAAACCAAAAACAAAGAAACAAACCAACTCTCTTAATCCACATGCTCCCGCAAAGACTGCCTCTGGGAAAAGAGCCCTAAGAGCTGGGCAGGCATGGCAGCCTCGCCTTGCACATGCCGGGATCCCCTACGGGTGCCTGTTCTAATCCCGGCAGCCCCGCTTCCCTTCCAGCTCCCTGCCTGTGACCTAGGAAAGCAGTCGAGGACGGCCCAAAGCCTTGGGACCCTGTGCCCACGCGAGAACCCTGGAAGAGGCTCCTGGCTTCGGGTCGGCTCAGCTCTGGCCGTTGCGGCCACTTGTGGAGTGAACCAGCAGTCAGAAGATATTTCTGTCTCCTTTCTGTAAATATGACTTTCCAATAAAAATAAACACATCTTAACAAAACAAGAGCCCACCAAGGGGCTACCCTCGCCCCTGCCTTACACGGGACAGAGGCAGCTCGCTGGGCTGTGCAGCTATACGCCGTGGCCCCTGTCACCACACTGCACTTTCATGGTGGTGGGGGAGAGAGCTGCGCTCTGCAGAAACCGCTCAGACCTGGGCTGGAGCTGCTGCCCCGGCTGGCGAGCGAGAGACCGTGCCTTCTGGCCACTATGGTCAGCCTGCTGCTCTCCAACAGGAAGGAGTCTCGAGGCGCTGCCCGGCAGGTTGCAAGGACTCGGTGGACGGCTCTCCGGAAATCCGCCATCAGAGCAGGCGCTCTGCACATCGGCAGACGAGCCACAACACCGAACTCACAGAAAGGTGCGTTCAGTGGAGCAGTCATTCCAGAATTGCACCCCAAACCGGTTGTCACTGACTGCATGGAACTATTTATATCTAAATATGAACTGAAATTTTGCAAACTAAAACCCAGTTTCTTGATCCTACTGGCCAGGTTCCTGGTGGACAAGGGTGACATGTGGACAGTGTCCCTGAGTGGCTGACACCCACAGTCCTGAAGCTGCGCCATGCCACTGTGCACGCAAAGCAGCTTCGCTCAGGGAAGCACCCAGCCAGCCGCCCGAGTGCCCCAAGCGGGGGTGTCCCAGATGCCTCCCATGAGAGACCAAGTCTGTTCTACTCCCTGGGGGTCACAGAAGCTTTTGCTGCCAACTGGAGAGGGTTTCAGTGCCACTCTGAACACAACTGTTACACTGCAGGGCGGCCAGTTCTTCAGGCTCTAATTCCACACACCCGGTCGCTGGAGGAAGGCGGCCCCTGCGCCGCACAGGACTTGCTCGGTGTCCTAGCAACACTGCCTCAACTTTTTCCCCAGTCCCAGGGCACACCAGGAAGCCGCGCGAGTGCTGCTGAAGGCCCAAAGTCCAGACGTCTTGTTGAATTCTGTGGGTCTCGGGGGATCACAGCTCTGGTAACCCAAGACCTGGAGAACAAACCCTGAAGGAGAGCTGGAGGGCAGCGTGCCTGCACTGGGGGAGCCACCAGGGGCAGCTACAGGGACAGCTGGGCAGGCTGGCGCACCACCCACCATGCCATGAACTTGGCCTTTCCAAAACAGCTCTGAAAGACGAGCCAACGGCCAGGTAACTCCTGCCAGATGTGGTTCCGGATCTGCAAGAACCCTCGAGACTTCCCTGGTGGACGGAATCTCAGACTTCTGAGCACAAAGACGGAGGCTTTGTGCTGAATGAACCAGAGGATGCAGAGGGCCGCAGGTGGATTCACCTGCAAACGGTCAGTCTAAAACAGAGACTAAGGACGCGAGGGCGACAAGAGAAGCAAGTGGTCAATCAGGGCTGGCGGAAAGACAAGAGGGCAAACAGGACTTCCAGGCCATGAGGACTTTCTCCGGAGGCAGGAATGCAGTGAGAGCGAGGCGGGGACCAGACTCAGCTGCAGCTTCCTGGGGCTCCTAGTCAAGAAACCTGCAGAGACACGCACGGGAGCAGCACCCCAGCAGTGAGCTCCCCGGGTCAGAACACAGGCTCTCTCCCTTGCCCAGCCCCGGCACCAGGCCCCACAAGGTGGGGACTCGGCACAGCTTGGACTGGGGAGGCCTCAGGGTGCCTCACCTCACCCACACACAGTGCCGACCACCTGCTTTCACCACCAGTGCCAATCCCTGGTTGACCAGGATGCCCACACCTCACACAATAGCCTATACGGGAGGACAACATAACCCCCGCCTCTCGGGGCGGAAGCACAGCCTGCACAGTCAACACGGGGTGCCAAGGCCGTCAGGGCCTCCACACCACAGCTAACGAGGGAGTCGGCTCTGGAGCGACCTGCCCTCGGTGAGATGCCGAGCACGCCATCACCACCTGCTCAGCACCATGAGCTCCCCAAGCTGGAACCATCCACGCAGGCCATGGAGGCCAAGGCCAGGAGCCACCGAGGACAGGCCCCGAGGAGGTGCCTGGCTTGTCCCCGGCAGGGGCCGTCTGTGGTGATCACGTGAGCCTCTCCAGGATGCACTGTGCCACACCCCATCACAGGGAAATACTCTGGGACCCACGCTGGCCCCTCCGTTCCCTGCACTCCCCGGCGGAGACAGAGGTGTCCCTGGGGTATCCTGCGCCCAGCTGTGAGGGAGGGAACACCTCCTCCAGCAAGGCTGCCTACAACAAATCAAACCCCAAAGCCGCAGCCCGTCAGCCTGCCCCCAGCGCTGCTGCTCGGCCCACAAGGCAGGGAGGCCCCTCCAATCCGATACTGCCAAGAAGATGCCATTCACATCCGCGGGCTATGCCTGCCAGAGGTCCGGCCCCCAGAGGCCGGGCTGTGCTCACTGGGACCTGAGGAAAGGCTCAGGCCGTGACTGCCCCCTGAAGCCACTTGTGTTTGCTGTGTCCTCATGTCTTGCAGCATCCGCGGTAAGGCACACTGCACTACGGTTCCCAGAAGCCACCGAAGGGAAAGCAGGCCCCGCCATCCGCCTGCAGGCACACCCTCCTCCTCAGGCATGCAGCAAGGCCCATCTGTACAGTCGCCCCAAGTGGCCAGGGTCACAGCTCTGCTGACCCTGAGCACAGGGAACTGTCTGGGCCATTCAGCAGGACCCCAGCCTGACTGTCACCTCGCATTGTCCACTGCATCGCACAGGCGATGGCGTATCCCTGCCTCGTTGTGCCCTCCCGCCCCATCTGACAGCTCTGGCACAGCATGACCATAACACCCAGGAATAGCCCAGGTGTGGAGGTCAGCTGCAGAGTGAGTCTGGGCAGCCTGTGGGCATGACAACCTGGTAAATTTCCCATCCAGAAGAGCACATGGTGAGACTGAACAGAAGTGGGCAGCCTTCTGGACACGCCCCGCCTGAGCTCTCCCAGTACCAGGGCCACGCAGCAGGCCAGCAGAGTTCTGGCCACTTCAGCAGTCTCCCTCCGGGGTGCTCTCCAGAACACACCAGTGCAAGCTCCTTCACACAGGCCAATCCTGGCCCCGAGCTCTCAGCCCGAGGACGGGCCCTGCAGACCAGCATGCCAGGGAACACTGAGCAGCGGCTGTTCCGGGCGGGCAGAGACCCGCTGCTGGTTCCCACCTGCTCCCAGGGCGGTCCCAAGATTCCAAAGACAGATTCCACCAGGAACTCACAGGCAGCCCACACGGCGACAGGTAACGTGTGTGTTACCTCCACTCTGGAAGAACAGGGAGGCTCCAGGAGGCGGCCTTCTCTGCCACAGCCAGCCACAGGGTGAGGTGGCCAGGTGGCGCAGTGGGGTCCCTCCTCCCAACCACGTTCTTGTGGATGTGGTCTGAGTCCGAGGTCGGCCTTGGAGCATCCCGAGTCACAGAGGCGAGCAGGCCCACAGATGTCCTGCGCAGCATATCTGCGCCCATTGCACAGCGCAGGGAGAGGCAGGGGGCCTGGCGCACAGGCAGCCTCGGCCACAGCCCCCGCAGGGCACACCGAGCTTCTAGAATCACACTACACACGGACCTACCCAACGCCGTCAGGGCCATCCGTTCTAGCCTGCTCCCGAGCCCCAAGGCCACGGGGCCGGGACCTGCAAGCTGAGCAGAGGGAAGCTGAGCGGCCCTACCCAGCTGCCACGGGGCTTCTTCACACACACGGAAGAGAAAGCACGGAGAGCACGAGTACTGCTCCTTTCCCAAAGCAGACCCCAGTCCCTACAGGACAACTTCCGCCGTTGGCAGGACTTGTCCCCAGGCCCAGCAAGGTCCCAAGTGGGGCATGCTCACACCCCACTCTGCCAGCAGTTTCCTGAGGTGACGGCGGAGCAGGGGTGCCCCTAAAGCAGGAGTCTGGCCCGGGCAAAGTGAAGCTAATCCATCCACGCGCAGCGAGCGGCCAACAGAAAGCCAAGAGTGGCCGTCCTGAGGCATTCTGGACCCCTTTCCTGCAAACTTCTCAGCAGCTACATGCCGGGGTGCTCAGGGGCGATCACTGCGGTGCTGCTCCCCTACTTAGGGGGGACCCCCAGGAGAGGCACCTCTGCAACAGAAGCACACACGTGCAGCGTGGGCTCCGCACTGGCCTTCTTGCAACACGCCCAGCAGGCCATCCCAGCACCCGGAGTGCACAGCTCACAGAGGGGGACCAGGAACCAGCAGCCCAAAGCTACTTGTCAGGAAATGGGTAAGCTGGCAAAGCAAACCAACGGGTGCCAAGTCGCTCAGCTCTTTCAGACCCAGATTAACTCCCGTGAGGCTTCAGCAAGGCTTCCAAGCCACCCTGACACCGTCAAGTGCTTGGGTAAAACCCCTTTTAACTGGGAAGGCCCTGACCCCATAAGACAGCCCTCTTGGTGAAGGAGGCAGGAAAATCAAGTTCCACGGGACCCAGGAGGCCCAGGCCGCAGGGGGGAGGCCCCAGGAGGGCCAGCACCGCTGACACACCGAGACAAACACGTCGCGGGACGGGACGCCAAGTAAAAGCTTTCCTTCAGGCCAAACCGCTCTGAGATGAAAAGAATCCAACAGCAAGTCAGAGGACAGCCCGGGCAGAGCACACCGGGACACGCGCACGCGGGGCTCCGGCGCCCTCACGCCGGCCCACCCTCCACCGCGGGCCGGGACCTTGGCAGAGGACGCGGGCCAGGGCCGCCCCTTCCTCCCCCGCACCGAGCTTCCCCAGCCCGCTCCTTTGTTGCATTTCTACCACCTCACGTCTGGCAGCGAGACCCAGCAGGTCGTTTCTTTTCCCTTTCCCGGGTTGGAAGTGGCCCGTCCCGGGAGGGAGGCCGGCCGGTGCGCCCTCGGGGAGGGGAGGCCCCTACCTTTCCCGCGGGGCCCCGAGCCGCCGCCCCCCGCGCCCGGCGGGTCCCTCCGCGGCCTCTTGCTCTGCGGCCGCACGCTCGAGCGCAGGAAGTGGTGCTGGTCCTGGGGGCTGCCGAGCGGCGGGGCCGCGGGGGCGCCGGCCCGCGGGGGCGGCTCGTCGCGCTTTGTGGCGCCGTCCTCCGCCGCGTCCGCCCCGCCGGGCGCGTCTCCGGCCAGCGCCTCGTCCTCCGCCGCCCGCTTGCCCAGCTTCTTGAGCCCGTCCTCGCCGCCGCCGCCGTCGCCCAGCTTCACTGTCATCCTGCGGCCGGGAGAGCACAGGGCGGCGCCGTGAGCGGCCGCGCCGGGCCCGGGAACTTTCTGCGCCCGCGGCCGCTCAACATGGCCGCCGTTGTTTGTTCCAAATCCGCGCTCGCGCCCGGCCCGCCCGGCCCGCCGCCCCCCGGCCCGGCCCGCACCGCCCGGCCGGCCGAGCCCCGCGTCCCGGGCGCCCGCTCGCGGCCCCGCACGGCCCGGCGCGGCCCGCCTACCCCGGGAGGCCGCGGCTCATGGCCGGGCCCGCGCGCCGCCTCGGCCCTCGCCCCGCGTCCCCACCCCGTCCCCGCCCCCCGGCACGCGCGGCCACCGGCCCCGCACTCGGGCGCGGGAGGCCCGGGGCGCCGGCCGGGGCGGGCGGACTCCGGGCAGGGCTGGCCGCACCCGCTCGGGCGCCGGGGACCAGGCGCGGACTCGGCCCCTTCCTGGCGCAGAGGCGACCCGTGCAGCCGGACCCCCAAACCCGCCCGTCGGCGACCGGCCGCCCCGCACGCGGGCGAGCGCGGCCCCGCCAGCGGGAAGGGCGCCTGCCCGGGGCACCGCACGTCCTCGGCCGGCCACAGCACCCTGCAGGCGCACGCAAAGCGACCCGGCGCCCCGGAGCTTCTCGGGACCGGCCGGCCCTGGCGGGGGCGGCCCCGCAACCCCGCCGCCCCGCCGCCCTGGCCGCCGCGCCTCCCCGGGCCCCGCGCCCCCCGCGCGCAGTCACCTTTCTCATCCACGCCTCGCGGCGGCCCGGCCTCTCGCAGCCCCGGGACGCCCCCCGGGACCCGCAGAACCGGCCGCGACGAGCAGGCCCGGCCTCGGCGCGACGGCTGGGGGAGGCCGCTGTGGCCGTCCTGCCCCGCAGGCGCCGGGGGCCCACGCGCTCCGCTCCTGTCCCCGCGCGGGGCTGCACCCCGCAGCCCGGGCTTCCCGGCCGACGACCCGCAGCGCCCAGCGGCAGTTCCGGCTACGGCGGCCGGCGGAGACGTCGCGCCGGGGCGGGGCGGCCGGGCGCGGGGCGGAACGGGACGACGCGCGCGGGAGCGAGCACGCACAGCTGCGAGGCGGGCGCGCCCCCCAGGCGGCGCTCCCATTGGCTAGGAGCGGGCGCGCGCTCCCGCACGTCCGCGCTCGGGGCGGGGGCGCGGGGACGGGTCTGCGACGCGAGTCGTGTTGTGACGCCGGGGGGCGCCCTGCGGGCGGTGCGTGGCGTCGGATTGGTCAGCCGCCAGCCAATAGAGCTGATGCCGCGCTGCGATTGGTCGGCGCCGTGTTGACGGATGCGTGAGAAGAAAACGCCGCCTCAAGCCGAGTGTGGGAGCCGGCGCGAACCCTTGGGACTCCGCGCTCTCCTCATCGGCTCGTCCGGAGCGGCCGGCGGGCCCTCGGCGCGGGGCGGCGGACGAGCGTGCCTCGTGGTTGCGTTGGGGCCCTGCGACCGGCCCGCGGTCGCGTTTCCCCGCTGAGCCTCGGCAGTGCAGGCCGGTGCGCCACCCGCCCGGCCCGGCCCCTCAGGTTGGCGTGTGCGCCCGCGACGGCCCCTGGACGCGGGTCCCGGCTCTCGGCGGCCGTCCGGACACTCCCGAGCGCCTTCGGCTCTCTCCGCGGCTGCTTCGGCCGCGCGGGGTTGCCCTTCGGCTGTTTCCGCCTTCCTCGCGCGGCGTTGTCCCGGCAACCGGAGCAGCGCGGCGGTGCAGGCAGGGTGAGTGCCTCGGGGGCCGAGGGTCCTCCCGGGCGCGGCGGGGACCCTCCGGGTGGCCCCTGGCACGGGGCTGGCTGCCCCGCACGGACCCCACGCGAGTCCCCGGCCCGTCCCTTCGGGCAGATCGGGTGGACAAACAGAGAACCAGGGCAGGGTGGGGGAACGTGCAGCCCCAGTGGATGCATGGTCCCGAAGCGCGGGGACAAGCCTGGTCGGCAGTGTCCAGCATGCCACGCAGGCCCTGACCTGGCCGGGGGATTGGGACTGTGGCCTAGAGAGCAGAGTGTTCCAGGGCGCCCCGTGGACTCCCAGACTGACCCGGTCGAAACCCCAGGCGCCTGCAGAGGAAGCCCAGCGACGTGATCCGAAGAAGTGGTTTCTTTTCTTTGCACCCAAAAGTGCATCTGTTTGTCAGTTTTGCGTTGTAGAGACCCGGAGTCTGTCTGCACGTGGGGAAAGCCTGTTGCATCGATGCCATCAGCGCGTGGAAACTAGGACATTGCTCTGGCCCACCTGCCTGGAGGCTAGAAGTCTGGCCTCAGCCAAGCAGTGGGGGGCTGGGGAAGGAGGCTGCCTACAGGGACACTACTCCTGAGCTTGACTACCAGAGTCACGTGCCAAAGGCTCAGTGGGAGAAAACCCAGAAAACCAGAAGTTATCCTTGCCGTTCCGTTATCAGTGCTTTGGTGCTTGAAGTTAGAAAAAGGCAGGGGGGCCACAAATTGGATTTAATTTGATAAAATCTGTTAGGAGTGTAATTATGCCAAATACGAACTTAGTAACTACATAATCATCATTGCAACAAAACTAAAGCACAGCTCATTTTTCAGAAAAAATAGTTACACACAGTGAGCTTGTTGAATAAGAATGTCCCACAGGGCCCAGCACGGTAGCCTGGCAGCTCAAGTCCTCACCTTGTACACACCAGGATCTTAAATGGGTGCCGGTTCTAATCCCAGCGGCCCTGCTTCCCATCCAGCTCCCTGCTTGTGGCCTGGGAAAGCAGTCAAGGACAGCCCAAAGCCTTGGGACCCGGCACCCATGTGGGAGACCTGTAGGAGGCTCCTGGCTTTAAATTGGCTCAGCACTGGCCACTGCAGTAACTCCGTTGGGGAGTGAATCATCAGACAGAAAATCTTCCTCTCTGTCTCTCCTCCTTTCTGTATATCTGACTTTGCTATAAAAATAAACATCTTAAAGAAAAAAAAGAAAAAAAGGTCCCACAGCCAGGGCTTTAGAGCTCTATCTGGGTACAGAACATTGAATTCATTGAATTCACGATGGAAGGCTTCCTGGGGCAGCTCCGGCCTCGCGGTCCATACCAGCACCCCGCGTCAAGGGTCTGGATTGCATTCCATCCCTGCTAGCGCACAGCCCAACTCAGGTGGTTGGGGCCCTGCCACCCCGGTGCATTGGAGTCTGGGACCCTGCCTCAGCTGTTGCCGGGGGCGGGAGGGACAGGGGAAGCTTAGTCTGTCTCCCCTACCTCTGCCTTACGGAGCCCACCGTGGTTGAGGTATTGTTCTCATGTCCACTCCCACAGAGAAGTACCTGTGTCTGATGTGTGGCTCTGGCTCTGGCCGCTCGCAGCTCCCCGCCGTGCAGGCCCCAGTGGTCTTGATGGTGGCTCGGGAGATTGGCTTCCCGTAGCTGGCTGGAGGGCTGCACTCCTGGCATCAGCTTCAAGCAGGCTGAGCTGTGGTGGGCATCTTGGACGATGAGCCAGCTGGTTGACCTGTCAGCTTGCTCTCTCTCTTTTAAAGATTTATTTTGTTTTGTTTTGTTTTATTGGAGATACACAGAGAGGAGAGACAGAAAGATCTTCCATCTGTTGATTCACTCTCCAAGTGAACGCTGGTGGTCAGAGCTGCACCAATCAGAAGCCAGGAGTCCTTCCTGGTCTCCCACGTGGGTGCAGGGTCCCAAGGCTTTGGGCCGTCCTCGAAGGCTTTCCCAGGCCACAGGCAGGGAGCTGGATGGGAAGTGGAGCTGCCGGAATTAGAACCGGCGCCCATATGGGATCCTGGTGGATACAAGACAAAGGTTTAGCCACCAGGTCATCACACTGGGTTCAGCTTCTCTCTGGTGTTTTTTTTTTTTTTTTTCAGTTTCTTTCAAATAAAAAGAAAATAGGTAAGTAAAAATCTTTGGAAAGGTTCTCTTAGCTATGAAAGTTTTTTTGTTTTTAAAAGATATTTAATTGGAAAGGGAGATTCACCGCGAGAAAGACTTTCCCTCCACTGGTTCACTCCCCAAATGGCTGCAATGGCCCGGGCTGAGCCGATCTGAAGCCAGGAGCCAGTAGCTTCCTCCAGGTCTCCCACACGGGTGCAGGGTCGTCCTCGACTGCTTTCCCAGGCCACAGGCAGGGAGGTGGATGGGAAGTGGAGTAGCTGGGACACGAATCAGTGCCCATTTGGGATCCCGGTCCATGTAGGTGGAGGATTAATCACTTGGGCCAATATGCCAGTCCCTAATTTTTTTTCTCCGAAAAGAAAAGATCAAAACTGAAGCTTTTGTCCCACCAACTTGTACGAAAGCTTGAGCCTCCCTGCCCTGGTCCGAGGCCTGCATAGGCGTGCGTCCGCCTTAGCAAAGGAAACAGTATTAAAGATAAGGAAGACAGCTCTTCTTGGGAAGAGAGTCATCGCTTGTGCAATGCCTGTGACTGCTGGCCAAGTCAGGAACAGGAATTGCACCCAGGTCTCCCCGTGGGCACTTGGGCCCTCTGTGCCTTCCGCAGAACCTGAACCAGGCACCCCAATACAGAGCAGCATCTTAACTGCTGTCCCCCGCCTTGTGCCTCGAGGTGGAGCTGCCAGACCCATTGGTGCCTCTGACTCTGCCTCTCTGAGGAGCTTTCCGCAGCGGCTTCACTGTGCTGCGCTCCTAGCAGCAATGCTGAGCAGAGGCCAGTGCCTCCTTGCTTCTCTGTTCTGCTGGCATCAAGTTGGCTGGCTGTGAGTGAGAGAGGATGGCCCAGGGACACTCCACCCTGCAGTCGCTTGCCCCAGCTGGGCCCGGAGTAGGCGTCAGTCATCTTGGGGGTCCCACTACCTCTCCTGGCAGCTTGCTTCTGTTTGAAATTTTTCTGAAAAGACAAGTGATCCTCAGTATGATTGAATTAAGACCCCCAGTGCTGCGGGAGTGCTGCGGGCTGCGGGCTAGTTCTGTTAACGCTCCATGACATCCCTCATCTTGAGTTTCCTATTCGTTCCTGATTAATCTCTTCCAAGGACGTGGCCTGACTTGCATGTTCAAAGGGACGCTCTGGCTCTCTAGGGTCTCAGGGTGCCAGGCCTGTGCTCCGTCTGATTTGTGACTCTGTGCAGCCTGGTGTTTGCGTAAAACCAATTGGACTTGGTGGGTTTTCCCTGGCAGGTTTCAGCCCTGACCAAGTGTGTGCGCCACCATGGCCCTCTATTTCGACCACCAAATTGACACCCTGGAAGCAGTTGGGTCCGCATCGCACATCAATTGGCACCCAGTTCAGCCGTTCTTGGCAGTGGCCTTCAAGAGCTGTACTTCAGGAGGCAGCGTGGATATATACCAGGAGCAGGTTGGTACATGGCAGACCCAGGGCTGATCTCAGCAGCTCAAGGCGCATGCTTCTCATTTGCTCGTGTGTGTGTGCGCACGTGTGTGTGAGAGATCAGACTGGATCCCCAGATTCTTTTTGTTTACTTGAAAGACAGAGTTAGAGATCTTATATCCACTTTCCCGGATGAGCCTAAACCTGGGCCTGGGCCAGGCCGCAGCCAGGAGCCGTGGTGTCTGTCCAGACTTGCTCACGTGCATGGCTGGGCCATCTGCTTTGCCAGGCCCATTAGCAAAGAGCTGGATCAGAAGTGGAGCACCCAGGACTTCAGCTTTTTCTTTTTCTTCTTCTTTTTTTTATTAAAGTTTATTTTTACGTTTATTGGAGAATGAGGTTTGCAGAGACGGATAAAGATCTTCTACCTGTCCACTAGGCTGTCATGCTGAGCCCTTCAACTTTCTCATGAAAGAAACAAACACCTCTCATTGGTCTCACTGAGGTCCAGTCTCCCAGTGTGACAGCAGCTCTGGCATGTGGCTGTTCTCTCTCTCTGAGAGGCAGAGAAATAAGGATAGACACATCTTTGGTCTGCTGGCTCACTTCCCACATGGCCCACAGGCTGGAATAAACCAGGCTGACACCCAGAGCCTGCAACTCCAGCCTAGTTTTCCACCCAGCGCGGTGGCCTAGTGGCTAAAGTCCTTGTCTTGAACGCGACAGTATCCCATACAGACACCAGTTCTAATCCTAGCAGCTCCACTTCCCACCCAGCTCCCTGGCTTGTGGCCTGGGAAAGCATTTGAGGACTGAATCATCGGACAGAAGATCTTCCTCTCTCTCCTCTGTCAGCAAGAAGCTGAAATCAGAAATGGCAGTGGGATTTGAACCTACTCCCTCGGGCATGGGATGTGGATACCCCGAGTGATGCTGTGACCACTTCTCCCGAGCCTGAAAATCGGGAGATTTTCAAAGTAGACACTGGTGCGTGGCCATGGCGGCACTTTGGGGGTGAACCTTTTGGGAGAGCCCGTTCTGTGTCTCTGTGACTCTGCCTCTCAAGTAAGTGAACAAATAGATCTTTGACAAGCAAAAACTTCAGAGTGTTTGCCTTGGGGCAGAGGGTTAAGCCAGTGCTAGCAGTGCCAGCATCCCACTCTGTCCCGGATGCCTCTCTTTTTCCCTGTCTTTTTTTTTTTTTAAAGATTTATTTTATTTTCATTACAAAGTCAGATATACAGAGAGGAGCAGAGAGGAAGATCTTCCGTCTGATGGTTCACTCCCCCAGTGACTGCAATGGCCAGTTCTGTGCCGATCAGGAGCCAAGAGCCAGGAACCTCCTCCTTCAGGCCTCCCACACGGGTGCAGGGTCCCAAGGCTTTGGGCCGTCCTCGACTGCTTTCCCAGGCCACGAGCAGGGAGCTGGATGGGAAGTAGAGCTGCCAGGATTAGAACCAGCATGTCCAAGGCGAGGACTTTGGCCACTAGGCCACTGCGCCTGGCCCTTTCCCTGTCTTTTAAAAAAGATTTATTTGTTTATTTGAATGCAGTAGTTACGGAAAGAAGGGGGAAAGAGAGAGATTGAGGCTCGGAGGAGGAGAGATCTTCTTTGGCTGGTTTGCTCACTAGATGACTGAAACAGCCTGGGGTTGGGCCAGGCCGGAGCCAGGAGTCGGAACTCCCGCTTGAGTACGTGGGCCCCAAGTACTGGGGCATCTGCCCGTGCTTCTCCCAGAGCATTAGCAAGGAGCCGTGTTGGAAATGGAGCAGCTGTAAGATGAACTGGTGCCCATAGGGGGTACCGCTGTCACAGACAGGAGCTTTCCCCTCTAGGCCACAACACCAGCCCCAGATAAATAAATAAATCTTAAGAAAAAACAAGACACTTGACAATACCTGTATTGCTGAGCTCCTCCTCCTGCACCGTAGGGTCAGCGTGTGCCTGATGTACGTATCGAGAGCTCCTCCCGGGTTACCTTGCTCCGCTGGCACCCCGCGCGACTGCTCCTGGCTATTGGCTGGGAGACGGGAGAAGTGACGGTCTTCAACCAGCAGGACAAGGAGCAGCACGTGGTGCCTGCGACACACACGTCCGACGTCACCGTCCTCAGCTGGAGCACCAGTGGCAGCTGCCTCGTGTCTGGAGACAAGGTGAGGGAGCAGTTGGTGTCGGCATCCCTGGCCGTGCTCTGACAGACTCCCATGGGGAGGAATGCCACAGACTTGGTTGCTTGAAATGTGTTTTGCCAGATGCCATTGACCTTGTCTGTGTGATTACAGAATTAATTTTGTGTCAGAAACAAGGCTCGAGAATGTCGTCCTCACATCCCCCTGTGACACATGTCTGCGATTTGGGAAGTGAACTCTGTCGAGAAGTCACACTGAGCCACTGGGAGAGCGTCTCGGACACTGTCCCTCTGCACACTCCTGGCCAGAATCCCCAGCTCTGGGTGTAGGGGCATGAGGCAATACGCAGGGCTGCTGTGCGCCACAGGCGGGCCCCTCGCAGCCCCCTGCCTCTGACTCACCATCGTAGGCCGCAGTCGGCAGCGTGTGCCTGAGCTGTGGAGTCAGGCTGGCAGAGGCTGAGCCCCAGACGCAGCCTGCACAGGCGGAAGGACAGAGACCACGCCTGTGCTCTGGGTCACTGCCCATATTCCACATGGGAGCATATGTGGGCCCGGCTCAGGCTGGCACTTCCATGGGGTGCATGTAGGGCAGGGGGCACAGGGCCATGCGTTAGCAGGAAACGAGCCGGGAGCCTGAAGTTCAGCTTGGCCGTTCCGCATTCCTGTGTGAGTCGCCTCCACGCGACTTTGACTTAGAAGGTTTTGTAGCAGGTGAGCAGTGTGAGAAAAACCCTTCCTCTAGATTCACACCTGCTTCCTGTCTTACCTGAATGCCTTTTTGCTAAATAATTGTTTACCATGGGCACTGTGATTCCTTTTTTTAAAAACTTTGTTTTTAAAAGCTTTATTTATTTTTAAGGCAAAATTATAGAGAGGGAGAGGGGAGATCATGCATCCTTTGATTGACTCCATAAATGGCTCTGTAGCCAAAGCCGGGAGTCCCCCAGGTGGGTGCAGGGACCCAAGCTTGGGCAGTCTTTCACTGCTTCCCCAGGTGGTTAGGAACTGGAGCCAACACCCACGTAGGATGCCAGCACTGCAGGCTACAGCTTAAACAGCTACTTAAATTGTATTATTGGAAGGGCAGATTTATGGAGAGAAAAAAGAAAGACAGAGAAAGATCTTTCATCTGCTAATTCACTTCCCAAATGGCCCCAGTGACTGGAATTTAGCCAGTCTGAAGCCAGGAGCCTCTTTCAGGTCTCCCACGCGTGAGTGCAGTCCCAAGGCTGTGGGCCGTCCTCCACTGCTTTCCCAGGCCACAGGCAGGGGGGTGGATGGGAAATGGAGCAGCCAGGATTCAAACATCACCCACATGGGATCCCGGCACAATAGACAAAAACCTAGCCTACCACGGAAAGTGCTGGCCATCTTGGGAGTGTCACGCGGCCTCCATTCACCCCTCCAGGGATTCCTACCCATGCCGCACCCGTCTCAGTGGCAAGCTGCTTGCTCAAGGGCCACAGGAGCAGTACCATCAGAGTCCTGGTATGCTAGTGCCACCATGCTGTCACCTAGAACGATCTGATGTCACATTAGAATGCTCATGCAGCAGTGACTTGGGCAGCGGGCACTGTCCTCTGGGGTGTGACTATATGAAAACAAATTGCGCAGGATAACACAGAATTCCCACACAGTCAAAACAGCCCTGCACAAAGGCCCACCTTGGGCCATGTCAAGAGGTGCAGCAAGGCACCTGGGCAGAGCTGAGGGTGTGACAGAGGAGCCAGCAGGCACGTTTGGAGCTCAGCTTCCCGACTGGCCGGATCCGAGAGCCGGAGGCATCCCTCCCTGCCAGCCGGAGGAGGGCGAGCTCCTACTCCCAGTGGTTGTGTCTGTCCTTAGGGCAGAACGAGGTGTGTGGCATCTGTCAGGGCAGCAGTGACTGCGTCCTGCACAGATCTCGCCCACATGGCCGTCTGCCAGCCCTTCCCAAACGGCAGCCGTGTGGTACTCGGGGACCGCTGCATGCCGGCCAGAGCCTTCGTGCTGCCGCGACCCCTCGGGCTCCACGCTGGGGGCGTGGCACCACCTGCTCGGGACGTGCAGCCACTGTGGTTCTGCTGAGTGCGTGGTTTGTCTCACTGTGTGAACATTATTTGTAATGTTTTGTTTTCTGGAGACAGCGTTCTAAACACAAGCCCTGATTTTCCTCTCCTCACGCGGCCACGGGAAGACGCCTCCCCGTAATGTGTTTCTGACTGTGTGCTCACACTGGATTTTTTTTTTTTTAAGGAGTTGTTAATTTTTTTTTTTTAAAGATTTATTTTTATTATTTTGTTATTGGAAAGGCGGATGTACAGAGAGGAGAGACAGAGAGGAAGATCTTCCATCCGATGATTAACTCCCCAAGTGAGCGCAACAGGCCGATACTATGCCGATCCGAAGCCAGGAGCCTCTTCCGGGTCTCCCACGCGGGTGCAGGGTCCCAAAGCTTTGGTCCGTCCTCGACTGCTTTCCCAGGCCACAGGCAGGGAGCTGGAAGGGAAGCGGGGCTGCTGGGATAGAACCGGCGCCCATATGGGATCCCGGGCGTGCAAGGCGAGGACCTTTAACCACTTGCGCCACCGCGCCGGGCCCTGGATTTTTTTTTTTTTTTTTTAAGATTTATTTTTGTTGGAAAGTCAGAGTTACAGAGAGAAGAGACAGGGAGAGATCATTTGTCTGCTGGTTCATTCCCCAAACAAATGAATGGCTGCAGCAGCCAGAGCCAGTCCATCAGAAGCCAGGCGCCTGCTCCTTGGCTCCCACAGTGTGTGCAGAGCCCTGGCACCCGAGCCATCTTCAGTTGCAGGTAGTGGCTTAGCCCACTCCTCGGCAGTGCGGCCCGGTCAGGACTTGCACAGCCTTCCTCAAACGACTGCCATACCTGAGCTTAGTTTGAAGTCCTGTTTCTACGGCTGCTGTGGTGACAGCAGCTTCTCTACCTCCCAGTGTGGGGCTCCCTTATGGGCGCTGGTTCTAATCCCGGCTGCTCCACTTCCCATCCAGCTCCCTGCCTGTGGCCTGGGAAAGCCTTCGAGGACGGCCCAAAGCCTTGGGACCCTGCACCTGCATGGGAGACCTGGAAGAAGCTCCTGGCTTCTGGCTTCGGATCGGCTCAGCTCCAGCCATTGCCGCGATTTCAGGAGTGAGTCAGCAGATGGAAGACCTCTCTCCGTGTCTCTCCTCTCTCTGTAAAAGTCTGCCTTTCAAATAATTTTTTTTTTTAATTCTAATTCCCTCTACAGTAGATGTTGCCAAACGCTGGGGTCTGTGCACTCCATGCTGGAGGTGTGAGGCGCAACACCCAACCCTTGGGTCCTAGTATTTCCCTCCATAAAAAGGCACCAGGGCTCAGTGGAGGGACGACTGGTTCTGAGCCAGGACAAGGCAGTGAGAGCCATGGGGCCGCGTGAGCAGGAGCTCCCGTCACAACCGAAGGAGCAGATAAAGCAGCTTGGATGACGGTGTCAGGCGGATTAGAATCCTGTAGTCCACACAGGCGCATGTGGGTGGTTGGTGGAACAGAGCCAGTGGCGAAGAGACAAAGCTGTCTTGCTGAAGAGCCCTGGGCTGTTGTGTGGGCCCTGCCTGCGAGGAGGCTGCCGAACCCTGACTCCTCGCTGAGGGCGTGCATGGCAGCTTCCTCCAGGCAGCAAGGTGCCAGAGCATGACCACTCCCCCAGGAGATGCCAGGGCATGACCAGGCCACCCAGGTCGGCGTCCTTCCCCTTGTCCCCAACTACCCAACTCACAGATCTGAACACTGTCCCGGCCCAGTGCACGCAGGATGTCTCGGGGCCCCCGGTGATTGTAGCAGGGTCAGTTCATCAGTTCTCAGAGGTGTGTCACAACAGGAACCAGCGTTACAGCCCAGGGGTTAGTCTTCTGCTTGCGCCTCCAGCATCGCAGACTGGAGCACCAGTTTTAACTCCATGCTGCACTACCTCCAACCTAGCTGCCGGTGGATGCTCCTGGGAAAGCAGGAGTTGGTGACCCAAGTCCTTGGGCGCCCGCCACTTACACGGAGACCCAGAACGGAGCTCCAGGCTCCTGGCTTCGGCCTGGTGAGCCCCAAGCTGACATCCATTTACAGAGTGGGCCAGTGGGTGGATCTGTCTGCCTTTCCCTCTGTCAGTTTGCATTTCAAATAAACAAAGGGGGCACCCCGCAACACGTGGATCTAACAGAAGCCTGTGTTGTTTTTGTGTATGGGGTTCTCTACACTTTCAGCATCTAAAATCTGAATTTATCCTGAATTTTTAAAATCTTAAAAAAAAAAAACTGTTGGGATTGCAGGTGGGGAGAGAGTATAGATGAGGTTTTTGTTTTGTTTTGTTTTTACTTTTTTATTTTATCCATTTGAAAGAGTTACAGAGAAAGAGGTAGAGCTTGTTTTTCTGCTGGTTTACTCTCTCATTGTGGCCAAGGCCAAGCCAGGCGAAGGCCAAGAACCAGCGCTTCTTGCAGTCTCCCCGATGGGCACTCGGGGCCCGAGAGCCTGGCCATCTCTGCTGCTTCCCCGGACATATCAGCAAGGCAGTGACTTAACCCACTAAGCCACAGCGTTGGCCCCTTCTCTGTCTTTCTCTCTTTCTTTCGATATATTTTTTATTTTCATTACAAAGTCAGATACATAGAGAGGAAGAGAGACAGACAGGAAGATCTTCTGTCCTATGACTCACTCCCCAAGTGGCTGCAGCGACTAGAACTAAGTCGATCTGGAGCCAGGAGCCATGAGCTTCTTCCAGGTCTCCCACGTGAGTCCCAAGGCTTTGGGCCGTTCTGGACTGCTTTCCCAGGCTACAGGCAGGGAGTTGGGTGGGAAGTGGAGTAGCTGGGATTAGAACCAGCACTCATATGGCATCCTGACATGTGCAAGGCGAGGACTTTAGCTGCTAGGCAATTATGCCAGGCCCCTCACTCCTTTCTTTAAAGGCTGTTGAATTGGTGACGTGTTAACTAAGCAGAGCTCAAAGTTTTGTGTAAAAACAAAAAAACAAAACAAAAAAAAAACTGTAAGCTTGTAGTATAGTAGGCGATGCTCCATGGGGGACATGACGTCCTGATTGGAGGGAGTGTCCTGGTCTCATCCCCAGCTCTGCTCCTGAGCCTACCTGATGCACGCCCTGGGGCCCTGTGCTCGGCACCCATCACTGGCAGAGACTCAGATGGGCTTCCTGGCTCCTGGCTTTGGCCAAGCCCAGCCCTCCCGTGGCTATTAGGAGCATTTGGATAATGAACCACTGGCTGACAGGCCTGTCTGTCTGTCTGTCTCTCTCTCTATCTATCTGTTTCTTCCTTTACAATAAATCTAGTAAACAAAGGAGAAATGCTTTGCCCAGGAACAGCCTGGTGCTGCCCCGTGTGTCCAGCCCTGATGACGTTGCTTTTTGCAGCTCGGGGTTCTGCTGTTGTGGAGATTGGATCAGAGGGGTCGAGTCCAAGGTGCGCCCTTGCTGAAACACGAGTATGGAAAACACCTCACTCAATGTATTTTCCGCTTGCCCCCTCCTGGCGAGTAAGTCCAGGGCTCCCTGGGCGTGGCGCCTGCCCCTGCCCCCGGAAACGCTGCTGCAGTCCTGACCACATTGCCATGCTTACTTCCAGGGACCTGGTCCAGTTGGCCAAGGCGGCTGTGAGTGGTGACGAGAAAGCCCTGGACATGTTTAACTGGAGGAAAAGCAGCTTTGGAAGTTTCCCGAAGATGGGCTCCCAGGAGGGGCTGTCACTGTTTGTCAGTCTGACAGATGGTGCGGGACTTTACTGCCCTGCTGGAAGGCAGAACGCTGGGGGAGGGGAATGTGTACGCACGGGTGATGGAGACCATGTGCCAGGCTCTGTGCCCAGAATGGAAGGGTGAAAGCAGAAGGAGCAGCTGTGGGGAAAGAGAGGAAGAGGGATGGAGGGAGTCCGGAGCATGGCGGTCAGCACAGCCGTGCCCTACAGGAGGGGGCAAGGCACGGGCCACAGTCAGGGTCACCTTTGAGCCCCAAGTGCAGGCGTTGTGGGTGCATCTGACTTCAGTAGCCCGAGCTGAGCAGAGCTGCCAGGCTGTAGCATCAGTCAGAGATGACAGCCTGAGCAGTTACCTGCAAACACTGGGAAGGCTGCTAGGTGACCCACTCCTGTGCCCCCAGGGACTGTGCACTACGTAGACAAGAAAGGCAAGACGGCGTGTGTGGCTTCCACAGACGGCTCCGTCCAGACGATGTTCTACGTTGAGAAGAGGGAGTCGCTGGTCGTGGTCACAGAGAACCTGCTGCTGTCGCTGTACACGGTTGCGCCTGCCGGGGAAGCTGAGGAAGTGATGAAGGTAGTGGGAGTGTGGGCCTGAAAGGCCTGCCCTGGCTGCTCTCTGTCAGGGCTGTGCGGCTGCAGAGGTGTCGGTCTACCATCAGTGCTCAGCTCGTAGGGGAACCAGAGAGGACAGTGCTGGTGTGGGAGCAGGAGGCACCCGGGCATGCTTGCAGGCCGTGCCCTCCCCTTTTAGCGCGAGGACTATGGACAAAGACCCGCAGCACTCCCTTCCAGCAGCTCTTGACCCCATGGTAGGCGAGCTGAGGTGGCCGTGCTGCCCCTGTTTTCCGGCCAAGTGCAGCTGAAGCGCATCTAGGAGGTCACTCGGCACCCATCGGTAGGTGTGGTCTGTCAGAGTCTGCTGGCAGCGTCTCAGCACCAGCCTTTCCTCTGTGCCCACAGGGATGCACCTTCTTACCTGGGGTGGGCATCGGGGGTCATCACAGTGTTTGGTTGGATAGTCATGAAAGACACACCGTGTCCCTGAGGGCGCCCCTCCATGTCAGCTCTGGGGCCTTGCCTGGGAAAGGGAGGCCTGGGGAGGCATGTGTGCCATGCAGCTCACCAAGGACGACTCCTTTGCCTCCTGTGAGCTTCCTGTCCTCCCCATAGCAATCCACACTCTTGGAGAAGGCACGATGTCCTTGCAGATGACAGTGCTAGGGTTTTGTGGTTTTGTGTGAGTCCCTGCAGGTCCCATCGTGTCCTCTCAGAGTGTGGGCCTGTGTCGAAGCTCGAGTTCTCCTGCCAGCACCACAGGCCTGCAGCCTAATGGCACGCATTTCCCAGGTGCAGTCTTGGCAGCCAGGGTCTCGCAAGGAAGTGCCAGCTCATCCACGCTCCTGCAGTGTGAGGCCTGGGGGAGAGGACTCCGCGGAGAGGCCACAGCCCTCTCAGCTCAGGCCTGCCACCCTGTGACCTCACTGCACTGTGTTCCCTCCTGGGTCCGTCTGCCGTCAGCCGCTTGGGAGAGAGTGCTGGTGCACGAACTCTGGAGGACACACAGGTCGGCCCGTGACGGCTGGCCTTAGATGCCTGCCCAGCCCCGCCAGCTGCTGGGGACCCAGCTCGTTTCTCTGCACCATGGATAAGGGGACACAGGGCTCCCACCCAACTTCAATCACCCTGGGTGCGTGATGAGGGACGCCCCAGGCTCTAGGTGGCTGGTACTTGTGCAAGAGTTGCCGTTGGCTGTAGCCCATGTGCCTCAGATCTCTTGTCCACCATTCGTGTCCTCCTCTGAGTCCCCGTGATGTCCTGAGCACAAAGGTCAGGGTTCCAGACTGGGACCAGCAGGCTCGGCGAGAGCCCCATGCTTCTCTCAGATCTTCCTTTCCAGGTGAAGTTGAGCGGGAAGACAGGTCACCCAGCAGACATCATCCTGATTGATGACAGCCTCCTTGTGACAGCCCTAGGAGAGCCGGTCCTCAGGTGACAGCAGTCTTCACAGCATGCCACCCCGGTGAGGTGTCCTCAGGACACAGCAGGCCCCCGTGAGTTCAGTCAAATGTGCTTATCGTATCGCAGCTCAGTTAACCCAGCCCAGGGACAGTGCCCCCGCCAGGTGCCTGTGCAGCTGCGTTGCCTGCTCCTCGAGCTTGGAATGCATAAAATCGGGCTTTTGTCTCTCCTGGTCGTGTCACCCAGTGTCAGCAGTAAGCGCCTGTGAACAGGGCACACACAGCCCCGAGGCAGCAGCCGCAGACTCAGTGCCAGCCTCTCCGCCTTCAGCGTGTGTGCCACAGGTGGGCGGCCGCTCACACGGCCTCTCCTGCTGGCTTGCTTCCGTCTGTAGGTTCTGGGATTTAGGACGAGAAGAGAATTACATGCTGAGTCTGGAGGAGGCCTGTGGCTTTGAAAGGGGGGAGAACATGAACTGTGTCTGTTACTGCGCCGCCAAAGGTGAGACGGGCCTGGGGGGGTCCAGCGCAGGCGGGGGTTGGAGGTGCTAAGGCTGCAGGGCCCATGCAGCTCTCGGTGCGCTCCAGCGTCATTCGTCTGAGTGACCTGAGTGCCAGCACAGAGGAGGGAAGCACATGGTGGCCAGAGGGTTAAGCCCACGGTGTGGGGCCGGCTGTGTCACCCTTCTGAGATCCCACAGCCAGGCGGTAGGGAGAGGGGGGGAGCCGTCCACACATGTGCGGATACGTGTGCACACAGGACACAGGAGAGCCAGAAACAAACTGGTGCCCCTTCACCAGGAAAGCAGTGTGAAGCACAGCAGTGAGCTTGTCAGAGCAGGCCACGCGGCCAGCACCTCCACCAGCCGGGCCACGGGGAGCAGTGGCTGCCAGCGAAAGTGCCGCCAGGCACAAGGCTGGAGAGCTGGACTGGGGGAGCGCTGCCCAGGGAAGGGAGCTTATTGCCATTACTCTTCCCACTCAATGACCAGACATTTGTTGTCACCTGCAGGCCTCCTGGCAGCTGGCACTGACAGGGGGCGAGTGGCCATGTGGAAGAAAGTGCCAGGCCCCCTGAGCAGCCTCTGGGTGGAAGGCAAAGACAGGTGGGCCCCTCAGTCGCCTGCTGAACTGGAGGGAAACATCATGCAAATAGAGGTACGGCTCTGCAGCAGCCCTGGGCGCCCTCATCCGCTGCCATGGAAAAGCACAGGAAGTGACCACTGAACCTGTGCCGAGCTTCAGGGCTGAGTGTTGGGCACAGTGGCTGGAGGTGCTAGGCAGGGCGCCTGGCTCCTAGACTGAGTGTCTGAGTGTGGGTCCTAGCTCCGCCCGTAGCTCCAGCTCCACGCTCCTGCTCACCTGGGAGGCAGCAGGCTTGGGTCTCTGCCGTTCTCGTGGGAGACCTGGACTGAGCTCCCAGTTCCCAGCTTTGGCCTGGCTTAGCCCTGCTTTTGGAAGTGTTTGAGCATGAGAGCCAGGGCTGGAGGAGGACCAGACTGGACAAGGTGGCAGCACCCGAGAGCATTCGCATGAGCCGCGGCACCAGTGGCTGTGCTCAAGCGCTGGATGGGATGCAGTTGGGCTAGGCTGTCTCACCTGCCTGGACACACGAAAACCAAGACTGGGAATGGGAGGGTGGGGATTTTGCGGGCTGTCCCGGCTGGGTCATAGCGTGTGCGTGTGTGCGTGTCTGGGTGTATCCCAGATTACTGTGCCTTGCTTCAGCTGTGTCTCTTGCTCGGCTCCATTCCCCAATGTGGACGTGAAGTGGGGCTCCAGGAAGAACCTTCTGGCGGTGAATGTTGTCAGCTCGGTGGTGATCCTTCAGGAGCAGGCCCTGTCATCGCATTTCCACCAGCAAGTGGCCGCTGTGCAGATCTCGCCAAGCTCGCTGTACGTGTCCTTCCCATCGGCGGGGACAGCACACAGCCTGCGCACAGACATGCACATCAGTGGTGTGTTTGCCACCAAGGTGAGTGCTGACGGGAACCTCTGGGGGCTGGGGGGTGCCAGCCTCCCCTCTACGCTGGCTTCTCTCCGAGTCCACTGGGTGCTCTGCTCGTGTCGTGACAACCCAGGGGTATTTTGCAAGGCTTGAGAAGCAGCCCTTAAACTGCCTGCGGGTGGCTCCATGGCCCAAGCCTACGTGATGGACAGAGTGGCGACACTCAGCAAAGCTTAAAGTGGGGGACAGTGGCGAGCCGTGGGGTCCATGCCATTCTTCTTGACCATTAGTTTCCAGTGTGGTGTTTGTTGTAGGATGCTGTCGCCGTCTGGAACGGAAAGCAGGTGGTGATCTTCGAGCCTTCGGGGGCCGTGCTGCGGAGTGCAGGTGAGTGTCACCCCGAGGGGCCGCACTGTGCCACCCTATTGTATGTTCTCACCAGCTAATGAGAGTGGTGCTGGCCTCTGTGGGGTGGTCACTGGTCTGGCATGGATGGGGGACCCTTGAGTTGGCCCTCGTGCCTCAGCCTGCATTTGCAGAGCCCACGCTGCCACACCCTCCTGAACCTGGTCAGGGCAGCTGCGGTTTTCAGAGAGCCACCCTGGTTCCCGACCGCCAAGCATCTCAGATCCAGGGCTCCTGAGCTTCCTTGCAGGCGAGGGTTCGCCTCCCACCTGTCCCCAGGCAGCAGTGGACCGCGCCTGAAGCCAGACCAGACCCCATCAGAGGTGCCATCCGTCTCCTGCACTCCGTGCCATCCACCGGCCAGCTCCCTGGGGGTTTTCTTCCGTGACAGCGCTGCAGGCTCACTTGCTTTTGTATGATGGCTCTGAGGACCCAGGGGCCGGTCCCACTGGCAGGCCACACTCCCTCTGCAGACTCCAGGAAGGATTGTCCTTGCTCCTCCCACTCCTGGGGCTGCCATGGTCCTCCCTGGTGATTGCCGACTCCAGTGTTGTCCACTGAAATCTGCCCCCTTTGCGTGGGCATGGGCGTGACCTTCCTTTGGGGCTTCCTGGCCTGGAGCAAGTTCCCCATGCCAGGACGTGGTCGCAGGGCCAGGGTTGGGCGCTGACGGGCCGCACACCCCATGGATGTGCCAAGCATGGTGCAGCGGCCATCAGTGCTCTCCTTTTATGTATTTATTCTCACTATTTCAGTGACAGAGATCTCCCACCTGTTCCCCAAACAGCCAGAACAGGCAGGGTGGGCCGTGCTAAAGGCAGGAGCCTAGCTCGGCTCTCCCACTGCTTGAGGCCTCCGCCGCTTTCTCCCGGAGCGTGTGAGGAGGAAGCTGGAGTCAGAAACAAAGCTAGGTCCCCCCTCCTCCCCCACTGCGTGTCTGTGGTGAGCTCAGGCGTCCTGAGCAGTGTCTGGCCCCAACTCCCAGCCTCAGGAGGACCTGTCACCATGCTGTCACCGTACTGTCACCCGCTGTGCTGAGACTGCCTGCTGGGCGCCTGCTGCCTTTGGGCTGTTGACACTGGTGGCCTGCAGGCTCTCTGGTAGCCCTGTGTAGCTGGTAGAGAGCCTCTGGTAGCTCTCTGCCCTGTGTCTCACTGGTGACTCATCCCTTCCCCCTTCTCCTGTGAACTCCCTAAAGGCAAGCTAAAGCCACCCAGTTCCTTGTGTGTACTGGCCCACTCACTGTCTGTCCCCCTGCGTGAAAACCTCCTTCGAGCCGGGGGCTGGGGCATGGGGCCTCAGCCACAGCACAGAGCAGGCAGCTAGCAGACGTGAGACCCGTGGTGCTGCTGGAAGGAGTCAAGCCAGTGCCAAGTCCTTCACCTGCCAGGCTTAGGCAGCAAGTTCCTGTGAGGCCCGAGGTGGTGACCAGCTTTGTGTGAGAGCACTGCTTTTCTCCCTTCTAGCAGCTCCTCTTTCTTCCTTCCCTGAACTGTTTGACACATCCCGAGAGCTGCTCTGTCCACTGGCTCATTCCCCTGGACTGGGCTGGCTGAAGCCGGGAGCTGGGCTCAGTCTAGGTCTCCCACAGGGTAGCGAGGGCCCAGGAGCCCTGCTGCCTCCTGGCTGTGCGTTAGCCAGCAGCCAGAACGTGGAGTGGAGCTGGGGCTCAATCCAGGCACTCTCATGTATAATATGTTTGTCTTTTTTTTGTTGTTGTTCAGACTTACTTTACTTAATTAAAAGCATAGTTACAGAGAGAGGAAAAAGCAAATCTCCCAGCCACTGATTTATTCCCCAAACGGTTACAACAGCTGGAGTGAGCCAGGCCAGACAGGAGTTGCCTCTGGGTCTACCCCCTGAGCACAGAGGCCCAGCACTTGAGCCATCTGATGCCGCTTTTTCCAAGCTGTTAGAGGGAGACTGGACAGTCAAACTAGCACCGTGACGGGATGCCAGCATCACAGGTCGCAGCTTTAGCACCACCGTGTTAGCTCCAGTGCAGATGCCTTTGTCGTTGGTCTTTCCTTCTTTTGTTTCTTTCTTTAAGACTATTTACTCATTCGCACTGTAAATCTGCCTTTCCAATAAAAATAAATTTTAAAACTTTTGCAAAGATTTTAAAACTTTTGAGAGGCAGAGTTGCACAAAGAAAAAGAGATCTTCCTCAAATGGCTGCAGTGGTAGGAGCTGGGATGGTCAGGAACTAAGAGTCAGGAGCTTCCTCCTGGGCTCCCACGCAGGAGCCCAAGGCCTTGGGCTGTCCTCCAGTGTTCCCCAGGCCATATGCAGGGAGCTGGATTGGAAGTGGAACAGTCTGAACTTGAATCAGTACTCATATAGAATGCCAAGGCTATAGGCAGAAGCTTAACCTACTGCACCAAGCACTGGCACTGGTGCACTGGCCTTGACCTTAGCCAGAAGGCCAAGAAGAGATGGTGTATTAGTCTGTTTCTTTTTGTTTATTTGTTTGTTTTTTAAGATTTGTTTCTTTTATGGGAAAGATCTTCCGTCTGCTGGTTCACTCAAGTGACTTCAATGGCTGGAGTTGAGCCAGTCCAAAACCAGGAGCTTCTTCCAGGTCTCCCATCAGATGCAGGGTCCCAAGGCTTTGGGCCGTCCAGGCCACAGTCAGGGAGCTGGATGGGAAGTGGAGCAGCCAGGACACGAACCAGTACCCATAAGGGATCCCAGGATGCAAGGCGAGGACTGTAGCCACTGGGCTATCGCACTGTGCGCAGTTGTGTTGGTCTTGTCTGGCATCTTCTCTAGCTCGAACAGCTGCCCTGGAAGAGGCTTCAGAACCTAGAGGAGCTAGCAGTCATCAGCTGCGTTTGATTTCAGGTGCCTTCTTGTGCGAGTCCCCAGTGCTAGCAGTGCATGAAGAAAGCGTTTACACAGTGGAGCCCAGTCGAGTCCAAGTTCGTACCTGGCAGGTGAGTGCGGCTGCTCCAGCAGGGGCTGTGCAGGTGAACCAGGCTGGCTTCAGGCGTGCCTGCAGTAGCTTGCTCCTTGGCTTCACGGGCCAGGCTGCATGTGTCTGTGGCTGCCATGACTTGACGGTCCTGGAGGCAGGGAGAGGGTGTCCCCAGGGCTGGGAAGTCAGGGGAAGTGGTTGCTAGGTTTCCTGCTTATCAGTCAGGATGTGCGGTCTTTGAACTGGTCCTTTCCCACGCATATCTTACAGCCCTGGTCTCCAGGATGATGGAGCCTCCAGCACCCATTTCTGCTCCCTTTGGGTCATGCAGGGTGCTCTCACTCTGCTCACATCCCCCCAAAGGCGCATGGGACCCAGCCCAAGGAACCCATGTGCTACGTGAGCTTTCTGTGTCACCGAGACTGCCACAACTGGGGTGCTGTCCCTTCAGCACCCAGGTGTCAGCAGGCTTTGGCAGAGGGGCACCTCACCCCTCTGCTCCTGCGGTGGCACTGGGCGCCCTTGGCTGAGCTTGACTGTGGGTAGCATGGCCTGGCCCCTTGATGTCTGCGCACTCCCCTGGGTCCTCCTAAGCCAGATGATCTTTCACTTCCCCTCTGCAAAGACCCTTCCTCCAAACAAGGCCACCTTCACAAGCTCCCGGTAGAGCTGTGCTTGTGATGTGTTTCTTTTCTTTTTCTGTAACATTTATTTATTTGAAAGATAGAGATAAAATAGAGGAGAGACAGAAGGAAAGATTGTGGGCTTCACTTCCCAAATGGCTGCAACTGCCAGAACAAGAAAGGCCAGACACCAGGAGCTCAAGGCTTCTCCCAGCTCTCCATGGGGGCCAAGCACTTGCTCCATCCTCCACTGCCCTTCCAGGAACATTAGCAAGGAGCTGGCTCAAAAGTGGAGCCTCCAGGACTTGAACTGGCAGCTGAGTGGAGTGTGGTGCTGTCGGTCCATGTGCCACACTGTGAGCAGCTGTGTCCCCGGCCAGCTCAGGACTGTCTGCCGCAGCTTGGTGTAGCTGCCGTGCAGTTTCTGAGTAGCTGTGACGTCTCTGCTGAGCCCCTGTCTAACCCCCAGAATTGCAGCATCCAGGCAGTCATACTGTAAGCGTGACAGTGACGAGCGCATCATACGGGAGACGGTCCAAGCAGGATGTCCTGAGGGAAAAGGCACAAGGAGCTTTGGCCAAGGGTTTTCTTAGGGGATTCCCTAGGCCTGACATGGACACTGTAAATATTTTAAATTAATGAAGGATTTTGTGTTGACTACCTGGTGAGGAGAGATTATCCAAAGCCCAGAGCCAGGAGCTTCCTCTGGGTCTCCCACAGGGTGCAGGGTCCCAAGGCTTTGGGCGTCCTCAACTACTTTCCCAGGACACAGGTAGGGAGCTGGATGGGAAGTGGAGCTGCCGGGATTAGAACTGGCGCCCATATGGGATTCTGATGCATGTAAGGCAAAATTTAGCTACTAGGCTATCATGCAGGGCGCAGTCCGACCCCTTTTGTCTGTACCATGGCTGCTGCTGTGGCCTCTGTGGTGCAGCCACCCCCAGAGCATTCCCTGGGCACTGCACAGACCCAGGCTCCTGGACAGAGACCCTGGCCACCTCGGTGCTGCCACCACCTGGGACTGTCCTCCATCTGGAACGCTGCCCTGAGACAAGACTTGGTGTTTGTCAAATGCTCCATTGGAGTATTAGCTACACGGTGGATGTGGGCCTGTGCTACACATATCCTGTGAGCCTGCTCCCTGCCTATGCCTACAGGAGACCAGTGTTCTGGTGAAGACCCTCTCCCCAGCCTCCCACCCCAGGCACTGTGTACAAGATACCCCTAACCTGGGGCTCGGGGGTCCAGCTCCCCGCCATCTGCCCCCTCACTGCTGCCCCCGTGCGTGCTTGCTCACCTGGGCAGCACTGAGCGAGCTGAGTCAGTGTGTGTGCCGACCCTGCTCCTGTCTCCCCGAGGACTGAGCGCAGTGGGCAGGTGGCACGTGCCGACAGTGCGTGCAGCGTGTGAAGTGATCTGCCACCGGGGGCTGGTGGCAAAGTGAAACGGGTCGAAGCTGCCTTCCCGAACTTGTGGTTCCCAGGGCACGGTCAAGCAGCTGCTGCTCTTCTCGGAGAACGAGGGGAATCCCTGCCTGCTGGACGTCTGCGGAAACTTCCTGGCTGTCGGAACAGACTTGGCTCACTTTAAAACCTTTGATCTTTCCCGAAGGTACGATTTTTGTCCTAATAAAAGTGTTCTGTTTTCTGATCTTGTCAGGAGGCAGTACGGTAGTTTAGGAAGGGGGCAGACACCGAGAACCTTCCATCCCCCCTCGCATCTTGAAGTGCCTCACGTGGAGGCCTGCGTTCTGTGCTGGCGCTGGAGCAGTGTGGGAAGGGGAGGGTTGGGTAGTTAAGCAGGAACACTGCGCCTGCCCAAGTCCCTGGGCTCCTGTCACAGAGTGGGGCCCTTAGAGCATCGCACGCCCGGATGCTGGGGTGGAACCCGGGCAGCATCTGGCGGGACTGAAGGGAGTGAGGGCAGCACAGAGAGGATGCAGTCTGGCGGCATCATGCAAACGGAACGAGCAGTGAGGCGAAGGGCGTGAGACAGGAGCTGGTTCAGGCCCGTGGGCGGGCAGTGACAGGACATCGGAGACAGCAAGTCCTAACAGGGCAGGGCACAGATCACCCGCGGGCTCGGCACGGAGCAACTCTTGCACCAGGGCAGCACTGCAGGTCCCGGACAGGCTGGGCCAGGATGAACGTGGCCCTGCCCCTCCATGTTCCTCTTGCCGTCACAGCCCGGGGCAGTGGCCCTGGCCTCCCAGCAGCGTCCGTGTGGGAGTCCCCTAGCCAGAGGAGCCTGAAGGCAGATGGTGACAAGCATCCCGGACTGGCTCTGACTAGGCACAACTGAAGAAATAGCAGTAGGGGTCAGGAACGCCGATGAGGCTGCGAACAGGAGGGGTTCCCTAGCAATAGAGGGTCAGGAGCGCCGATGAGGCTGCACACAGGAGGGGTTCCCTAGCAGAGCGTTGTGGGGTGACTGCTGCTTCTCTGAATTGGAAAGCTGTAAAGGACGCGGCGTGCGGAAGGCAGAGGGTGGCCGTGGGCATGGACAGGGCCTTGCTGCAGCAAGCCGCTGTAGCAGAGAGGGACTGAGAATGCGGGTTCAGTTGCTGCTAAACCCATGGGGATTGCAGGCCCGCCACGTCCTCAGGGTGCCTGGCCACATGAATGGGGCAGCAGGGTGGGAGACAGAGAGCTGCTCAACAGAACACCCGGAGACGTGCCCTGCAGTGGGCGATGAACGGTCCTGACCCCTGACCCCTGACCCCTGACCTCTGATCTCCACTGTGCCCGCAGAGAGGCAAAGGTGCACTGTAGCTGCAAGAACCTGGCTGAGCTGGTCCCGGGTGTCGGGGGCCTCACCTCGCTCCGCTGCAACGCCTCCGGGGGCAGGATCAGCTTCCTCCTCAGCCCGGTGAGCCCCAGGCCCACCCTTCGGTGCACCCCTCCCCTCCTGCACACCTTCCCTTCTCCGCTTCACGTGCAGCTGTCCCTCCTTCAGCAAGTCCCTTGCCTCCTCTCTTTGTTTCCCAGCTGATTCTTTGGCAGGAGAGGGGTGACTGGGCTATGTGTGTGGCACAGCTTCTATATGCGGCTCCCATATTGGCCAATGGGAGGGCCTTAGAGGACAGCAGCAGGTGGCACCGTAGCCATCTTTGGGGCTGCTTTGCTCCTGAGCCCCCAGCAGTGTGCTGTCACACTTGGGGTTTGGTCACTGGCTGGCTGGGGTGGCCCAGATCTTTTTCAGCTTGCATTGTTGAGGGGAGTTCCTTTCTGGGAGCCCATGTAGAAGCTAAGCTCTGATGCGTCCCTCCGGCCTGCCCCCCACGGCAGGCTCAACAGTGCAGGAGGAGCAGCAGGGTGGGCAGGCGCAAAGCAGCACAGCACAGGAGGCCCAGCCTGGGGGGAAGCCGGCCTGGGGCGGCCCAGGGATGTGGACTCGGAGCCGAGAGCTCTTAGGAGACTTCCTGCAAATCCCCAACTCGGACACAGTGCAGTGTTGCCGCCTCACAGCCTGGGGGAAGCACCCGGGCAGCTGGCACCTGGCCCTCCACAGTGAGGCTAGCCAGGCCAGAGTTGGAGTGGACACCATGACCAGGTTTGCTTTCTGTAAAGCTAGCAGGCGTTCATGTTTAATTTTTTTAACGATTTATTTATTTTTATTGCAAAGTTAGATATGTAGAAAGAAGGAGACAGAGTGGACTGTCTTTCAACCGTTGATTTGCTCCCCAAGTGGCTACAATGGCTAGAGCTGAGCCAATCTAAAGCCAGGAGCCTGGAGCCTCTTCCAGGTCTCCCATGCGGGTGCAGGGTCCCAAGGCTTTGGGCCGTCCTCAACTGCCTTCCCAGGCCACTAGCAGGGAGCTGGATGGGAAGCGGGACTGCTGAGATTAGAACCGGCACCTATATGGGATCCCGGCGCATGCAAGGCGAGGACTTTAGCCACTAGGTCACACTGCCGGGGCCCCCGTGTTTAATTTTTTAAAACACTTTATCTTTCAGAGTCTACAGTGCTCCTGTTGGTTTACTTTCCAGGTGGCCGCAATGCCCAGTGCTAGGCCAGGAAATGCCAGGAGTCGGGCTTTATTCGGGTATCATGTGGGCACAGGAACCCAGGCACATAGGCCAGCTCTGCTTCTGCAGACCCTTGTCAGGGAGCAGCCAGCACAGGAGCTGGCACTCATATGGGATGCCAGTGTCACGGGCAACAGCTTCAACCGCTGTTCCACAGTGGGGGTCCTAGGCATTTATTTTGCATTCGGTTTGAAAAGTGTGAGTTGAGGAACTGGGAGCAGTTAGGACCCCGACACTGGCCTCAGGCGGCCACGCTGGAGCTCACGTGGTGTGAGTCAGTGTGTACTCACCTGCTCCTCCTGCTTCCACTACTGAGATGTTTATTTCAGTTTTTAAAGACCTGAGGGTCTTTGTGGAAGTGCTAACATAGCTTTTTGTTAGAACAGTTTCTCTTAAAAAACAACTCAAGTGACATTCATGTGAAAAAGTGAGGAGTTCACAGTGAACTCACGGTGTTGCGAGGCAGCTGCCTAGTCTAGGTCTAAATCATTGCCTGTGCCCATTAGTAGTCAGTGCGTATTGCCCGTGCACAGCCCCCCCCCCCCCGTGGGTTTGCCTGTTCTCAACACCCTGTAGGCGTGGACTGGGGCGGCGTGGGGCCTGCCTCCGCGCCTGGCTGCTCCACTCAGTGTTCTCAAGGTTCGTCGAGTTATCCTGGGTGTCAGTGCTGCCTGCTTGTTGGCCGAGTGCTGGTCCTGTGTGTCTCCATCCGTCTCTCCTGGGCAAATCCTGCCTCCGTGAACGGGCGTGGGAGCACCGTCTCTGTCCCCTCGTCCCTCCGTGAACGGGCGTGGGAGCACCATCTCTGAATGTCCCTTGTCCCTCCGTAAACGGGCGTGGGAGCACCGTCTCTGTCCCCCCGTCCCTCCGTGAACGGGCGTGGGAGCACCGTCTCTGTCCCCCCCCCTCCGTGAACGGGCGTGGGAGCACCGTCTCTGTCCCCTCGTCCCTCCATGAACAGGTGTGGGAGCACCATCTCTGAATGTCCCTTGTCCCTCCATGCTCCTGGTCCTGGCTGGCCTCCCTGTGGATGTCCCTGCCACCTCTGGGCCAGCCCTGAAATGTGGATGTGAAATGAGCTGCCCTGCCTCTCAGATTGATTCATTCTGTCAGTTTCTCATCTCGAGCCAACACTGAGAGAGCTGGCACTCTTTGGGGTTTTTAAATTGTTCATTAAAAGGCAGTGACGGTTTTTTCTCCACTGGTTCACTCCCCAAATATGCACATGCGCCCCACATGCTCATTGAGCCAGGTCAGTGGTGGGAGCTCTGTCCAGGTGGTCCGTGTGGAAGCTGGGTCAGACAGAGCTAGGGCTTGGTCCTAGACGCTCCACTGCGGCTCGCCGGCGCTGTCCCCGAACGCACAGCGGCTGCTGCAAATCCCAGAGCGAAGGGAGCTTGATACCCACCTCATGCTGCCAGGAGTGCCCTCCCTGCTGCAGGCTGGGCAATGGCCGCCATGGGCCTGCCCCTTAGCCTTCCTGCTGCCCCCTTTCCCAGACGGACAGCGTCCCCGATTCCAGAATCTGCTTCTACGACGTTGAGATGGACACAGTGGCCATTTTGGACTTCAAGGCTGCACAGATGGGTCAGGGAGAGACACTGTCCTCCAGCAGACAGCAAAGTAACAGGTACGCCTGCGGTCGGAAAGGCTCGCCTGCACCGGAGCCCCAGCAGGTCACTGCCTGCTTGCACAGCTCCCCAGTTACATGGCTACCCTGGTTCAGGGAGGCTCATGTGCATCAAACCCCCAGCGGGTCGCTGGCTGGTCACATGGCCACCTGGGGTCAGAGGGTTTATGCGTGTGGAACCCCCAGCAGGTCACTGCTCAGTTATGTGGCATGCTTCCCCGCCCTCGCAGTCAACAGGGAAGAAGTGCCACAGAAGCGCACTCAGGCAGTCAGGCTAGATCTGGGTCCTTAGTGTGTGCCAGCCAAGTTTGGGCATCTAGGAGGACGGTGGCCAGAGTGTCTGAAAATGCCCCAGGAGTCCCAGGGCAGTCGCTGACAGAGCAATCTCAGGACCGCGAGCCCTCGGTGGGGGGTGTTTGTCTTCATGGGCATCACAGTTATGGGGACATTGTCTCTGGAGGTTTGTGCAGGGTCCTGTGGCCTCCCTTTGGGTCTTTCTCCTTTCCCAGGCTTAGTGGGTCCCCTGCATTGGATGGCACCTCCCACTGGTCGTGTGTCTGCAGTGTGTCCTGCTGCGAAGTGCACGTTCATCTGCTGGGCAGTCCCTGGTTTAGCCTGCATGAGGAAGCACAGGAGAGTGCCACGGGGAGTCACTGTACCCCTGGGGAGCAATGTGGCCAGTGTTCAGACTGAAGAGCGGCAGGTGAAAGCCATGTGGCTTGGCTGAGGGGTTGAGGCAGCGCAGCAGTGAGAAGTGCTGGGACCACTGCTTTGTTCTCTGGCTGCCTGAGCTGGACTAGGGCCCTGCTTCAGTCATGCGCTCTCGTCCGGCTTAGCTAGAGTTGTCTATCCCCCTCACACCAAACCTTTCCGCCTGTACTCTGCTAACCATGACCCCTCCATGGACACCTGACCCCCAGGTCCTGTCAGGTGGCCCCGCCCTGCAGAGCCACGCTAGTCCAGGCCAGCGGTGTTGAGTGTCTTCACTCTCAGCCCGCTCCTTGTCTTTGTTTCAGGGAGTGGCAGGCATCCTTCTGCCCACCAGCGTCCCTCACCAGGCCAGTTCTGCTGCAGAGGAAGTGGCCTGTGTGCCCTGGTGCTGTGCCTGTCACAGCTGACCTGCCCCTGCCCCAAGCTGATCGTACTCCCCAGGGACAGCAGATGAGGCTGGTGGGCACCTCATCTGGACTGCTGCCTGGGTGGCAGGGCCGGGTACTTGGGCCACTTTTTTTTTTTTTAAGATTTATTTTTATTATTTTTTTATTGGAAAGGAGGATATACAGAGAGGAGAGACAGAGAGGAAGATCTTCCGTCCGATGATTCACTCCCCAAGTGAGCGCAACGGCTGATGCTATGCCGATCCGAAGCCAGGAGCCTCTTCCGGATCTCCCATGCTGGTGCAGGGTCCCAAAGCTTTGGTCCGTCCTCGACTGCTTTCCCAGGCCACAGGCAGAGAGCTGGAAGGGAAGCAGGGCTGCCGGGATAGAACCGGCGTTGGGCCACTTTTTGCTGCCTTCGCAGGCACACTAGCAGGGACCTGGATAAGAAGCAGAATTACAGTGCCAGAGTTCAGACAGGCACTCCACTCTGGTATGCCAGCATTGCAAGTGGATGCCTTTAGCTGTGGCCCTACAGTACCAGCCCCTCAGCCTTGCTTTTAGGTCTGAGAAGGTACATTCCAACAGAATGTTCCCAAAGTGTCCCCAGAGGCCCGGTCCCTCTTGAGTGTGTGGGTGGCAGCAGGAATGATCTCAGTAATGGAGGTGAGCCTTCCCTTTCTTGTAGGAACCTCATCTTTGTGAACGAGAGACTGAGGAACCATGTGCCCGTGAACCATTTCTGGGACCAGCGTGAGCCCAGGCTCTTCGTGTGCGAGGCCGTGCAGGTGACACCAGGCACCCAGACACAGCCAATGGACATGCCCCACACGGAGGACAGCACCGGCCCTATGGTACTGCTCTGGTGTGCTGCCTTGGTGTGGGTGGGCTGGACATTGACCAGGCATGAATATGCATGGTGCAGTTAATGGGAATTTGTGTGGCATCTGACTTATCTCTGACCACTCCTAAAAATTTATGGAAAGAAAATGGTTTTCAGTAGAATGATTTATTATTTGGCTGAGTGACAAATCTGCCACCCTACCCTCTGGTACAATCGCTGAGTGTCCGAGGTGGGCACTCCCCTTGGGTCTCCCACATTGGGTCCTCAAACCAGCCACCTCTGCATTGCACTGGCAGGGAGCTGGCTCAGAGGCAGGTGGCCAGGAGCGACCAGGACACACGAGCACTGGGATGCTGGTGCTGCGTCAGCATGGGCCCAGAGAGGCCCTTGGGAGTCCATGCTATGCCCCGTCCTCCCTGTCTGTGTGAGGCAGCTCCCCATCGTCTGGGCTGTGCACGGCTGTCTCTGAAGACTGTCGGGAGCCCCTTGTGTTGCATGTGCCTCTGCCACATACCCCAGCAGTTTCCACACGCGGCTCTCAGATAAGTAGCCCTCAGTTACAGGAGGGTCCTGATCTCCAGCCACGGACCCGGACCCTGACTGTGGAATGTGAAGCAGTACCCAGATAACCTCTCTGTCTTTGGGATGAGCAAAGCAGGGAAACTGTCAGGGCCTGGACCGTGAGGACAGGAGCTGCAGGTGCCATGGGAGCGGCACAGGGGACCTTGCAGCTGGCTGGCCACTGACGGTCCTGGGAAATGCTGGCATCAGCCTTCGGAATTGGATGTTGTGTGACAGAAGCCAGCGCAGCACAGCTCCTGGTGACGTCTTCTTGACAGCAGAGACTGTTTAAGGTGTATTCCATTTATTTCAAAGGCGGAGTCACAGGGAGAGAGATCTGCCCGGCAGTTCACTCCCTGGATGATCACAGCAGCTGGAGCCCGGCTGGCCCAGAGCCAGGCATTTCTCCCGGGTTTTCGGTGCAGCTGGCAGGGACCCGTGGACCTGGAGCATCCTCCACTGCCCGGCCACGTTGTCAGGGACAGAGATTGAATCCCATGTGCCTGACACGAGGTGTAGGCATCCCGAGCAGCATCTCCACCCCGTGCTGGACGCCTGCCGTGGCGGAGCTTGTGCAGCGGACTCTTCTGTGGGTCACCGACTCAGGCTAGGGTAGTTATTCTTTGCTGCAAGAAGTTGGTTGCTTTTTTTTTTTTTTTAAGATTTATTTATTTTATTGGAAAGTCAGATATACAGAGAGGAGGAGAGACAGAGAGGAAGATCTTCCGTCCAATGATTCACTCCCCAAGTGAGCGCAATGGCCGATGCTATGCCAATCCGAAGCCAGGAGCCAGGAGCTTCCTCCAGGTCTCCCATGCAGGTGCAGGGTCCCAAAGCTTTGGGCCGTCCACAGCTGCTTTCCCAGACCACAAGCAGGGAGCTGGATGGGAAGTGGAGCTGCCGGGATTAGAACCGGCGCCCACATGGGATCCCAGCACGTTCAAGGTGAGGACTTTAGCCGCTAGGCCACGTCGCTGGGCCCAGAAGTTGATTGCTGTAAAAAAAAGTTAGGTGCTGGTGCTGTGGCCTCATAGGTTAAGCCTCCACCTACATTGCCCACATTCTATATAGGAGTCTATTTGAATGCCAGCTCCTCTACTTCTGATCTAGCTCTCTGCTGATATGCCTGGAGAAACAATGAAAGAGGACCCAAATTTCTCGGCCCTTGAACTCACAGGAGAGACCTGGAAAAAGCTCCTTGCTCCTGGCTTCAGACGGGTCTAGCTGTGGCCTTTGCGGCCATCTGGGGAGTGACGTAGCAGATGAATGATGTCCCTTTCTGTCCTGTCTCTGTAAATCTGCATTTCCAGAGACCCCCACACCAGCCACGCTTGTCCCCGGCAGACAGGGTGGGTTTTCCAACATGGGTCGGCCGAGTGATGAGACACTTGCTGTGAGTGCGTTGCAGCCCTCCGGGAGAACAGCCCATGCTGCCAGCTCGACAGGGCCAGCAACAGACGTGCACCCCTTCTCTCCCAGGCCGAGGTCATGATCCTGGCCTTCTTCATTTCGGAGGAACACGGCTTCCTGCTTCACGACAGCTTCCCGCTGCCTCCCACCTGCCAGGCGCTTCTGGGGATGGAAGTACCTCACTACTACTTCACGAGAAAGGTGACATCTGTGGGGTCTCCTGTCCCCTGTCGCCCTGGGCCCTCCCAGACAACCCCCCCAAGCCCTCAGGGCAAGAGGCCTCATTTCCCGGCCCCTGCGCAGTGGCCTCTCTCCCCTGGACTCCTGGCCAGCAGAGAAGCTGCTGTAAGGGTTCCCCGGGGACAGAGGCAGAGGGGCCCTGGCGTGTGCTCTGGTCATGGTGTCCCCGGGGACAGAGGCAGAGGGGCCCTGGCGCGTGCTCTGGCCATGGTGTCCCCGGGGACAGAGGCAGAGGGCCCTGGCGTGTGCTCTGGCCATGGTGTCCCCGGGGACAGAGGCAGAGGGGCCCTGGCGCGTGCTCTGGTCATGGTGTCCCCGGGGACAGAGGCAGAGGGGCCCTGGCGCGTGCTCTGGCCATGGTGTCCCCGGGGACAGAGGCAGAGGGCCCTGGCGCGTGCTCTGGCCAGACTCCAGGCCCTTTTCCTTCTCCCCTCCAGCCTTTTCCTCTACGTGTGTCTTTTTTTTTTTTTTTTTTTAAATCTGACCTGCTTTTTAACAGTCCCATATTCCTGCATTTATTATGGCAAATTTTGAAGTGCAAGTAAGGGAATAAAGACCAAAGTGCTATAGATCCCCAGCCCTGGGCCAAGGGTCTCAGCAGGGGCTGCCTCCTCCCGTGCTGTAGAAGACATCTCCATTTCTGTCCCATGTTGTTGCCCCTGCTGAGAGTGGGACTGATCTAAGAGGGTGAGGAGACCTACCTGCGTGTGTGTGGGCCACCCTCCTTGGGAGGCACCCAGTGTGAACAGCCCACGAAGCTGCCAGTGAGGAGGAGTGGGCGGACCCCAGGCAAGGTCCAGATGCCCTGGGGCAGCAGTCCCTGGGTAGGGTAGGGAGTGACCCCCACCTTAACAGGGCAGGGCCTGGGCACAGTGAGGCTCTCTCTGCTAGCTGGGCTCCTTGGCATCTCGTGCGCCTTCAGAGTGAGGCAGAGCATCATGGGAAGGTGTCCTGGGGGGGCTGCGGGCAGGAGGTGAGGATTGTGGGTTGTTTGTTTTTGTTGTTGTTTTGTTGTTTTCCCTGATCTGTGATACCTAAAATACACAATACAAAAATGTATTTTTTATGTGTGAAACAGACATTTTGAGATTTGATTATTGTTTACAGCCTTAGTCTATATTCTTCTTTCTTTCCACCTTATTTTTTTTTCTGTATCTGGAGTAAAGGGGGAGATAAAGGGAGAAGCCCCACCCAGCCTCCCACCCATCCCAGGTCCCCGACGTGGCGTATGCTTTGAGGTGGGGGCAGGGATTGTAAGGAACCTTCCCCAGCTCACCTGCTCCCATAGCACCTGCAGCCAGTCACACGCATGTGTGTCATTTCCTTGGTAGAATGAGTTCATTTCAGTGCACACATTCATGCATCCTGACTGGGTTATTTTGAACAAAATCTTGTCCCCCCGAGACCTGCAGCCAGGCTGTTCTGTGGTGTCGAAGTGGCGCCTGGCGATGGCGAGCAGGGAGTATGTGCTTGCGGCTCAGCTCTGCCCCAAACCAGCCTGGAGTGGACCAGGGCAGGACCCCTGGGGTCCCTCACAACCCGTGCTCAGCGCAGAGCCCGCCAGCCCCAGGTTGCTGCTGGGCTGTGCTGCCCGAGTCCCACGGGTGGCTCTGCTGCAGGCTCCTTCCCCGTGGTCCCAAGTGCAGCCTCCCTGTCGCTTGTCTGTTTCATCAGAAGAACTCAACTGGTCTCTGCACCTGGTGCTTTTGGCTTTCCATACAAGGGATGTAAAATCAGTCTTAAAAACACACGTCTTGGTCCTCTTGCTTCCTGGGGCTGCGGTCCCATGCGGGAAGGGGCTGTGGAGATGCAGAGAGCCGGGGTTTCCCTCAAGAAGTCTGTTAGCAGCAGATGCAAGACCAGTGACTGGAAGAGGCCGGATAGAGGGTTCAGGGCTGGGTGTGGGGGTGCCAGCAGATCGCTGTGGGGTGGAACCCACCATTGGAGGGGCTTGGGGCCATTCTAGGGCTGTGGCAGTGGGAGCTTGGTGGCTCCTATGGAAAGATACCCAGCCAAGGAGGCTGGCCCAGCAGTGTCCTATGTGGCTCTTGGCTCAGGACCCGGGGTGCTGTCTCTTCCCTTTTAGCGTCTTGTTGGAGCAGAGTGGGGGAGCCTGGTGAGAACTCAGAAACACCGCAAGGTGCTGCCCGAGGTGACGAGCTTTAGGAGAGCCTGTGGCTACGTGTGCACGTCTGGCCGGGCAGCCGCAGATCATGAAAAGTCTTCATGGTTGCTAGAACGGCCTGGGAGATGGGAACTGTCGTGGGCATTTGTAACTGTTGAAAACGAAACTTTTCCGACATCCGTCCCCATGTGGACATCCCCCGGTTACCCCTTGTCTCACGCAGAGGCAGAGCTGCAGTTAGCTGTGGTGACCCTAGCGTGTCATTGTAGGCAGGGCCTGCAGGGCCCGTGTCTGCCTGTGGGTGTGGGTGTCACTCTGCAGTAACAAGCTGACGGGGCCCTTTGTCCTTCAGCCCGGAGAAGCTGACAGAGAAGACAAGGTGGGCTCGGCCACCCAGCTGGTGGTCACGAGACCCCTGCGGGACTTCATGGGGCTGGAGGACTGCGACAAACCCACTCGTGATGCCATACTCAACTTCAGCTTCTCCATCACAGTAGGAGACATGGATGAAGCCTTCCGGTCCATCAAACTCATCAAGAGGTGAGGACTCCGGCCACTTCTTGGTCTCCTGCCTTGCTCCCTCTCAGACTGGTTTCTAAACAATTAACTCTTCTGTGACTCTGTCCTGGTGAAGTTCATGGTCTTGTTGCTCCATAAAGTGCTGCCAGGGCCTGGGCTGTGCCGGACTGCACACCTGGGTGTGGACTGGGGAGCTGGTTCTCGGCCTCTGTGGTGCCAGAGCCTCTTGGATTGCATGGAATTGTTTTGGTTTAATGTGTTCTGGGTGCTTCTCTCCAGAAGTTTCTGCCATTGCTGAGCACTGCTGACACCTGTTCCTCTAGAGATAGCTGCTTCTGAGTGAAGACAGCTTGATAAAGGCCAACACTAGACCAGCGAGATGAAGGCAGTTAAAATGGTTCTAAAAGAAGTTAGCTGATTGGGAAGCCAGGCCTGTGTGTAAGCATCTCCTACATTTCTGAGGAAAGTCGGGAATTTCAGCTTGAGCCTGGACAGTTGTGACTCCCGAAGGGGAGAGGCACTGCTGAGGAGCGTGCTGTGCTGGGAGGTTGTCTGGCATGAGCCTGCTGCCTTCGCAGTGGTGGCTTCTGTGAGAGCAGTGCCTGCCTGCTCTGTGTCGTCCTGAGACTCTCTGGCCAGCCCTCTACCCCTGAAGGGCCTGCCCACACCAGCCAGGGTTCTGGAAATAAGCCAGTGGTAATGTCTGCAGCTTGCCACTTGGCCAGTTTTCGTGCTTTACTGAAGTGTATTTAGCTATATGCACAATGATGCGTCTTAACTATTTTATTATTCTTTCATGGTTAGCGTAGGAGTCAGTGAGGAAAAACCCAAGAAGGAGGCCACGGCTGAGCGTGCGTCCACGGCTGAGTGTGTGTCCACAGCTGTGTATGTCCACGGCTGAGCGTGCGTCCACAGCTCTGTGCCCACGGCTGAGCGTATGGGAGCGTGCGTCCACAACTGTGTGTGTCCGTGGCTGAGCGTGCGTGCCTGTGGCTGAGTGTGGGTGGGACGCCATGGGAGCCGTTGGGGTGGCCAGTCCACAGCTTCTCTGCAGGCATGGTCAGTTGGTGGTGTGCTTTAGAACCCTGACTGTTCGCCGTTGGTTCTGACTCTAGACCACTGTGCAGAGCAGTGTGGACGTCCAAGTCCAAGAAGCTTGCCCACTGCCCTGGCTCGGCAGGAGAGGGGGAGAGCAACAGAGCGAAGCATCAGGAAGCACAGTGGCTACCCATGATCTCACTTGTGCCATTGGACTTGACCCACCAGTGCCAGTGTCAGTATCCTCTCCTGTCAGATATCATCAGTGACCCGGTCAAGTCACATGGCTCAGTCGGGAGAGGCCCAGGCGGAGCATCGGTGCCGTGCTTGCTCATGTGGTTGGACCGCTCTGGGCGGTAGGGCGGCCCTGGGCTCCGGGTGGTAAGGCATCCCTTGGGTCTGGGCTCTGGGACTTAGACCAGTGAGGACGTGGGGTACAGTTGTCAGCTGTTGTTTGCCCAGCCTGAAGAGCTGCGGTGCACTGTCCCCACACATAACTTGGGGATCACACGGCGTAGAGGGAACCATCCTGCAGGCACCTTGTACCTCTCATGTACTCTGTCTCCACTGAAAATGCAATGGAGCACTTTTCTGGGGCCAGCACTGTGCTACAGTGACACCAGCATGGCCTCTGAGTGCTGGTTCAAATCCTAGCTGCCCCGCTTCCCATCCAGCTCCCTGCTTATGCACCTGAGTGAATGGCAGAGGACGGCTCAAGCGCTCAGGCCGCTGGCTGTCTAAGGCGAGCAGACAGCCTCGTGGCTGGCCTCGCCTGGCGCCATCTAGGGAGTAAAACGGGAAGTGCAGCAGCTCTGTCAGCATGCCTCTTCAAACTAATTAGTTTAAAAGATAGACTTGGGGAGGAAAAGTAAACCAATTTCCTTAGAAAAAAAACATTTTTAAAGATTTACTTTGTGGAAGATCTATTTATTGAAGTGTAATGTGTCAGCCAGTGGACCTGGGGAGGAGACCTCATCCACGCATCTGCAAGGTGGACAGCACTTCAGGACCCCTGAGGCAGGCTCCGCGTCGGGGACCCTGGGATGACGGCGGACAGCCGTTCCCCACCCGCGGGTGCTGAGGCCTAGGGAGGCTGGGCGTGGCGTCTTCCCTGGTCTCTCCCTTGCACCCAGATGCAGGAAGGAAGAAAAAGTGTGGACACAAAGCTCTCACCCATTTCCCCCGATCCTGGGCCCTTCCCACCCTAAGCAGCTAGGTAAACATCAAAAATAAGATTAGAAAAAAACCTCATTAATTTTATTTTAAAACCAGAGTTATATAGAGAAGGAAAGGCAGATTTCTGTTTGCTGACTCAATCCCCAGATGACTGAGCTGACTGGACCAGGCTAAGGCCGGAGCCAAGAGCGTCCAGGCCGGGCACTTGGCCATCTGCTGCTTTGCTGGCTGCCTCAGCAGGGATCTGAATTGAAGGTGCAGCAGCCGGGACTCAAACCTGTGCCCACAGGGATGCTGCGCCACAGCACTGGCCCCTGCAGAGCTCAGAGACCTTCCAGCTTCTCCTTTATTCCCAAAGTGTCCACAGCCCCCAGAGCTGGGTCCAGCTGCAGACAGGAAGCAGGAAGCCCCCCTGGTCCCTGCAGTAAGTACAGGGGCCCTTGAGCTGTCCTCTGCCCTCCAGGCACGTGAGCAGGAGGTGGGTCCCAATCAGGGCAGGCAGGACTCCCTTGGCATCCTGGGTGCCTAGGCAGCAGGTGACCCTCTGCACCGCAGGGCCCACCCGTTGACACCTGTGTCTTTTTTTTAAAGATTATTTTTATTATTTTTTTTTATTGGAAAGGTGGATATACAGAGAGGAGAGACAGAGAGGAAGATCTTCCGTCCGATGATTCACTCCCCAAGTGAGCCCAACGACGAACACTATGCCGATCCGAAGCCAGGAGACTCTTCCAGGTCTCCCACACGGGTGCAGGGTCCCAAAGCTTTGGGCCGTCCTCGACTGCTTTCCCGGGCCACAGGCAGGGAGCTGGAAGGGAAGCGGGGCTGCCGGGATAGAACCGGCGCCCATATAGGATCCCGGGCGTGCAAGGCGAGGACCTTTAACCACTGTGCCACCGCGCCGGGCCCGACACCTGTGTCTTAAGGGACTTGTTACTTGGGCAGTGCCACAGTGTCTGTGGTATTCAGAGGCCAACAGGCACGGGCACCTTGGGAAGCAGGACGAGGGTGAGTGCCCCACCGCAGCGTGAAAGCTCAGCTGGCCTCCCCTGCGTGTCCGTCACGGGATCACAGGGAGCAAACGCCTCCCCCCTGCGGCCCTGGAGGTTAATGGAGCACACGTTGGAGGATGTTAAGATACTTGCATTTATTTTAAGTTAGAAAAATAGTCAGGAAGATAACGTACAGTACTAACACAGTTCTGTCCTGAGACCATCACCGGCCGTAAATCCTGATTCCCTGCGGGATACCGTGGACACTTGAAGAGAACCTTGCTGCTGGTGTGCCTTACCTAAGGGAATGTGACCAGGGTGCTCTGGGCCAACGCAGAGTAAGTTAACCCCAAGCCGAGGGAGAGAGCAGGACGGCCACACTGCCCTCTGCCTGCCTGTTTCCAGGCTCACCCCCCGAATGTGCGTGGCTGGGAAGCCGAGTTGCGCCGCTGAGGAAGGTTATGTCGGAAGTGGTTGGCGCCCGTAGCGGACAGGGACGTGCAGGATACTCTTGCATAGCCTAGTGAATGTGCATGTGTCGCTCAGCGGCCCACACGCACTGGCGCTGCGCAGGCGCCGGCCTCAGCATGGGGACTCCACGTAATCGTTGTCCAGCCCTCGCCGGAACCGCGCTGTGAGGGAGCGGCTGATGACGATGACCCGGGGTGCCATGCAGTCCTCTCTCCGGTGCAGAATGTTCCAGATGAGCATGGCAGCTGCCAGGGTGGCCAGAAGGCAGGCACCAATGTTCAGGTAGCAAGACCAGGCCAGGTTGGTGTACGGGCCAATTCTGTAGAAGGTCACCAGTCCGATGACAAGGACAAAACCTGCAGACAAAACAAAGTTGTTCAGTAGCAGCAGAGGGGAGGTGGGAGCTCTGGCTGCAGCCCACCCAAGCGGCGGCCCCCACCCTCCCAACGTGCGGCTGCACTGGTGCTAAGCCTGTGTGTAGACAGCAGTCGGCTTAGAGACAGCCCAGGTTTTGTCTGACTTGATTCGTGTTTGTGTTCATCTGACTTTTGCTTGTAGCTTTGGCTTTGCTTTCCAAGAAAACAGTGATCTGCTTTCGAGACTGAAGGTGCCAGGAGCTGGAGGGTGGGGGAGGGGAGCGAGTAGGGGCTGCAGACCTTGCCTGGGTCTCTGGGTATCTGGCATCTTTTTTGATGGGAGCTCTAAATCTGGGTCGTCTCTCCCCCATCCTGGACTCTTCTCTTCTTTTTAGAGTTTGGGTCCCAAGCAGCTGAGGCAAGGGGAGTAGTGCAACCCACAAAGCATGTTCGCAGTGGGCAGTGGGCGCTCCCGCAGGCCTGCCCTCTCGCAGTTTTGTCTTGATTTGACCTGTTGTTGCAGTAGGGAGATTGGGTTTCCATGCCCTGGACATGTCACAGGTGAACAGAGCTCTGTGATGTGGCTGAGGAGGCAGGCCTGAAGGCAGCTGGGAGCAGGAGAGGGGGTGTCCACACACCCGGCAGACCTAGGCCATGCTGAGATTGAGGCCACTGCACATGTTCCCAGTAGCCAGTGCTCCAGGTGACCTGCCCTCCCATTCTAGACTGCAGCAAGCAGGTACAGGTGGAACTTGGGAGTGCCTCCCAGACCCTGCATGTCCCTCCACAGGCTCTGGCCAGCCTGAGCCCCGATCCTGTCTCTCTCCTGGCAGGCACATGGAGTGGACACCACACTTATGTTCACACTGTTCCATCCTTGCCCACTGGTGGTCTCCACTTTCCTAGGGAAGTGTGGCCCCAGAGCGGCAGAGCTGTGGTTGTTCTGCAGACAAGGCATCCCCTCTGACCACGAGTGCATCTTGGTCCA